TAACTATATTTATTTATATTTATATTATAATTATATTATACTAATTACTGTAATCTTTAAAAAAAAGTTTATTTAATATTATACCGGTCCTTTCTCTGTTGTTAAAACTATAGATTAATATATATATTAATTATAATTACCTAAGTTATAGTTAATATATCTTATTATTTTAGTAGTATAATTAGAATCTACTTATAATATTAATAATCTTGATTCTTATAGTCAGATTTTTATAAAACTTTTATAAGTCTAGAATAAAGCTTTTTCTGATAATAATATATATTAGGAAGTTTAAGTTATTTTAATTAAATATATTATATTCTAAGAATAATACTATACTCCTGTAGTTCAGTATCTGATTAAATAGAAAAAATACAGTTTTAAAAATAATATATAAATATATATCTTAGATATTAATATCTCTAAATTACTTTACTAATTTAAAAAGTACTAGTTCTTTTAATATTAATATATTTAATATTTTATTTTTTTATTTTCTGGTTTATTTATATTTTTTCTTTATTTTTTTTATTTTTTAGTATCTTTATATTCTTTTCTTTACTCTATAGCCTAGTTTATTTATTAATTAATTACTATATCTATTATTAGTATTTAAGAAAAGTATATATATAATTATTAATCTATATAGATATTAATCTTACAGAACCAGTATATATAATATTTCTTAATATATTTAAGAATTTACTATTTCTTTTCTTAGTTATCTTCCTTACTACTAAGCAGACAGAACTCTTACTTATCTGTCTTAGGACATATCCTTAGTTTAACTATCTTTCTATTAATAATTATTATCTTAATTCATTATCATTCCAGCCACATGTAATAAAATTATTTTATTTTATTTTTTTTAAAATAGTTTACTAATAGATTATTATAATAATATTATAGAATCTCTTTATAGAGACTATTTAATTTAGGTATATATAATTTCTTTTTAAAATATAATAGTATACTAGTAGTAATATCTTAATTCTTTAATTTAAGAATAATAACTTTTTATTATATAATATCTAAGTTTTTAGATTATAATTACTTAATTAAGCTTCTTAAATCTTTATTAATCTTATTATTATAAATATTCTTAACTTTATTAATCTATTTTATTATTAAAATCTTAATAATTTAGATTAAATCTAATATATAAATTATAATTTAGTTAACTAATTCTATACTAATAAATTTTATAAAATTATTTAATATTATATAAATACTAGATTTAAGTCTTTTTTATAAAGATATTTTATTATATCTAAATTAAGATTTTTTTTAGATATTACTAAATAATAAATTAAATATATCTAAAATATTTATATAATATTATTATTATAATTACTATTTATTATATTAAAAAACTTAGATAAGATATTAATAAGATTAGTTTTTTCTAATCTATATTTAATAATAAAGTTATAAAATATTAATTCTATATATTAATATACTTAGTATTTATTTAATTATAGTTAATTTATAAAGACTTAAAGATTTATATAATCTAATAAAATTTTAATAATATATTAAGTTTTTTTTAGATATTAATACTAGTATTTAAATAAATAAATAATAATAAATAACTCTTGATTTAGAATTATCTAATTTAATTTTATTTTAATAAATTTTTTTAATTAAATAATAATTATATAAAATTAGTTTATAAATTCTGATTATATAAAAATTCTAGTTATTTCTTTTTTATAAATATTAGTTTTAATTTAGATTAATAATTTAAAATTAAAAAAATAAAGTAATAATATTTTTTAAAATATATTAATAAATTAATAAAATACTAGTTATTTATTAAGTATAAAATAATATAAACTAGATTTCTTATTATTTTAATTATTTTTTAATAGATTAATTAAAGATAAGATAAGTAATAAAAAATTATAAATAAATTATTAATAAAAATTATAAAACTTAAGAAAAACTTATATTTTATAAAAGTTTTTTAATAATAACTAGAAAATAATAATATCTACCTATTAAAGATTTATAATAATATTTTAAAGAGATATTATATAATTAAGAAATTTAATCTAGATCTAAAAGAAAAAATACTTTAAAATCTTAATATATAAATTTATTTTTTTTAATTAACTTAAAATTTACTTAATATATTTAATATAATTAAATTTTATTATTAAGAAGATAAGAATATTATTTAAATAAGTAATATAAATAATATTAAGAATATTATATAATATAAAATAAATATAATTTTAAAAAAAGATAAAGATATTAATTAGATTAAATAATATAATTAAATACTTAAAATAATTATAATATATTTAAAATATAATCTTTTATTTATCTTTTTTTTAATATAAATTTAATAATAAATATTCTGTATATTAATCTTACTAAAATATTTATATTTTATAAAATAATTAAGAATTTTTATAATAAATAAAAGAAGATAATAATTTTTAATTATAATTTTATTAAAATTATAATAATTTATATAAAAATATAAATTTTTATTTTTTTTAGATATAAATAAAATAAAGAATCCTATAGGATTTTTAGATAATTAAATTTTTTTATTCTCTAAGTTTTTATTAATATATTATTTTAAAATTAATAATTCTTTTTTAAATAAAGAGTAAATAAAACTAAATAAAGATTTTCTATTATTAATAAGATTAATAATATAATTATTTCTATAATAATTAAATAATATTTTAGATTAGTTAAAAAAAAATATCTTAAAAATTCTAAAATTTTATTAAAATATTATTATTTTATAAATATTTTAATATTTTATTTTTTATAAATAATTATAACTTCTTTAATAACTTAATTAAAATATATATATAAATATAATTTTAATATACTTTAATAAATTTTTAAGAATATAATTCTTATATATTATAGAACTTAAATTATTATATCTTATTTTATAAATTTAAATAGATTTTATAGTTATTAATAGTAGTTATAGATAATAAAATAAAAATATTATTAAAATTATAATAAATTATTATATAAGATCTAGTAAACTATTATTAAGTTCTTTTTAAATTAATTATTTTAATAAAAATATCTTATATTTTATAATTAAGAATTATTTTATTATTAATAATCTTTAAATTTAAGAATTATAGTAAGATTTTAGTAAAAAAAAAATATTATATAAATTAGATATTAATAATATTATATTTAATATTAGTATTTATATTTATATATATTTTATTAATATTTAATATTTATATAAATATTAAGACTTTATTAATTATATTTATTTTAAAAAATTAGATTAAAATAAGAGATAAGACTCTAGTTTTAATTAATTTTTTAAACTAATTTCTTTAATTTATAATCTTTAAATTTAGTTAAATTTCTTATTTTTTTTAGAATATTAATTTATAAAATATTTAATACTATTATATAAATAGTAATATAATTATTTTTAAATCTAATTAAAAATATAAAATCTTAGAGATTTTTATATTTCTTTATTAAAATAGAATTATTTTTATAATATATTTAGATCTTTTTATTCTTATTTTTATTTTTACTGTTATAAATATAGATTCTAATAATAAATAATAATTAATATTATTTTATTATATTTTTTAGATAATTAATAAATATATTCTTTAATATATTAATTAAAATCAGAAAGTAGTTTAATAAAGAAGATAAAATTTTATTTTTTTTTATTATTTTAGAAAAATATTATTCTAGTATATTAAGATAAGTATAAAATTTATATAAATTTTAATTATTTTATTATTATATTTATTTAAATTAATTTATTATATCTAATTTAAATATAGTAATATTTCTTATAAAAAAGAGAATTTATTTAATAAAAAAAAACTATAAATAGTTAATAAGTTTTTTTTATTCTAAAGATAATTTTTTAAGATATTAATATTATTTTTATTAATAAATAATATTTATATAACTAATAATTTTAAGAATTTTTTAATAATTAATATTAAATTTAGAAGATACTTCTTAAAAGTTATAATTTAAATTATAAAATTATTTTTATTACTTCTAGATATTAAAAAATAGTTTAAATTAAAAAATATTCTTAATTTTAATATTTAATTTTAAATTATTTAAAAGTAATAAAGTCTTCTATTAATACTTTAATATAAGATTAATATTATATTATTAAATTTTTTATTTTAATTTAATAGCTTATTATTATAATTATTAATAATTTTAAAATTTATTAATAATATCTTATATTGTAATAAGATTCTTTATTAATAAATTATAAATAATTAAAATAAAAGATTTAGTATTTATAAAAAAAGTTTCTAACTCTAAATTATTTTTAAAATATAATTATTAAAATAGTATCCTATACTTTTTTTTTATAAATAATTAAAAAAAAAATTAGAATCATAAAGAAAAAAGATTAGTTAAATATAGAATTAAAGTATTAGTATTATATAAATATAGATTAATTCTTATCTTTTTAGAATATAGTAAGACCTAGATATTTAAGATATAGATTTTATTAAATTATTAATATTATAATTATTTTATAATTAAGGTATAGGTATTCTATCACAGTAACTACTCAGTTGTATGGGTTAACCATGACAAATACAGTGTATTTTTTGTATTTTATTCTTTTTCTAGAATAACTTCTTTTTAAAAAGATATAGATATTTCTAAATAAGATTTATAAAGAATTAATATACTTATTTCTATAATATATTTATTTAAAATTTTTAAGTATTCTTGTTGTTGAATTATATAAGTTCAAAATATCTAGATTTAATACTAAATACAGCTCTGCGCCGCTGGCTTACACGCGCCACTCGCTTACCGATTACGTTATGTATGGGTTTAATTAGTCATTATGCATATCTGCCACTCTATACAAGTTATCTACATTTACTCTACATAGTATATAAACAATTCAGAAACTAAATCTCATTTCCAATTAAGATATTTAGAAAAAATGATATCGGGTATAGGAAAGTAGAAAATGACCATGCAGGACCTAACTAACCATCCATCCATCACCTCATCCAAAAGATCAAAGATCAATACCTCGGCATCCTGCCCCGAATAATCTCATCATACTTCCGCCTCGGATCATCGCGATAATCCCGCTGCGCGATCAGGTTAAACAACGGCCGGAACAACCAATTCTCAACCACCACATACGGCGACGAGGGCACCCCTTCCTTGAACGCCTGCGAGATATACCAATCGCGCACCACATGCCAACCGACCCAGCGCCACTCGCTGCACTTCTCGGGCTCGAGGATGGGCGGCGGTACGTCGTGGTCGTGGTCGGGAGGGGTCGTCCCCCCCGCCGCCGCCGCCGCCGCCGCACGCTGCAGCGTGCCCGCCATCACGATTGTCACGTAGTGCTTGTTCTCCCCAGTCATGAGGTCGTTGGTTGTCGTCATGTAGCAGACGTTTTGCACCGCCAGCCCCGTCTCTTCACGCACCTCCCGCTCCGCGCACGCCTCCCATGTTTCCCCGGGTTCCAGGTGTCCGCCTGGTAGTGCCCAGGTGCCGGCTCCGTGGCTGCCTTTGCGTTGGCCGAGGAGGATTTTGTTGTTTGCGTTGAAGATTAGGACTGCGATGCCGACGCGCGGGGGGCTGGTTATCGTTGTTGTTGTTGTTGCGGGGTTGGGGGTTGGTGTTGACATTATTTCCGTCCGGGATTGGGATCGGGGCGTGGTGGTGGGTTGTTTGGGATCGATGTGAGTCGAGTAGATGTGGTTGTGGTGTAATCTGCTCTGAGCAATCGGATCGACGATTGTTGATCGAGGGTGGTTAGTTGTTCTTGTAGTAGTAGTGGGATACAGTTCCCTCAGGAGGGGTTGTGTTCGTCGGTTTTATAGTTCAGGTTTGCTGGGCTTCGATAAAGGCACGCGAGCTATTCCCTTTGATGTCGCCCTGGATTTACCAGGCAGATGTCATGATATATTTCTTTATCATCTGTGAAAGAATTGATGACACGCTTGGCTTGGTTTCTTTATCGGCTTGTTTCACAAGAGAGGGTCACAAGTATGTTTTGCGGCTAATCTACATTAATTTGTGTTTAGGTTTGCTTTGGTTTTCCATTTGTGTTGTATCGTACAGGGTTCCCCGACTCAGCCTCGGGAGCATAGCCCCCCTCTTGTACAATACATACTCTTGTGCATAGCCCCAACAAAACGCTTACAATCGCTGCAGCAAAGAGTGCACAAACCCCGACAGAGCCTCAAGAGTGACATCTTCGCGGACGTTCAGGCGACGGCATTGCACCTCCAGCGTTTGCTGTTTCTTCCACCCTTTGCCGACCACCACGATGACCGGGTAGCCGATCAGGTCCGCGTCGCCGAGCTTCCAACCCATCTGCTTGTCGCGGTCATCCAGGATCACGTCCATGGCTGTCGCAGGGCTAGGTGTCACCGTCAGTGCGTCGTAGACTTTCTCTCCTTCTGCCTCGAGGCCCTTGCCGGGGACGATGATGACTTCGTACGGCGCGATGACACGGGGCCAGTTCAGTCCCTTATTGTCTGCTAGGCTGTCTGCAACCGCAGTGATCATGCGCGAGACACCGATGCCGTGGCATCCCATCTGCATGGGCACGGTCTGGGGCCCACCCTTGTTGGACGAAGATGGGTCGACCATGACGGACGCCTCGAGCACGTCGCTGTAGCGTGTGCCCAGGTGGAATGTGTGACCCAGCTCGACGGCTTTGTGGGTCTGCGCCAGACCCTCGCCGCATTTCGCGCACCGGTCGCCTGCGTGAACCCTCACTAGGTTCAGGTAGTTGTTCGTGCCGGGGAAGCGATCCAATTTCGAGAAGTCCACGTCGTCCACCGTGCAGCCGACCTCTTGGAGAGTGTCGGTCAGCGGGGGGCGCTTGTATGCTCGCACGCGCGAGTCATATAGATCCACGATCCGCGGCCGCTGGGTGGGAGACTTGTTGGACTGGACCTGCGTGGCCCATTGCCGGAGTGGGTTCTCGATGCTGATGTCGAGTTCGATGCCTGCGGCGTCGGCGATGGACTTGACGGCGTGAGAGTTCACCTCTCTCTCCACAGGGGTTTCCTGGATGGTATATTGCGGGAACCAGCACCGCAAGAGGGTGTTCTTGTCTTTCGAGATAGACATCCAAAGGCCAACCGAGACGGCTGGGGTGGCTTCGCCGGAGGTTTCACCGGTGTCGAAACCAGGTCTCTGGTGAGTGATGGGCTGTTCGTCTTCGCCAGCGTGGGCTTTTCCGTCAGCGAGCTCTTCGTTGTACACATTGTCGCAGCTAGTGCAGCTGATGACTGTGTCCTCGCCTTTAGCACTGGGGAAGTGGAACTCGTGACTCAGGCTGCCGCCCATATTACCCGAGTCTGCAGCAGCGACTAGGTAGGGGATCTTGAATTCGTCGAACAGTCGCGTGTAGGCACCTTTGACGGCGACGTAGGTCTTGAGGGCTGCCTCGGTGCTGTAGTCGAAGGTGTACATGTCCTTCATGATGAACTCCCGGCCGCGAAGAAGACCTTGTCGCGGCCTTTGCTCATCTCGGTATTTTCTCGCTGGCCTAGAATTAGACTCGGTAGAGAGGGTGGGAAGGTTTCACTGACAGATCTGGTACACGCGCACGGGCAGTTCCCGGTAAGACTTCGTCAGACTCCCTACTAGAGTGGTAATCTCCTCCTCATGCGTGGGAGCAAGGAGAAAGCGGGCTTCTTTGCGATCGAGAAAGCGGAAGACCTGGCGGACGGTAAGAGAAATCTTACGGTTAAGATGCCCAAGGGACTTACATCTGATCCCTCCTTCAGACGTCCCGATTGTTCCCAAAGCTCTTGTGCCGATATCGATGATAATGACACTTTAGAAGCACCTAGTTCACAAGCATTAGATGGCTTAGCACAGATAAATCTGTGATTTAGTAGACTTACCGACTGACTGCATGTGCTTATCTATGAGCCTCTCTAGCTTATCCTGGACACGCAACCCTAACGGCAGCATATGGAATATACCCGCATAAGCCTATGCATTCAGTTAGCCCAAATTTCATGGCATGGAGCTGGAAGGAGAGCATTACCTGTCGCAAGAAACCACCCCTGACTAGAAGATCATTTGTATCCTCTGAGAAATGTCAGTTGCCCGAAACAATATAGGCAATTGGATCAAGCGAAGTACCTCTTTCACCCTCAACGGGCTTCTTCGTGATACCTCCAGTCGGGATCCAAAAGTTGGATATCCGAGTCCTGCCATCGGTCTGCATATATCAATCTTCAGATCCTATACCAGCCATTGCAGAAGGTAGGCCATACATGAAAGGCGTATTTTGACGTTCTACTCCCGTATTGAGTAATCTCAAGGTACGCTCGAGCAACTCCGGGCGCCCGGCCCACGATCGGGCGAATCCGAGATAACATGGACTTCACACACAGCCCCGAAACCAGCCTCGGGGTATCCAAGAAACGGGTAGAGATATTCACATCTAGAAATGCGTATCCCCGACTCGGGGACAAGGAGGGAAGATTGAAGCGGTTCTTATCGGGCCCCGGCACTAAACCCAATGGATACATGGCCTGGTCCGAGCGTCGGGCATAATCAACTCCGGCCCGCCATTTCTCCGGCGGCCTGGAAGAAGCGGACCCCATAATTTTTTGGCGGCAGAAAAAAAGTCGAGGAGGGAAGCAAAGAACCTCTGCTGCATTTTTGGCCATTCATCCCACCTTGTGATTATGGCCAAAGGCAAGGGTAAAGGCTCCTCTGGAGCGAACAACACCATCCCTGATGGGGGTGTTGCTGTCAACAATACCAACGCTGGCGCTGACGCGCTTCCTCAGTTGGAGGAGAGTGCGTTTGCCGGCTTGCGACAGAAGATCGAACAGCGCCTGAAGGATCAGAACAACGCCAAGCAGAAGTCGAAGAACGGCAAGGGAAAGCCCGCTGCGCCCGCTGATACTCCCAAGAAGAACCAGGAGGTCGCACCGAAATTTGAGCCCAAGCAGGCGGCTGGCAGCGACAGGAACAACAAGGGCAAGAAGCGGGATCGCAATGGGGATGTGATTGCCGGTGAGGAGAAGAAGGATCTCGGAAAGGGAAAGTCGAAGAACAAGGAGGACAGTGATGATGTTTTGCGGCAGGAGATCCTGGCCCTTGGGGGTACGGAGGAGGATCTGGACTTGTTGGCCGGTGTCGACTCTGAGTCTGAGGTCGAGGATGCCACGGAAAAGAAATCAAAGAGCAAGTCTGAGGAAGATTCCTTGAGGAAGGAACTTGCCAGCATGCTTGCCGCCGCAGGACAGGTCGTTCCGGACGATATTGCAGACGATGAAGTAGAAGAAGAGGAAGAAGAGGAGGATGTCGCCGAAGAGAGCGGCGACAATGATGAGGATGATGAAGATGAGATTGGTGAAATCGAGGATGATGCTGAGGATGATGAGCTAGAAGAGGACGAGGAAGAGGTTTCCGAGGATGAACCTCCAACCCCAGCGCCGAAGGAGGACAAGAAGGCGGCCAAGCAGGCTGCTCCCGAGAACATCTTTCCCAAGGAGTTTGCCAAATTGGTGAGTAGATACGCCCATAAAAACAGAAAACACACTAACCAGGCATTAAGACCATTCCTCCCAGATCCGACTGGTACATGACCGAACTTCCCGCCATCGCGAGGAAGGAAGCGCAACCGGTTGCCCGCCATTTGATCGACCGATTCTACAACTACGCGGTTTCGCTCCTCGAAAAGGAGGCTAAGGAGTACGCCGATGCGCAGCAGGCTTCCGCTTCCTCCTCGCACAAATTCTACGCCACCATCATGTCCACCGGTACGCTCAGCGATAAGATTTCCGCCCTGACGCTCGCCGTACAAGAATCGCCCATACACAACACTAAGGCTCTGGAGAACCTAATTACCCTAGGAAAGAAGCGCAGTCGTGCTCAGGCGGTTGAAGTTCTTCGGTCTCTCAAGGACATGTTCGCCCAGGGAACTCTTCTTCCCAGCGATCGCAGGCTCCGCGCCTTTGCCAACCAGCCGTCGCTCGTGGCTGCATTGCAAGGTGTGAACAACCGGTGGTCGGAAGGAGACGCTCTGCCAAATGGTCTCCAGAACAGCCATCTGATTGTCTGGGCTTACGAGCATTTCCTTAAAGATCAATACTTTGAGGTCCTGAAGATCCTCGAAGTCTGGTGCAATGACGAGATCGATTTCTCTCGCTCCCGCGCTGTCAGCTACGTCTACGAACTGTTGAAGGAGAAGCCTGAGCAGGAGACTAACCTTTTGCGTTTACTGGTGAACAAGCTTGGTGATACTTCTAAGAAGATTGCCTCGCGGGCCTCTTACCTCCTCTTGCAACTTGAACAGGCACATCCCTTGATGAAGCCCACGATCATCTCTGCCGTTGAGGAAGTTCTCTTCCGTCCTGGTCAAAGCCAACACGCCAAGTACTATGCCATCATCTCGCTGAACCAGACGGTCCTCAGTCTCAAGGAAGAGAAGGTTGCGGAGAAATTGCTCGACATCTATTTCGCTATCTTCGTGTCTTTGCTGAAGCCCGCCAAGGAGCAGAAGGGCAAGGAGCAGAAGGGCAAGAGGAATGGTAAATTCGGCAACAAGGGCAAGGGCAAAGGCAAGGATGACGATGCCAAAGGTCAGGCGCAGACTGAAGAAACGCAGGACAAATTGACGTCTGCAGTCTTGACTGGTGTGAACCGAGCTTACCCCTTTACCAGCTCCGACAGCGAACGGTATGCTCCTTGTTGTCTACATCTAATGACAAGGCTAACGCTTCAACCAGTCTGTCCAAGCATATCGGCACACTCTTCCGGATCACACACTCGTCTAACTTCAACACCAGTATCCAGGCTCTCATGTTGATTCAGCAATTGACAGCCTCCCACCAGGTCGGTGCGGACCGCTTCTACCGAACTCTGTACGAGTCTTTGCTGGATCCCCGACTGGCAACCTCCTCCAAGCAATCGCTGTACCTCAACCTCCTGTTCAAGTCTCTGAAGAATGACTTGAACACCCGTCGTGTCAAGGCCTTTGTCAAGCGTCTCCTCCAGATTCTCGGGCTGCACCAGCCCGCATTCATCTGCGGTGTCTTCTACCTGATACGCGAGCTGGAGAAAACGTTCCCTGACCTCCGGTCCTTGTTCGATCAACCCGAGCTGAATGAGGACGACGAGGAGGAAGTGTTCCGCGACGTCCCCGATGAGGACGATGAGCCTCAAGAGCAACCCGAAGAGACCAAACCCGAGAAGCCGTCGACGCGTTACGATCCCCGGAAACGAGACCCCGAGCACAGCAACGCTGACCGGACGTGTCTCTGGGAGCTTGTATGTTTGGTTTATCTTATCGTTGATCTACAGTTACTGACACTCGACTTTTAGCTGCCCTACCTGTCTCACTTCCACCCATCCGTTTCGGTCAACGCGGCTCACCTCCTCGATCACCAGGTGATGAGCGGACAGCCCGACTTGACGATTCACACCCTCACCCATTTCCTGGACCGCTTCGTCTACCGTACTCCCAAGGCGGCGGCGGTCACTCGCGGAGCCTCGATCATGCAGCCTCTTGCCGGCAGCGATGCCAAGGACCGTCTGGTCGCGGCGGTCAAGACTGGACAGCAGCTGCCGCTCAATTCGGAAGCCTTCTGGAAGAAGAAGGCGGAGGATGTGGCGGCGGAGGACGTCTTCTTCCACGAGTACTTTAACCGGGTCGGCAAGGGTCAGGAGAAGGACAAGGCCCGCAAGAAGAAGGCCGGCAAGGATGCGGCTGACGAGGGCGAGGACGAGGAGGCCAGCGACGCCGAGTCGGAGATCTGGAAGGCGCTGGTGGACTCCCGGCCCGAGCTGGAAGCCGGTGGTAGCGACGACGACCTGGATCTGGACGACCTGGAATCTGCCTACGACCAGAGCGATGACGAGGATGCCGGCGGCGACTCTGAGGTGGAGATCAACCTCGACTCTGACGACGAGATGGAGGACGTCGACGAGGCAGCCCCGGAGCCAGCCAAGAAGACGAAGAAGGCCAAGGCGGAGGAGCCCTCGGACGACGAGGATGCATTCGACATGGACGTCTCGGACGAGGAGGCATTCATCGACAGCGACGAAGAGTTGCCGTCGGACGTGGAGCTCGACGCTCACCTGCCGACCGCGTCCAAGGACGAGAAGGAGCAGGAGAAGGAGAGCGGGCGCAAGAAGCGGCGCAAGCTCAAGCACCTGCCCACCTTTGCGTCGATGGAGGATTATGCGGCCCTGCTGGCCGGGGAAGACGAGGGGATGTGATTTCCACTATGTTGAGTTGTATTTATTTGAATTGCATCCTGCAGATACCACAAAAGCTCTATCTAGTCCTAGTCATGTTCACATGGATCATCATATTCACTTCACGTAGTAGTCGTGAATGTACATACCTATGTATAAGTACTTAGTAAACACACTCGCAACCAGTTCTAGACTTCCAGACCTGGGACGGATTCCAGCCACTCACGCACTGATCATTGTGGCGCTGCGTCCATCCACTCGGTCGAGGCCCATGACATCATCACGTTCAGCCACAACTCCCTCTCCTCTCTACCAGGAAGTTCTCTTCCAACCCAATTACAGATGATTCAAATTGTCAAAACAGACATGATGGATCCCCGAGTAACTTGCCCAATTCAGCGGATGGGAAAAAGGAAACATGGAAACATGGAAACAGTACCTTATGGAGTGAATTCACACGTGGGAAAGGGGGGCGAACAAAACCTACGAGTAAGAAATCCTACAGGAGCACGCCATCAATTAGCGCATAGCATGCTCAAGGTTAATTCGAGGTCCGACTTCTGTGCCCCTCTTCCTACTTTTCCACTTTTTCTTTTTGATGCAAGCCCTGGTCCTGGTCAGCAGAATCTGATAGGCTCCACTATTGACGGGGATGTTGAATCCTGCTGCATGGGAGAGAGGGTGGTAAGGTCGCATGATTCTCTGTGGCGGCATAGTCAATGTCGGTATTGATGGAGCCCTGTTCTTCTGAGAGGCATTGACATCGGATATCTATCTTTGTATTTTGAGAGCAGCTCTGCGTAGATGTATAACAATGGAAGGTGGAATGACAAGCAGCAGCCGAATGCGGGGCAAAGAAAATCCCGACACTTAAGCTAACCAGAGTTAGTCAGCACGGACCAAAGAGGATCGGGTAAAGCCGCCTTTCTTTTGGTGGAGCGGGGAATTCCCCAATCCGGCGGGGTTTACCTAATGCAATGTCTCTATCAATCGAACTACAGTACTCAATTAATTGATCAATTCATGTGCAATTCCACTGCCAGGGATTGTTCCCATACACTCCCTCAATGCTGTTCACGTATCAACAATTGAGTTTGTCAACTGTAAACATTACTCGATCTAAATCTATCATTGCCTGGGGGTGATCCACGGGTCTGGTTGTTGCTACGTCATCCACCACCATGAGTGCCACGAAAGCGCAGAATTTCCGAGTCCGTCGATGCCATTCCGAACAGGGAACAACCTGAGTCGGCCTCGGAGATTGCAACCAGTCTTGCTCCAGTTTTTATTTTTTTTTTTTATCTGACTGCCTGGGAATTCACGTTGGCTGTTCCTTCGGGCTAGCCTCGACCCGGGGGGGCGATCGGCGCTCCCTCTAGTCGAGAGATGAGGGAGGAGTCTGTCTGTCTGTCCGTCGGTGGTTGGAAGAATTCAGCTGTGCAGTTCCTCCTCCATCTTTCTTGCACAATCTCTCTCTTCCCACAGTCTGACAACTATTGTCTGGCTCTCAATTCTTCGAAGACTGGGGTGTTATTTATTGTCAGTCAGTCAGTCAGTCAGTTATTCTCGTCCTCCTCATTTGACATTTAAGGTATGAACATCTATACGTATCCTATCTTCACATTGATGCGCAACTAACAATCCCCCCAAACGCCAGACCTCGTCTCCTCCCCAAAGCGCAGTACATGCCTCCGAAGGTCTCCAACATCCTTTCAGCTTCTATCCTTGCTCGCTCCCTGCACCAGCGGCTCGTCCGCTCCATCAAATGGCGGAGTCCACCGTCCCGAAGCCTACGGGCCGCTCCTCCGTCCCCGAGCACAACGCCCCGACGGACGAGATGAAGCATGCCGACTTGGAGAGTCAGAAATACCAGCCCGGGTCGAGCTCGGATTCGGAAGGGGAAGTCGGCAGACAGATTCAATTGGAGGCAGAGAACTCCATCAAGTATCGCACATGTAGCTGGCAGAAGGTGCGTGGTCGCGAAGCTATCCCCGACAGTCCGCGCATGTGCTAACTCACAGCTCTGAACCCCAGACGGCTGCGCTACTCTTCTCTGAGTACATTTGTCTGGCTATCATGTCGTTTCCCTGGTCCTACTCGGTGCTGGGTCTGGTACCAGGGTTGATCTTGACGGTGGTCATTGCGATGACTGTGCTGTATACTTCGTTGATCATTTGGTACGTCCCATCAATGCAATCGTTCCGCAAACCCTAGCTCACACATTTTCAGGCGGTTCTGCCTGCGACATCCACACGTGCGCGATGTTTGCGACATTGGACAGATGATCTTCTGGGACTCCAAGGTGGTCTGGTACCTCACGGCGGTCATGTTCCTCTTGAACAACACCTTCATCCAGGTAGCGACAACTCGAGCCTCCCCCCCAGCCCCATGACTAACCACCAGCAGGGCCTGCACTGTCTTGTCGGCGCAGAATACCTCAACACGATCACCGGTCACGCGACCTGCACGATCATCTTCTCCTTGGTGACAGCGGTGATCTCGTTCATCTGCTCCCTCCCGCGGACCTTCAGCGCGCTCTCCAAAGTGGCGACACTCAGCGCGATCACCACATTTATCTCCGTGATGCTGGCGCTCATCTTCTCGGCCATCGAAGACCACCCGGCCGGCTACACGCCAGCCAAAGGTGACCCGATCGTGACCGCCGTCCCCGTCGCGGGCACGACGTTCGTCTCCGGCGTCAGCGCTTTCCTCAACATCAGCTACACCTTCATCGGCCAGATCACGCTGCCTAGCTTCATCGCCGAGATGCACGAGCCCAAGGACTTCTGGAAATCCGTCACGGCCGTCACCATCGCGGAGGTGATCGTCTTCTCGCTGGTCGGCGCCGTGGTCTACGCCTACACGGGCAACCAATACATCAGCTCGCCGGCCTTCGGCTCCATCGGCGACGAGACCTACAAGAAGATCTCCTTCTCCTTCATGATCCCCACCCTCATCTTCCTGGGCGTCCTGTACGCCTCCGTCTCCGCCCGCTTCCTCTTCTTCCGCCTCTTCGACGGCACCCGCCACAAGGGCAACCACACCCTCGTCGGCTGGGCCGCCTGGGCCGGCATCCTGTGCTGCCTGTGGATCGCCGCCTTCATCATCGCAGAGGTCATCCCCTTCTTCTCCGATCTCGAGTCCATCATGAGCGCCCTGTTCGACTCATTCTTCGGCTTCATCTTCTGGGGCACCGCATACCTGCGCATGCGCCGCGCCGACTACGGGCCGGGCTTCTATAAGAACCGGGGCTGGAAGGGCTGGGTGGGATTCATCGTGAATGTCGGCTTGATTGTCGCGGGTTTGTTCTTCTTGGGTCCGGGCACTTATGTGAGTTCTTCCCTCCTCCCCCTCCTTTTTCCTTCTATAAACAAGAGGGTTAAACATGCCCTTCTCGTATGGCCCTCCATCCCACATTCCCAATATCGCTCACCAAACTTTAACCCCGTATATACTAACAAAGACGATTGATGGACAGGCATCCATCGAAAGCGTGATAATCAGCTACCGCGAAGGAACAGTCGGAAGTCCATTCTCATGCGCCAACACGGGATTGTAAACCACAGCAGAGCGAGCACAACGGAGCGAATCCAAACCTCCCGCCTAAAGAAAGTAGCTCCCGCCCTTCTTCTTGATCGGGTAATCGTTTGCTTTCCAGGCCCTGTGACGAGATGCTACTAGTTCCCCAAGTGACCGAGCTATAAAGCAGACGATGATGATGGTAATGACGATGCATTTGAATGGGGTTCTCGGTTAGGGGTTCGTCTGTGTCTTCCGATGGAGGCGATTCCGTTTTTGTTCTTTGGCGGTAGTGGTGAGCTTTGTATATTGTGTTTTATTTTTTTTTTCGATGTATGAATTAACCTAACCTGATACCGAGGTATGCTATGGGTATGCATTAATGATGAGAAATGATGATATCAAGGTCTCTTCTCTTGGTTTTGTGTACCGTGTTCGGAGGGGGACAGTCATCAGGTGTCGGTCTCGTTGCGCATAGGGTGCAAGTTTGAGTGTACGGAACCTCTGATCTCAATCCCTGATCCGCATAACTATAGCCTACACCCACGTCTAAATCAAGTATGCACACTACCTGCGCCGAAAATTCAACGTCGCATCGCCCTCCGTCCCTAATGAAGGCGGTAGATCTCCCACCGCCTGGCCCCAGCTACTCTCATTCCGACCCAACCAGAGCACCAGCTCCCTCCCCTCGGTGAAGAAGTCATGGCCCACGTAGCTTTTTGTGTACGGCTGCCCGTCCAGTGTCGCGGACTGGATGTACATGGCGCGGTAGCTTGGGTCGAAGCCTACCGTGCGCACGCGGGCGGTGCGGTTGGTGAGCGGGGAGGTGATGTTGACGGTCTCGAAGAACGGGGCCGTGATCAGATACACGTTCTGGCCCGGGTTGGGGAACAGGCCCATCATCGTCATGGCCACGAACGAGCCCATGGCGCCCGAGTCGTCGTTGCCGGGGAGGCCCGTCGGCGTCGGGTTGAAGAAGCTCGGGATGTACGTGTGGGCGCGCGCGGTCGATTTACCCGGGCGGCCGGCGTAGTGATACTGGAATACGGTCAGGAAGGCGGGCTCGTTGCCGATGTAGGTGATGCCGCGGTCGTGGAGGTAGTCGAGGCGCCGCGTGAAGGCGTCCGGGCCGCCCAGGAGCGTGATTAGTGTGGACATGTCGTGGGGGACGAAGCTGCAGACCGGTAGGTAAGTACTTGTTTTGCTATACGCGGGGAACGAGATCATACAATTGATACTCCCAGATGCTCGATTCGAAGGTCTCTGCCGCGTTGTTCTGGAGAGAGCAGGATCGGCCGCTCGTGTCGATGTTGGAACAAGTTAGAGGGTCCTTGGAGTTTATTAGTCTGGCATGTCAGGAAGCCAAATAGCATGGCCGCTTGTTATCATAACAAACCTGGTATCCCCATGTGCCGTTCATGTATTTGGGCTGGAAGAAGCCTCGGAACCCAGTGTCTGTGCCGTTGAGGAATGACGTCTGGTCTGCACGGAAGAGGTTCTGCCAATATCGCGCGGTGTTCTCGTATTTCTCCGCATCGCTCGTCTTGCCCATTCCCCGAGCCATTTGTGCGATGGTGAAATCATTATAGGCGTACTCCAGCGTGCGGGATATGCTTCGGGTCAGCGTCCCAAAGCCGACGTAGTCGAAGTCTTCCACGGGGATATAGTGTAGTGCCTTCCAGCTTTGCAGCCCTCCTCGGCCTTCGTTGGACCAGTCAAATGGCTCTTCTTCTGCATCCTTCTGCACCGCTGCATACCCGGCTTTCCAGTCGATCCCGTCCGTGAGACCCTTGACATATGCATCTGCCAGCACGACATCCGCGTTGGAGCCGCCCTGCGTGTAACCTGCATGCTATCAGCATTAAGACGCATGCACTCCTGCCGACGCATACCTTTGCAGAGAGACATGCGACAGTCAGGCAGCCATCCCAGGTGTCGTTGAGTATCAATCAGAGAGCGAACCATCCGGGACACCGACGCAGGGTCGAAGATCGTCAGGAATGGAAGCTGGGATCGGAAAGAATCCCAAAGGCTGTACAAACATTAGCAGAGACATAGATTCCAAGACAGTTCACCTACCAATAGAATGAGTCGAAGTACGGTTCCTTACTCTCCCACAAGGGGTTCTCTCCGGTATAATCCTGTGGATTGACCATCGTTCTGTAGATCCCACTGTAGAAATTGGTCAAGGTCGTTGCATTGACTCCATTTCTGGATACCCTGATGGGTGCCATCTTCTGCGTCCACATATTTACAGCCGCCGCACGAGTCTTTTCAAAATCGAAGTCGGGCAATTCGGCCTCAGCATTCTGACATGCCTGCTCGCTGCTGATGAAGCTCAAACCCACGCGGGCTTGGATTGTGTTCTCTGGCGCCGAGTGGAACCGTACGAATGCACCGCCCTAGATGGGTCAATTCAGTACTCAACAACAGGCCAAGCTACATACCGGAAGAGGATAGCCGTTGATGCTGCGCGAAATAGTCAAGTTTTTGACCGCTGTGCTAGCCCGCGCATCCACAAAAATACCGTTGTCTCGTAAATCGGCCGCGCTCTGGTAGTCCGCGCAGAAGTACGGCTCATAAGAGCCACTCCCGAAGCTTGGTAAAAACCGCGCATGGCCAGTCATGCGCCCTGTCGTAGCATCCACAGAGATGGTCCCATTGTCCTGGCGTGTGTCGGACAGGTCAGACAGATCCAATAAGATGAGCGGGCTCGAGGACCCATTGGCGGGAAAGCGGAACCGAAATAGTGACGCATGATGGGTAGTTGTCATATCCACTTGTATTCCCGATTTCATTGTCAATCCGAAATATCCCGGGCTAGATTGGACCGAAGCGGGATCGTAGGTCGTCTTCCGCTCTTTCTTGGGGTACACGCAACCATTGACATCGTCGTTCTGGCATGTTGCGTAGGGAAACAGAGGGAAATTTCCGAGAGAGGGTTGTCCACCGGTGCCGGAGTCGTGCAGACTGGAAAAGCCGGTGATATGACTGCCGTCGAATGCGAAGCCCCCTTGGTTGTTTGACGAGTCTGTATCGGCTACGGCTTTGGCCATGCCATATGGAATTGTCGCACCTGCAAAGACGTTCCCTGAAGATAACCGGCGTTAAAATGCTGTATCTCAAGCATACTAACGGATCAGGTCACATCACATACCTCCATTAGCGCTGCCAATGAGAGGATTAATGTATTGCAGCACATCATAGTCATTAGTCGCCGCCGGGAGAGGGTCAGACGAGCCCAAGACGAGAGGCACGGCTAGGAGAAACGAAAGATGACCCAAAGAAGCCATTGCAAGTGAGAGAAAAAAGATGAAACGAGGGATAGTGAGCGTAGATGGGCGGACTAAAAGCCGTCAGGAGCCACTGTTCTGGCATGCAGGCACGGCCTGTCAAGGGGCGGGGTGGCTGCCCCTGCTCGGGTTGTTGTGAGCTCAGCATGATGATACCCCTGGCAGCCTTGACAGGGCCATGAATGCAATGTAACCATTGTAGCTTCACTGGAGTGGTGGAAATCGAGGTGATTGTGCAGGACGATGTCACTCGTCACAATCCCGCAGATAAAAGAGCGCTAATCACATTGGAGGGTGGCATTGATTGAGGTGGTTTCGAACATCGGGCCAGTCCATTGTAACCTGAGAAAAATGTCGCACAGTCGACTAGAAGACAAGAGAAGAGCTCATGGAAGAGGCAACGATTGCCGGAGCTTAAACCAGGAGAGGGAGGTTGGAGGTTGTACAGAAAAAGGCACACGTTCCAGTGACTTGGGCTGCAAAACAGCTAAACATCAACAACAATGCTTGAATTTAAACCTTCCATGATTCTAACTCACACTACTCTCTAGATTATTCAATCCTCATACTCAGGACCCAATACAGAGAATTCCCGAAAGATGAGAAGAGGAAGAAATCAAGGACGACCGACTATCTATCTGTCTATCTATCAGTAATCCTCCGATAACCATGAGCCTCGGCTGCTGGTGCGCCACCGCACCAATGAGCAGAGGGATGGATCCGCATCGTCCGCGATAATCTTCAACGATCCCGTAATTTGGGTTCTTGGTTCGGTTCAGGGCTCCATTATTGCGGCTTTCTTTCCCAGGACATCCGCTTCCCCTGTCCCTGCTGGCCCCCTATCCACACCTCTCCTTCACAAGGTCTCGCCGGCCATGTTGCAGCTCTCAACAGTTCGCCTGGGCTCCACCGCGATCGCCAACAGTGTCCGGCGGCCTGGCCTCTCTTTAACTTCGCGTCTGCCTACAGCAGCCACAACCAGCACAGTTTTGCTCCCCCGTCGTATTTCTCCGACTCTGCAATTAGCGCGTCGGGCATATTCGTCCAAGGATTCGTCATCCGAACCCAAAGAGAACGCGACCAACCGAGAGGGAAAAACCGCTTCAAGCAACCTACACCCCGAAACCACACCAGACCCTCCTGCGCCTCCCCCTCGTGCCCGTCGATCCCGTGTCTTCCGTTTCGTCCGATTAACATCGCTCGCCATCTTCGCCTTCGTGACCGGACTAACACTCGCGAACCAACGGACGTTCGAGACCATCATGACGACCAAGATCCTTACAGACGAGGAGACGCTCGACGCCTTCGTCCCGGGCGACGAGTTCGCGAAGGAAGTGGACGACCACATCCGCGATCACCCGCTGGCCGTCATGCTTCGCTCCAACCCCGCCTTCACCGAGTCGCGCCCACACCTGAAAATCCCGGGACAGCTGCGCAACCGCAGCCTCACGGGCGGCACGCTGTCGGGCCCGGACATGCTCGTCGTTCCGCCGCTGATGTTCGGTGAGGAGGGCGGCAAGAGCCTGGTGTCGCTGCTCTACCTCGGCCGCAACCTCTGCGGCCACCCGGGCATCGTGCACGGCGGACTGCTGGCCACCCTGCTGGACGAGGCCATGGGCCGCTGCTGCTTCCCCGCCATGCCACACCACGTCGGCGTTACCGCCAACCTGAATCTGGACTACCGCCGCCCCGCGATGGCCGGCAACTACGTCGTCCTGCGCGCCGAGACGGTCAAGGTCGAGGGCCGCAAGGCGTGGGTGGAGGCACGCATCGAGACGCTGCCCGAGAACGGTGAGGAGCCTGCGGTTCTCGTGGAGGCGAAAGCGCTCTTCGTTGAGCCGAAGCAGTTCAAGGTACGTTTCCCTTCTGGGGTGGGGCTGACTGAATGAGTACTGACGGATATCTTCGACAGGCACTGGCATCCGTGTATGAGGCCCTCGGTTAGACCACTAGACCGCCGATGATAGAATTTTTGTTTTCCTCTTTTTTTGTGATTGTGATCTGCATGGGAAGCGTTGGGACTTGAGATCGTGATCATTAGATCATTCTTCAGGCGTATAGATGGTGGGTGGGGTGTAGACATAGGCTTGTACATACACCATAACAGATTCCGAGCTATATTCCAGATTCAGACATGACATTCAACCGGCTATAGCAGCTCTCTGAGATCCAAACATGTACCCCTACTTCCTCACCAACCACCTCGCAAGCAGGAAAACCCGTCCTCAATGACTCGCCTCAAACAAACCACAAGCGGACTCTTGTCCCTAAACCACCAAGTCGCCTGCCTCTCCCAACACGGCACGGCAGAGGTTGTGGATGATGCGTGTGGTTGAGGTACTGTGAGGGACTTCCGAGGATTGGGGTAGAATCATCTTGTTGGGTTTAGGGGTGTAATTTGTAGGATTCTAGATGGCGATGGACACAATGAGGCGGAATATATATATAGCCTTACATGAAGCTGACGGTTTGAGGGGAACAATTTGCAGGTGGACAACTAACGAAGAGGAAGATTGATAGAGAAAATCCCGGATCTCGATTATATGTTCATCGTGATATATCATGGCGCTGGTGCTGATTGCGACAGCCTAGTTTGATGCTATCCCAACGCAGTTGATTAGGGCTGACATCCATACCCGACACCATGATGCTAAGCGGCGATGCACTCCAGAGCGCGCGAGACATCCAGCTCTCCAGATACAATTCTTGAAAACTACATATAGAACCATAAACAAAAACAACACACTACTACAATCAGCCAACCAAACCCACAGTGCCTTGAAACGGTGGCTGCAGATACTAGGTAAAGTTGACGTCACCAGTGCGACAACCCTACTTCATCCATCCCCTACAAATCCGCCCGCATCAAGCAACAATCCCAATCGCAACCACCATCAAACTTCATTTCTATCCATATCAGACATTCTATAGCAGAAAAATGGCGACCTCAAACCCTCAGATCCTCACCATCGACCCCACCCACCCCAAGCCACCCACAAGACACCACCACGAAGGCCATAACGCCCCATCCTCCATCCCGCCTAGTCTTCCCAAGGCTAAAGCGACAAAGGCCCATCCCAGCAACCCCGGGGCTGAGAATGCCTCGATTTATTTTGTTGGCAACGCGACAACTATCATGTACGTTATTTGCTCGCGTCTCTCTCCCTGAGGGGGCTGCTCTCGATTGTTAGTGTCTCAGACTAATATCTTAAATAGACAATGGCATGGCGTCCGCATCATGACTGATGTACGTTACGTATAGCTGAGAGCTGGCCCTAGTCCAGACTCATGCCCTGGCTGTGTAGTCCGCGGACTATCTTGACTAACATTGGTTATCAAATTTTCAAGCCCAACTTCCTCCACGCAGGCGACCATGTTCACCTCGGTCCCGGCGTGGATTCCGTCCGGAGAAAGGATCCGGCGGTGGATCTGGAGGATCTGCCGCGGGTGGATCTGGTGCTGCTGTCGCACTATCATGAGTAAGTGAAACCTATTTTCTTTTTCTATGCATTAGGTTTGTTGCTTCGGGCGTGATTCTGGGTTGGTGTTGGGTGCATATAGATGGATGCATCCTGGCCCAAAACAGCTAAATACGCTCTATAAGGCTAGCAGTAGTTCTGTATCTAGCACATACGACCACAGGGTGTGGAAAACAGGGCTTCCCGTCCGCTCAGCCGTACTTAAGCCACACGCCGGGAGGTTAGTAGTTGGGTGGGTGACCACCAGCGAATCCCTTCTGTTGTATGTTTTTGGGTCTTTTTTTGCCTACAGCTCGGTGTGCTGGCGCTAGTTCTGAATTATCGCTTGGTTTGATCGAGACGCAGTCAAACTGATCGAGATGCAGAGACCATTTCGACCGACATGTGGAGGCCTCCCTCCGGCGGGATCTCCCCATCGTCACCACGCCTCACGCTCAATCCATCCTCACATCCAAGGGCGACGACTCATTTACCCGGGTTGCGGCCGTGGATGTGTATAAACAAGCGATGGTAGACATCCAAGGTGACGCAGCCGGCAGCAAGCAGCCCCGGTTGAGAGTGACTGGCATGCCAGGAAAGCATATCCCCATGGGGAAGCCGCTCGAGAAGTTGAACGAGTTTGTTGGCGCGGTAAGTTTCTTTATACTCACCTCCTCTTTGTCTGCTGTTGTTCATCAACCAGATACTAAACGAGTCTATAGATCCCGCCAACCAACGGCTGGATGCTCGAACTCGGGTACGGGAGCCCTGGAAGCACGGCTGCTAATGACTTCGAGCCAGGGTATCGGATCTACATCTCCGGAGACACGTTGATGTTTGATGAGCTTAAGGAAATCCCCCGGCGGTATGATGGTCAGACCATCGATCTGATGCTGGTGCATCTAGGAGGCACGATGGTGCCTTCGCCCGCCATGTTGCCGCTGGCGATGATGGTGACGATGGACGCGAAACAAGGGGTAGAATTAATGCGCTTAATCAGGCCGCAGGTGACGATTCCCATCCATTTCGACGACTATGACGTGATGGCCAGTTCGCTGGAGGATTTCCAGGCACAGGTGAAAGAGGCGGGATTGGAAGGGGAGGTGGTCTATTTGGACCGGGGGGATGAGTACCGGTTTCATGTAGGTGGGCGTGAGGAGAAGGAGTAGGACGTAGGGGTGTCATTGGCGGGTTGGGTTGCCTCCTTGTCTGGTTTTGAGTGGATCTTAATGGGCAAGGTTCGGATGAAGTACGAGTTCCTGTAGCAGTTGACTTCGTAACTTCGCCATCGGGATGGAGTCAAGTCTTCTTGGCTGATGATGTCGGGGATGCGCCCCGCCAATCAGCTGAAGCATAGTACGGGCGGGATGGAATCATCTGAGATACCGATGTCGAAATACTCGTAGTTCTCCTCATTTCGTGTTTTAAAGCAAGCTTGACGAGCGATCCAGGTCGATATACTGAAAGGTTCTGGACGGAGAGTGGCAGGCAGGGGTGAGGAGGCGGCGGTCATGATGTAAGAGTTAAGCTCAAAGGGTGAATCAGACGTTGTCAGTTGCAATGCAGCCCTGCAGCTTCCAAATTCCCCAAATTTTTTTTTTTTTTACTATTGCCTGAAATTCGGCAGCTGTGATTGCATGACCCTCACTTAGTCAGTGTGTGTTCTTTGTTCGCCGTCCAGGGTCGTGAAGTACTTATCCTTCTGGTTCTCCTCCCTTCAGCTTCGCTTTGAAGATCAACATCCCCACACGTCATAGTGACACCAATCGCAAAAGTTCCTTTCATCGCACGGTGCATATAAAATCAACAAACAAAAAGGCGAGATCAGCAACGATCAACTCCTACCAAATTCTCTATTCCGCGCCAATCTATCTTTGAAATTAGCCACCGGCCGTGGTGAATCAATCCGTGCCACACAATCCTCTTCTATCGCGACCTTCTACACACTCAAACACAATGACTGACTCCCTCTTGAAAAGGGAGCCCGCTGCCTCAGCGAACAGAGTGCCTACCCTCCACTCAGTCCACAATGTCAAACGCTCGGTATCCTACTCGCCAGCACATGACGGAAACCACCCTGTGTCGAAGACGGAAGCAACCCGCGGGTGCGATGATATGGTGAAATCCGCCTTGACGGAATTGCTGAACGACGATGGCGTGAAACACAATGCACGGGGAAGTCGATCTGTTCAGAACATGCTCATGGCGACGGAGAAGAAACGCAAATCGCAGCGACGACAGTCCCTCGTTGAACACAAGCACAAGTGAGGGATGCGCGGTCTGACGACTCAAATGCTTCAAAGGCGGCAGGCAGAACAGCGATATGACAAATCAATCTTGGGATCGTATCGCTGGCTGCTATCGCGGTTTTCCCTTGCAACATCGCACGTCTTCTGGTGGTTAGGTTAGGGCGATATTGTTGCGATCGACCTGTCGTGGACGGAGATATGGCACCTATCTACTGATGCTTGTATCAATTGTATGGGATTAGGTGGTGCTATGAGGGTCTCAGTATGGTCAGCACACGACGACCGATGTCGACTCGAATGAACTTGACGCAGATTTGGCCACGCCGAGACAGTCGAAAAGAGGATGAGGGAAAGCTGTGGGTTTCTTTCTTTTGTCAATTCTGGAGTTCAAAGGGGTGGTTGCATTGCGTTATGACTCATAAGTATGATAATGATAATGAATAATGAGCTCTTGATTTCTCTTCTGGTATCAATCAACAGTATCAAATGTTGTAGACTCGTCATTCAATGGAACTGCTTCGCCTTAAGAAGAATAGCTGCTCTAGCAGGGTGCAACTGCGTGGCTACATGACCGAGCTTCATGTGCTTTGGATCCCAGTCGTTGCAAATAGGTCATCTGTCAGCATAGCCAAGGGAAACACTAATCCCCTGGCATCTTCTGTGTAATTGACTGGCTTGGTAGGTTTAGGGTGAAAGGGAAAGTGATAATCCCTGGAGTAAGCAACAACAGCGAGCGAATCCACCGCCCGCCGACCGCCTCCGAGTGACTGCCCGACAAGCAATCGGTCGAGCCTCCGCAAGCTGCAGCTCCACCTCCACCTCCCCTCCCAACTCCAACTCAACCCTTCCTACCCTCTCCCCTTCTTCATTTTTCTCGGATCTGATCGACGATTACCGCATGCGTGGCACCCTCTCGCAGCTTTGAAGAAACACTTCCGATAGTCCCCGCAACAACTCCCCGTCCCGTGCTGCCACCATGTCCAAGTCGACCAAGTACCTCCTCGTCTCGCTCCCCACCTCCATCACCCCCTCTCACCACCGCGACGACGCCCTCGACGCTGTCTCCGCAACGGTCGCCCCCGAGAATGGCTCCGTCGCCCCGTTTCCCATCCCGGAGTTCAAGATCGGCACCCTCGATGCCTTAGTGCAGCAGGCCGATGAGTTGGCCAAGCTGGAGGCCGGCTGCCAGGGGGTCGTTGCTAAGGTCGGCGATGCGCTGAAGAATATCTTGGAGGGTGACGAGGCGCAGATCGATAAGATGAAGACCGTGAACGATAGTATGAATATTTCTCTTCCCCCGCCCTGACACTTGCTTTCTAAAAGGGAGTTGGCCGATTAACGCAATGACGCAACCTGTCTATAGAGCCGGTGGACCAGTATTTACGCACATTCTCCTGGAACAAGGTCAAGTACCGGGCTGATAAGCCTTTGGGGGAGTTGATTGACTTGCTACAAAAGGTGGGGTCTCTCAGGGTCATCAGTGGGAATAATAATGGAAACTGGATTTGTTGACGCCCGAGTTAGGAGGCCGCCAGTATCGATAACGACATTCGCACGAAATATACCCAATACAACCAGGTGAAAAATACGTTGGCGACGCTTCAACGGAAGCAGACGTGAGGAATCCCCCTCCACCCCGACCTGTCTTTCCCAGGGAGTTGAGCTGACATCCAGCTGCAGAGGTAATCTGTCCACCAAGTCGCTCGCCTCAGTCGTCGACCCCCGCACCCTCGTCCAGGATTCCGAGTACATCGAGACGCACCTCGTCGCCGTGCCCGCCCAGCAGATCAAGGAATTCCTCAAGACGTACGAGACCATTGCTCCGATGGTGGTGCCGCGGTCGGCCACGCTCGTGGCCTCGGACAACGACTTCACGCTCTACGCCGTCACGACGTTCAAGAAGCACAGCGTCGAGTTCGTGCACAAGTGCCGTGAGAGCAAGTGGATTCCGCGCGACTTCAAGTACGTGGCGGGTGGCAAGGAGGAGGAGCGCAAGGAGGTCGAGCGTGTGGGCGGCGACGAGCGCAAGCTCTGGGGAGAGACGCTCCGGCTGGGCCGGACGGCGTGGAGCGAGGCGGTCATGGTCTGGATCCATGTACTGGTGCTGCGAGTGTTTGTGGAGACAGTGTTGCGCTATGGGCTGCCGCTGGACTTTGTCTGCACTTTGGTTAGGGTAAGTCTTTACGTGGTACAAGATTGGAACCAGGAAAATGCTAATTCGGACAACAGACCTCGAGCTCGAAACATGCAGACAAGGCGAAACACAACCTGGACGACAAGTACTCGTACCTGGCAGGGAACGCATTCGGCCGCGACAAGAAGGGCCGGGTGAAGCGCGACGACCCAAGCGAGATGCATGGCGAGGGCGCGGCGGCGGCGGATTATACGGCATATGTGTATTATGACTTTGAGTTCCAGTGATTATTGTGTTGTCTATTCTACCCAAGCTTTTTTTTTTCTTTCCCTTCTTGTTTTCTGGTTTCCCTGTGGATATGTATAGCGTACATAGAGTCGAATGCATGCTTGAGCCCTGCGTGTTGAGTTCAGATCGGTAAGCTGTCTCAAAAGTTTGGAAAATATATACAGAATCAAATCCAGCCCCATCCTCTGTCTGGGTGTAGTATGTAGTATGTCCATCTGCACTCTATGCAAGATACGAAACAACAACAATCTAAAATCAAATTCTATCTTCAACCCTGATCAACCCCCCTCCTTTTGCTTCCCGAATCGACGCAAAATCTAAGCCGACTTGGGAGGCAAATACCCCTGCTGATCCAAATAATCAATGATCTGCTTAACCGCCTCCTGGACGGGGACCTCGTGGTTCCGGATGTGAACCTCAGGCTTGAGGGGCGCCTCGTAGGGGGCGCTGATGCCGGTGAACTCCTTGATGACGCCCTCGCGGGCCTTCTTGTACAGGCCCTTGGGGTCGCGCTGCTCGGCGACCTCGACGGGGACATCGACGTACACCTCGACGAAGGGCAGGCCGGTGGCCTCACCGGGGGTGGGCACCTCGTGTAGCTGGCGCGCGGTGTCGCGGTCCTTGCGGTAGGGCGAGATGAACGAGGTGATGGCGATGCTGGCGCTGTCGGCGAACAGCTTGGCCACCTCGGCAATGCGCCGGATGTTTTCGTTCCGGTCCGCCTCGCTGAACCCCAGGTCCTTGTTCAGCCCGAACCGGATGTTGTCGCCGTCCAGCCGGTACGCGTGCACGCCCCGGTCCCGCAGCAGCTGGTGCTCCAGCTCCACCGCTAGCGTCGACTTGCCGCTCGCCGATAGCCCCGTCAGCCAGATCGTGAGGCCTTGTTGCTTGCGCAGGGAGCTGCGCTCCGTGTGGGTGAGTGCGCTGGAGTGGTAGGTGATGTTGCTTTTTTTTTCGAGGGTTGCGTGTTAGTTGCGTGGGTGTATATGGTTCTCTCGTTGTGGTGGTGTACTTACGTGGCCATTTTGTGAGGGATTAAGGGGGGAGGGGAAGTAATGAACTCGAATTGCTTATGAAGGAGGGTTGGGGATACAAGAGGAAGAGAAAGAATGAGAAAGAGAGAAAGAGAAGAGGAGGAGGAGGGGGAGTCAGAGAAAAGGGCCGAACCTGGCGCACGCAATACGTAGACTCAACTCAACTTGTAGCGGGGCCCGCCGATCGCGGGGTGGATTGAATGGATTTTGCCAAATTGCGTTATCGTTGGCGGTGAACAAATGCGGGTCTGTCACTGGCACGCAAAAATTTCAGGGATTCTCAGGCACCGATTACGTATGCCTCCGACCATTCTGGGCCCCGTACACGACTCATGGGACAACAACAGCAGCAGCAGCAGCATCATACAACGTGATCTAATTGCGCTCTCTATACAGGACCTGTGTTTCTGATGTAAAAGCTGGCTCTGACGGATTTATCTCTTTACAGCATGGCATGATTCGTGTCTATCTTTGCGCCAGCTCTATCACCCTTTTCGCCGCTGCTTCGAACTCGTCAAATGCCTCCAGCGGGAGTCCACTCTCTGCGATCTGGAATGAGATGTCAGCATATAGCCTCACATAAGGAGAATTGACACTATAGCACTTACCATTCGCTGCCCCTCTCTTTCATTTGTCCCCCGCAGCCGCACCACCAACGGGATGCGAACGTCCAGATCCTGGAACGCCAGCAGGATCCCCTCCGCAATCATATCGCACCGCGTCAGTCCGCCGAAGATGTTTACGAAGATCGCCTTGACTCGCGGGTCCGACAGGATGATCTGAAACGACGCTTTCACCGTCGCTGACGTCGCCTTGCCTCCTGTGTCCAGGAAATTGGCGCAATGGCCGCCATGCATCGTCAGCGCGTCCACGGTGTTCATCGCCAGTCCGGCCCCATTGACTATATCAGATTAGTCGGTCACCATTTCGGTTGCTAAGAAGGAGTCTCTTACCTAGTGTCCCGATACTTCCCTCCCCGTCAAGCCTGCGAACAGAATCAGCATCATGCGGAGCGAGGGGGTAATCACACTCACTTAACGTAGACGATACCATCCTTCTCGGCCAGGACTTCCTCGGGCACCTCCTCCGCAGGGTCTCTCAAGCTTTGTATATCTTCCTGACGCCCCGAGCTTCGGAACGCGGCATCGTCGAAGCCAAAGCGGGCTGCTCGCACCTCAAGCACATCTGTAGCGTTGGCGCGGATTTCCAGGAGGTACGCCTCCTTCTCCGTGAAGATCTGCCACAGCGCCTGCACGATCTGAGCCAGCTTCTCTTGTGCCGTGGAAGGGAGCCGTAGGTGAGAGGCAACAGCCTTGATCAGTGGGCTTGCGCTGTCAAGGCTCGTGTGCTCGTAGGCAAATGGAAACCGGCCGGTCTTTTCAGGTTCGAAATCGGCGGTCGACGAAGCAAGCACGCACGGAGACAATGCCGTCCTGTCAACAGTCAAAGTCAGGAAGAAGTCTGCATCCGATGGAGCGGCCTCATTGGCAGCGACGGATTTCGCGCGGAGCATATCAAGAGCCTGGAACGATTTCACATAGAGGCTCCGGATCTGCTGCTGCTGCTGTACCGCTTTGTGGCAAGGGTCTAGAGAAACCCTCCGCATTGTGTGAAAGCCCCTTTGTTGGCTTACGCCCTTGGTGAACTGCTATGTGTAAGCGTCTTGGTGATGACCTGACGGCTAACAAGACTCACATTAGCACTTTGACCGAGTGCTCGATTCTTTAGAAGAGTCTTCATGGCCTCCCCAAACTTCTCCGGATGGTTCACCATAACCGCCCCAGCACTTTCGAGCGCCTGATACTTGGCTTTCGCATCAGGTTCTCCAGGGGATGTCCAGGCACCTGCATGGCCCATGACGCGCCCCGAGGGCGCATGTTGGCCTCCAACCAGGGCCATAATGGGTCTATTCGCGATATCAGTATTCTTCAGTCGTATCTAGTAGGACACACATACTTAGGATTGGTGGCCCTCCGATGATAATCCCGGATCCAACTGGCAGCATCCATCTCCGCTGTGCCACCAATCTCCCCGACCAAAACGATCCCTTCCGTCTCAGGGTCACTTTCGAAGGTCCTCAGGGCGTCGACAAAGTTCGTTCCCGCCAGCACATCGCCTCCCATACTGATACAAAGAGTCTGTCCTAAGCCTGCCCGTGTCGTGGACGCAGCAGCCTCATAGCTCAGTGTCCCCGACTTGGCCACAATACCAATCTTCCCGGGAGAGAAGCATGGTAGAGGCTGGAAGCCGATCCGACATCTACCCGTCACCGAGATGATACCAGGGCAATTAGCCCCGACCAGCCTTGTCTTTGACTGGGTTTTGAGCATTGAGTGCACCTAGAACAGACATAAACACATTGACTCTCTCTCACACATTAAGCGAAAGAGAGCCTTACTCGTAGCATGTCATGGATTGGAACATGCTCTGCAACGGCCACAATCAGCGGCACTTCCGCCTCAATGGCCTCCTCGATAGCCGCAGCAGCTGACCCACCAGGCACGTACACAGCAGACGCATCCACCCTCACGTTCTGTTGTGCCTACTTATCCACGGTAAGCTTCGCAACCGTCGACCCTCTAACCTGCAAAACCATACACACATACCTCCCTCACGGACTGAAACACAGGAAGCCCCAGGTTCTCCCCCCTGGCATTCTGCTTCACGCCTCCAACGACCTTAGTCCCCCAAGCCAGAGACTCCCGTACATTAGCAGTCGACTAGCACCAAAACATTAGCTCTCCCTTGCACTCCCAACGCTTAGCATAAATTACCTGTCTGCCTACATCAAAATTAGCACCCGACCACCAACCATAGATGATGCACACAACAACCTACCCGGGAAACCCTGAAACAAGACATTCGTATGCGCTCCGATCCTAAGATTAGGAAGCGTATCCGCGTAGTCGTGCGTGCGCGCTGAAGCCGAGAACCGGGCTACATGGCGCCGCGATGTGAGCCACCGCGGTGTCCGCGCCTGCGCGGCGGCAGAGCATAAGCGAGTCATTGGGTCTCGCTGGGTATATACAGATAAGAAAGCTGGATAAATCAGCTATGGGGCGAAATGATAGCTCCGAGTTCGCTCTCCGAGTAGCTAGTCAATTGAAAACAGATTCTTATGAATTGTTTCGTGGTTTCGTGCCAGTGGTATAAATATATGGGAATGATCACTTTGTACGGAGTACAGTACACTGTGACCCCAGTATGCGGGGGAGAGGAGGGAACGGAACGGCACGCTGACTGAGCCTCAGAGGATGCGACGCCCTTAAGAATGTACTGTACCTGGTAGACTACTGGAAGTAGGGCACCCCCTCGCCGATCTCTGACTTGCGCATGAGCAGTTTCCGAGGAGTTGGTGGAGAGGTCAGGCTGGGTGTAGAGCGTCGTGATTGGTTTTCTCGGAGTTTGGGGTAAGTTGCCCGCTTCGGAATGTCGGCACCTCGCTTACAGTTTTGCTGGTATTATTTGGCGCTGATTTAACTAGATATTGTGAAATGCGCGTTATTGGTCTGAGCTGGCACTGCTGGGGCCATAATTTTGGAGATGAGGGAAAGGCATTTGCTTGCGCGTGTGTTGTGATAGTACTTTCAACATGGCGGTCGTCGTATTGCTTCGATATATAGTTTGTTCGCTGTCCAGAGTTCAATTGCTGAGCGCTCTTTGATTCGCAGAGCACTCAATATCCCTGTTTACTCTCGTATAACAAGATGACAGACAAGGTGCAGTAAGGGTCGATTGCTGAAGGGATCTCGTGTTTTCCTGCAGCGACGAGTGGCACTCGTCCTTCCACCGCCACAAGCGCTTGCAGGCAGCCTGAGACACCACAGGCGTGGCTCTGAGAACATCAGTCTCTAAGAACATTAGTCGCGAAGAATATGGAAAGAGAGATAAAATACGAGTATGTGATTCACATTATATCTACCTGTGGTTACCAGAAGAACTCGCCCATCGTCGTGTTAGCTGACGAATTTTTTTAGTAGATGCGCAGCAACAAGCATCCACAACCACAGCGCCAGTGTTCATAACAGCTAGATAGTTTCACCCTCCTTGCTAATCAGCCATATTGAAAGCCAGAAGTGTGCTACTTTAGTATTTCATCCAGGATATAATCAGATCAATCGGCAGTCCTTGATTTTTGCTCCATGATACCGAAATACAAACTCAATAACGCCTCCCCAAGACTAATTGCCCGGAAAATTTCAAGGAAAAAGAAAAAAACGAACAGCCAAGTGTTCATGCTCTGATCCATGCGGTGTTCAGATGCTTTCTATTCTCGCAAACTGAACTTGTTGTAAAATGTTCATTCCCAAAAGACTCCCGACTCAGTAGACTCCCCTTCCTTGTTGAGCGCCCTCCCCGCGCGGCGAAGGCCGCCATCGGGTTTCGGAAAAGCTGTGCGAAAAACACCAGTTTGCGCCTATTGCTTCTTTCCTTTCCAAATGCGACATGGGATAGGGGATTTTTTTATGAGAAAATAAAAGTGAGCGAGAAGGAAGAAAAAAAGCGTAGCTGGACTGGCTAATGTTGGTGGAAGATGTATGTTGTAGGAGGAAAAAAACCACATTCATCATTATTCATAGAGAAAAGAAAGAGGTTGAAGACGCTTGGATCTATTTAACCACCGATCTGCTCCTGGTGGACTTCGAGAGTGTCTCCATCGGCCATTTCGAGCTGTGGTAGCAGGCGGAAGTTAGTTGGGTGTTTTGTTCTTGTGCGAAGGGGGGTAGTGAAAGAGGGATGAAGGGACTTATGCGTGTGTCTTGGTGGTGAAGGGGGAATAGCCACAAGCGCAGAATCCCGGCGGTGGCGCTAGGATTGTGAAGAGGCGGGGGAGTAAGGGGATTTCGCAATACGTACAGTGTCTGGCGTGTCCTCAGGACGCACACGGGTGCCGTCGAACAGGAAGCGGACGGTTGAGGGCTGCTTGCCTTGCCTGTCGCAGAAGGCATCCATCAACTTCTTAAGCTGGGTTGACCGCTTGATCTTGAAGAAGACCTCGTTGTTGTTGTCGGTGACTTTGATGTTGAGGTGCTCAACGGGAGCAGGAGCATCGCCGCCGGAAGGGGAGGCGTTGGAATCGGCCATCTTGCTTGGTTTGGGAGGTCTGTTTTGTGATCTGTGTGAGAGAAGGTGGAAGTCAGCCGCTGGAGGGGTCCTTGTCGCATGCAATGATTCGCTCCGGTCTGAAGAGGGATGATGAGAGGAAGAGTGGTGGGACGGGTTCTTACTGCCTGGTTTTGAAGCGAGATGGGGATGACAGAAGTGCGGATCAAGGTCGTTGAGGCACAAGAGAAGTGACAGAAGCGAAACGCTGAAGAGAAATAGATCGGGGTTAATGAGTTGGAGGCGATGGCAGAAGCCATTCCCCCCCCACCGGTGATGAGTAACGGAGAATCTATTTTTGCGGCGCAGGTCCAATCGGCTGGAGTAACACCCCGTAGTTAGCCTTGTTGTAGCTTGACGATGCGATAGTGAATGAATACATCAACTTTTTAACTTTCTGTCTTAATCAGATCATCAACTTTTCATTGTCCTTTCTTTGTCATTTTGCATATAAATTTTCCCCCAAAGCTTCATTTTCATCTCCTCAGAAAGGTCGTTCTTCCCCCACTAGAGTTTGCTTTTGCTGCTATATATTATTGCGTCATGGTAGGCGAGACCGCAGATTTGGACGTCCATTCCCAGATCTAGAAGAACTAATAGTCGGCCAGGGCGGACTTAAAGAGGACCTAGCATATGACCCTCCCTGTCATCCACGAGCAGTAGGTTTACTTCTGAGTATCATGGGAAGATAAAGCACACCTATTGACATCTCTGCAGTGTGCCATTCAAGGTGACTTCACTTGCCCGCGATTTATGAGGGTAAATGTCACTGACGAAGTCTGTCAGCTTGCCTGACAAAGAACTCGTACCAGGAAGAGAAGTGCCAGTCGCAAATCAATGCCCTTTATGAATGCTGCAATTCGTTCTACAAGGAGCAAGGCGACGAAGCGAAGACTCCCAGCTGTCCTAAGCCCAGTCTACTGCGACTGAAGATGAAGCAACGAGGCCAGGAGTTCTAGGTTGATCGCACTGCCGCGGTCAGGACTTCGTGCCGCCGGGTACTTTTGTATATACTCCCACACGGCATTGCAGATACGGAATAGAGAGAGCAGAAAATCCTTGACCATCGTGACAGACTACTGTAAAGACACGAAATCCCGGCCGAAATTCGAAGCTGAATGTGACAATTCCTTTGCAGTCTGAGCTCTCATGTGAAGTGAAGAGCTAGGCTAGTTGTAAGAACTGCCAGATTGCTATAAGACAATCGTGAGCACGCTGAGAGGCCGATTGACCTGGACGAATATTGAAAACTCTCGCCCCGAGACTCTAATGACTGCCTATATGACATTTGTTGAGAGAAAAGAAAAAGAAGAGGAAAGGAAGAAAAAAATCCACGATATTTCAATGCGCGGGTGTGGCCGCGCTAGTCTTGGTTGGGCCTAGTGGCTGGACAGCCCCAAAACACGCGGGCGGCCGAGAAGAGTAACTGAGAGAGGAAGCTGAGAAGTTCCAGTTCAGTTCTTCCCTAAACCCTGCTTAGGAGCTTAACGTCTATCCGCGATTCCTCCCCCCACCCCATTCTTCTCCCCATCACACCTATAAATTCAGAGTCGCATCGAGCTCATTCATTATTTCTTCTGGTCGCGCTCATGGCTCCCCTGACCAGGGTGACGGGCCCGGGCGCCCCGGCCGGGTTCACCTCCGTTAATGTAAGTGTTTCTGCGCTTGTGTTGACACGGCCGTCCAGGCGGTGCGCTGACCTGGGCTCTGTTCATTTCACTGTCTAGTCCCATCAACAAGCGCCGAACAATACCGATGTCATCGAAATTGACGACGATGATGACGAGCCCATGGATGAAGAGGAGGATAATGAACCTAACGACCACCCAGGGGATATGGAAGAGGAGGAGGAGGAGGAGGAGGAGGAAGAAGAAGAAGAGGAAGGCGATTACGGCGACGAAGAAGATGGTTCGGAGAACAACTCCGCTGAGGATTCGAATCGCAGTGAATCGCCTTTGGAACTGAGTCCCCCTCCTACTGAGCAAAGTACGACGCATACAACCTCTCGTATCGGAGCAATCGCTAATCGTGAGCTAGACGGTGTGACTGAGGCTACCCCGGACTTGTTCACTTCGGCAGGCGCGCAAGAAGCTCTGCACCCCCTTCGTCGTACTGCGGACCGAGTGACGCGTCAAATCGAGGCCTTTGCCGAGAAGTTAGACCGCTTCAAACAGCACGGAAACCGATCGGACGAGAAGCTTGAGGACTACAGGGCTGCATACCAACTGGCCAGAGGCTACCAAGAACTTGCGCAAGACGCGATTGATAATATCAACAAAGAACACACTGTGAAACGCGCAAAGCAGGGTTATGGCGCCAACCTGGCCAACGGGACCATGGACACCAAAACACAAGAAGAATTACAGCGACTACAATTGGAAGCAAGCACCTGGCAATTATTCTGCAACATTATTTCCATTGCCAATCCTTTCCGCGCAGCCAATTGTAAAGAGAGACAAGCGACTGCCTTCCAAAAACTGCACCGCTACTCGACCGATCGCGAAGTATGGGAACAGTTCCTCGATACTGACCCGTACGCGGTGGAATGCTTGGTGGTCCTGAAATGGCTTGAGTGGAACGCTCAAGTCTCCTTCCGGGATATGGACGAGTTGATCTCGGAGCTGGAATCACAAGCTGAACGAGGCCAGGGATCGTGGTCCTTCAGCTGGCTATACACGAAGGAGACGATCAAAGGACACAAGCGTTTGCGAGCCTGGCCTCAGCCCCTCGAGCCCAACGACACTGGAATTACCGCCTCTTTGCTCAAGTCGGAAGACTCAGAATCTCTGGTTACTCAGCTGGATCCTGATGCGGTCACGAGGCAGAAGCAGAACATTCAGAGAAAGGATCAATACTATGAACGTGCTACCTGGATGACATGCTGGAAGATGCTTAGACAGGGGGAGTCTTGGTCGAAGATTCGTGAGTGGTCTGCGGAAAGGTTGGAGCCTTGGAGGGCGGTCAGCATTTGCGGTTCTAGTGTCGACAAAAAGACTTACAAAGGACGAACACCCGTTGATGATGGTCACACGCGCTTCATGAGTTGGCGGTCTCAGGAGTCTTGGAGTGCTGCCTGCAGCGCTTTAGCGCGGAATCCAAAGATTGAAGACTATGAACGGGCCGTCTTCTCGTTGCTCTGTGGCGAAAGAGAGGCCGCGTTCAAGGTCTGCCAGAGCTGGGATGATTTTCTCTTCGTCCATTTCAACAGCGCCGTGCTCTCACGGTATCAAGGATTTTGCAAACAGTTCAAACGGAAGCTGAGCTACTCGCCTACCATCTCGGTAGCTTTCGTTGCCGAGCCGCCGGGCCATGATGACGTGGGGAAGTTCATACAATTCACCAGGGAACATGAACGCGTTGGATTCGAGGCTCGCAACCCGTACCGTACCATTCAGTCGGCGATTCTGTCCAGAGGGTATGATAAGTTCTTCCTTCCGTTGGCCCACGCCGTGTCCCAGGTTGCGAACACCACAGCGGAGCGGGCTTCTCTGGTTCCCACCTTGACGCCTATGCTCGTGGAGGACAGCTTGCTCATTACCGCAAGGGATCGCGATGCTCTCCGGATCGCAACCCATATGCTCATTGCTGCTCGGCGCCTTGGATTGGTACGGTCAGACACGTCGTTCTACGAGTCTACGTCCGTGAATATTATCGGCTACATTTCCAACCTAGAGAGCGCTGGCGTCGTTGATCTCACGCCGCTTTATGCTTCTCTTCTACCCCCTCAGCAGATGCGAATTGTCCTGGCACGCGTCTTGATTGAGGTCGTTGACTCAAGAGAGCGGAAACTCATCGTCCAGGCTATGGAAAAACATGGGATTGATGTGGAAGAAATTTTGGAGACCCAGTGGCAGTATGTCAGCCAACAAATCTCTGCCATCGACCATTCAAGGACAGCGAAGCGTTCCTCCAAGGTTGTGACACGGAAGGATGGCGATCGCGAGTTGGCTCCAGTAAAGCAGGATTTCATTGGAACCGAGATCTCCGACGTAGATGAACGGGTCATCCGAAGTCTCGAGTGGCTCCGTTTCGTCGACGGACAATGGGGCAGGATCTGCCAGCTTGGATCCCAGGTGTACCGGAGGTTCTACAGTAAGTCAATACACTTGCCGGACTTGACTGCGATGCTAACGAATTTTCAGAAACCGGCAACCTCGCCGCCGCGAGGGAGCTAAGCATGCGCATGAATCTTTCCGACATCTCACGGGAGTCTTTTGGATTCGACGTGGCAGAGTTCGGTTTCACCATGGAGCTCGAGCAGGAGTTTGCTGCTTCAGAGCCCTCCAGTCCGGTCAAAACGAGGTTGTTCAGTTCTCCCCACAAACGAAGCCGCTCGAAGACAAACGGCATCCCACCTGCGGGTGACACAAATCTCCTGCTACAACAGTCACAAATCATGCGTGACCTGGAAAGCTTGATCGTGGCGTTCGATGGGATCGAAAAGTTTGCCACTGCTCTGGACAGTTTCGAGAAGTAAGTCCCAACGTAGGATCACAATGCGGCTCGAGCTATACTCACCGGACTGTAGGACAAGACGCAGGCGGGATTCCGGCACCCTCAAAGATCTCCGTGAGGAGGTCCAGGTTGCATTGGATCAAGTTAGCATACCTATCGACGTCATGCTCGGCGATTGGCTAGTCGGCGCTGAGACTGGTAAGCACCAGCTCCTTGGTACAAACTACAGAGATCGATCCCAGACTGATTGACACTCTTCCCCACAGCATCCGAGCAAGCGGAGTTAGAAGAAATTCGAAACATGTACATTCCCGAGGTTTTCCTCGAATACCACAACGCCCTCTTCGCATCAGCGCGCGTCCTCAACAGCGAGAACCTTGTGCAGTGCATGAATCTCGCGATCCAGGTTTCGGAGAATGAGCTGCTGACGCGCAGCTTTGTGGCCTCGCGTCGCATGAAAGAGCTGATGGACGCGTTGGCATTATCTAGCAAAGCTATGGTGAACACCCGCGCCAAGCCCGGGGTGAGGCTACTAGGAGGCGAGTCGTTGGGAATCTGGAACGTGGACAAGGTTGAGGGGGCCGAGCACGACGACGATAACGCCGCCGCGGCGCAGTGAAACACACTTCAAGATTAAGACGTGTACTTACTGTTGTACTATGACACAAGAAATGAACGACGGATTGGCATGCGTGTATGTACATTAGCCTCCTATTTGCTTTTCCTTTCTTTTTTTTTTTTTCCCTTCTTTCTGGTCTCAATTTTTCGTTGTGTGTTTCTGGGATTTTCGAAGACGCGGTACTTTGCATGTACGCTGGGTTGGATTGAGGGAGGGACTTTGAGAGGAAGCTAGGGAACACATTTTCAGGCGTAATTGACTAATGACCAAGTTACAATGCAATACAGGCCGATGAGTGGATGGGGACGGGGCATGGATTTACCACATACGTACTTCTCTCCAGTCCTGATTGTTGATTCACATCTCGTATCGAAGTGGCGTATTATCGACCCGATAACATATAGCCAACCGAGCTAGTAAACGCCAGTAGAATCAGTTGCAAACTCTCATATCAACGCACCAGTGGAGCCGCATACTTTTCCCGCTGCTCTTCACTTGGCTGGTCGGCTAGATCAACGCCGTCGGAATGCCAGGGGATTCGGGCTTCCTGTATGCCGGTGTGGGACATTGTGGCAGTAAACATGAGTCTGGCAGGGTTGTTTATTGATTGGATTGAGGATGGTGGGAAAGGATTTAGGGTGGCATTAGCTTGGATAGCTTCGATGAGGGGGGTATACAGCTTTTAGACTCGATCCTCTGGATAATCATGCTGCTGTACAAAACTTGGTCGTGTATCCTGCTGACATATCCAGCCAGTCAGATGGGTGATATGTAATTAATGAATGAATGAATGAATGGATGGATGGAGAAGGTATACTCCGGAAAAATCATGTGTGGGCTAGGTATGTATGTGTGTTGTAAACACCCCCGGCTGGTTAACCCTCGCCTCACTTTCTTCTCCATACTACTACTATTCCATGCCCCCTCTCCAGACGATCATGCATACATTAAACCAAACAAGCAAGACTGGTACCACACATAGGCCAATAAACCACCATGGAGAGAGTGAGTTGAGTCTACGATAAAATCGAATGGCTCGATCCCAATATTCACCCGCAGCGCAAAAGTCTCCGATGACACCGCAAAAAGGCTGACGACATCCTCCACTCTTTCAACTGTGGCTATGCTTTGCGGTCAACCGTAACTCTCTCGGGGAGGTCGGGAAGCAAATCCCCTGGGCCAAAGGAGTTTAGCTAGGGACTCCTGACTAGGGACGGACATAGGTAACTGGACGGCAGCCGTGGTTGTTGTGATTCGGTCCGTCCGGGCAAGGTTCAGGTTCACTGGCGGTACACAGTACGTGGTTTGTACCTTAATTATCTTACTTGACTGGGATGATATGCTGCCAGGGCGCGAATGGGACTGTTTGGGACGAGGGCGGCTGGTGGAGAGTTCGTATCGACGGGATGTATACGTGAAGGTTGGCGTATATTGTGGTGGTGTGTGCTGTATTTCTTGTATATCAGGCGAGATCGTAGGATATGTGAGTTGGTTTCTGAGGGATTTTGTTTGCTCTACTGTCTGTAGTTGGACAGGCGGTTTAGATAAGAACAAGCAGAGTAGGTGAGAGAGATGGAGAGAGAGGACTGGAATGGTGGCTGCATGTGTTCTGCTCATGATACCCTCAAAGGTGCTTAGTTCGAGCACTTTAGTGTGGTCTATCAGTTGATGTCACTCCGCCGTCAATAGTTCAAACCCAAAGGACATCGATCAGTCAGTCAATTCGATAATAAACGGGACCGCAAACATACAACCTTAAACTCTGCTAGCGAGGTGTCCAGAGCCCGAACTTGCGTACGACGTGGATGGGTCCCTTTCCTTTTTGCACCGCCCCCTTCTGCCAAGGTCGTCTATCCGCATCTGGATGTGCCCTGACTGATTCGCCCAGGTTGGGTTTTGGAACGGCGACTATTTGATGAGCTGTGATAACTCATTACTGATTACTGATTACCCAGTAAGAGTACCTCATTGGCAGTGAGAAGCTAGGATATAGAAAAGAAATTCCCCTCGTGGAAGAGCGAATCCTGCATGGAATATAGAGGTGGTTGTGCTTCCCTTCCCTTCCCCTTCTCGGTCCATATTCCTAATAGAAGGTGGATATCGAGCAATCTTGCAATGGGGTGAAATGTGGGTATCCACTTGACATGGCAGGTACGGATATTAGGTGCATGGAAACTATGGGTGGCATCAAATAGCGGCCATGGATTGATCGTTGATGGTTCGTACTGAACTAAGGATTTAGGGGTTTCCCCGTTCCTCTCGCTGGGTAACGGTTGTCCTCAGTCTACTAGGTAGTCCACTTGTATCACTGATGAAAGATAGATAGATAGCTAGACAGGTTAGTATCCATCTAATTCTTCTTGGATATACTTTGAGAGAGTTTATGCGCGGGGTGGACCCTCCTTTCTGGGTCCTCGTCTCGGTTGGCTGGGAGGGAAGATAAGTGGCCGGTTCTCCATCGTCGAACCTGTGATGTAGCAATGCACGGAAGTCGTTGACGGAGAAGATGCAAGTATGATCCTTGGCATGGGAGAGTACACTCGGCTGTGACCACTGCCGTTGGCGCGGCCAGCAGCATACGAGATCGCGAGATCGCTTCATCTTGCCGATTGCGAGGTGGCAAGTAACCCTAGCGGTGACAGTTGATGAGGGGATGATGCGATGCTAGGGATCTCTCTCTCCGTGTCTCTCTCCCCCCGCCATGCCATTGAGCTGTATGTGATCCAGGCCCGAGGACTGATCTAGTATTGACAGTAGATGTTGTCATGGGAAATGATTCCATGGTTTTGCCCGCAATAGACGCTGGAGTTGACTGACCTCAACGTACCTAACTTGACACATGGACCACACACATCATCATTAAACATTTTGGTTAGTTTGATTAAGCAAATTCTAAGTCCAGAGAGTCTAGAAACAAGACCCAGCTATGCCAATAACATAAGATAATCAAACACAGAGACCAAGAATGGGTAAAAAAAAAGGGGAGAGAAAAGAAAAAAATTCGGTGACGGGGAAGTCGAGTGAGGCAGTGCAACCGGAACCGACGAGTGAGGTTACAGCTCGGCCTGGGGGTGGGAGCTTCTGCAACAATCGTTAGTTAGTAGTAACATTAGTACCCAAGCGCGCGTCCTATCTTTCAAGGTGGCAAGGAGGCGTTCTGAGTCCTCGTGGCTCCAGCCGACACTTACTTTTCCTGCCTACCGGTGGTGAGATGTGTTGATGCTGGGGACAATTTTCAAAGATGAATATAACATGGATATTCTCATCAAGTTCTGTATACTTCGCTTCACTTGATGGCATCTGCAAACGAGAAGATGACCGGACCGTTTCATGGATGGGCCTGGGAATCTGGACCAATCGGTGGATCTTCAGGCGGGACTGACGGATTGCTGCAGATTCTCATTGGTTGCTAGGAGTGCAAGTGCAGGGTTCTTCCAAACCTTTTTGAGCATTAGTGGGAATGTGCTTGGTAACTTAATTACAATACACAATACACCACTTTCTCTCTCTCCTCCTCACCTGGAAGTCCTTCCCTTTGCCCAAAAAGAAGAAAGACGTAATAGACCTCTAACTACCACCACTGCATCTATCCATCTCTCCCTCTCCTCCCTCCCTCCCTCCCTCCCCGTCCCTCTCTTCCTCGCCAACCAGCCCTCGTTCGCCCTGTTTATACCCAATCCTAATTATCCCCTCATTTGTTCTTCTACTGTCGCGCTCTCTCTCTCTCTCTCTCTCTCTCTCTTCAATCCCTCCTCATTCTTCATCCCGCCGTCTCTTCCCTCCCCCGACCCCCCGATCTCGGTGTGCCCGCGGAGCTGCTGTGTTGTTGATTCCAGTCCGTCTAGCTCTTCAGATACCAGACCGTTGAATCCAACGCTCGCTAACTAGGGTCTTATCCATAGTTTGATCTAGCCTCACTGGTGACCATCAAATTTATCAAATCCTGGGCGTTGAGATCGTCGTTTGAGAATCTTCCCGCTCGAATGCGCTCCTGATACACACTACGGGGTCTGGCTCTTTGCTCCTGATAATTTGGTCATCTCCGGCGCCCACGGCCCTCTCGCTCCTCTCCCCTGTCCCCTCCGCCCCATCAATCGCTTGCTCGACAACCCTCTCGGGCGCGCTTACAGTACATCGAAATACTGCTGGTTCGGTAGACGCAGACGTTATTCCACGACCGGTCCAGTCTTGCGGCCGCATCACGATAGTCGATAGACCTCGTTTCACCTAGACCGCATGAGATATCTTGTTCGACCGTTGGCTCCCATGATTCACTCTTGAGCTTAATACCCTCATCCTGCGCCGTGGAATGAGATTCGTCCCCTTGAATGCCTGGCGTCGGAAATACATGACACCGCAGAGCTCGACCGATTCTCTCTTTCCCGAACCGCATTCCACTTGATACTAATATAACCCTTTCCATTCCTGTCCTGTTCCCTCCGCTTCCAAGACCCACACTTTCCTCGGTCGTGTCCTCCCTTGGACGATCATGCCAGACTCCGGACCCGATGGCCAGGATACCAGGCAGTCAGGGTCGACTCCCCTGCGCCGGGAGCGGGCCCCGACCATCACGATTGACACGTCGGCCGTGACCTCTTCTTCAAACGATCAAATCCAACCGCCGGTGCAAATATTACCTCTTCCGCCACAACCTTCGCTGCAGATTTCGACTGACAATGCCGATACGCATGACACCAGCGCTCTTTTGAACAGCGGCGGAGTCTCGCCTACCTCCCTTCGCTCGGCTGCTTCCTCCGAAGCCAGAGACTACGAAAGTCGACCGACGTCACCACACAACTTCTCTTCTCCCGCATCGAAGATGGCCGATTCCATGTCCAACTCGAATTATTTGGCTGTACCTGGAACAAGATCTCGAGGGAACTCGTTGGAGTCGCAGGATTCGAATCAATCGTCCAGTTCGTACGGTGGAGATACATACGCGCCGACTGCGTCGCATGCATCCAACACAGATTTGACGCAGAACACGATAGTCAACGATGAGGATGCCCTGAAGCCCGACCCGGGCCGAGAAGCTGAGTTCGAAGTGGAGGATAATAAATTCGCCTTTTCGCCTGGCCAATTGAATAAGCTTCTGAATCCGAAAAGCTTAGGGGCTTTGCATGCTCTAGGCGGACTTCGAGGAATCGAGAAAGGATTGCGCACCGACGCTCGCAGTGGTTTAAGCTTAGACGAGGACGAATTGGACGGTGCTGTGAGCTTTGAAGATGCGACAGCTTCGCAGACGACCCAGGCCACGCCTAAGTCTTCTTCTCCGGCACCTCAGCGTCCCACGCCAACGGGAACCAGCTCCGCTAAACCCTCCGACAGTTCGTTCACAGATCGCATACGTGTCTATGGGAAGAACAAGCTACCTGAAAGAAAGGCCAAAAGTTTCCTAGAGTTGGCATGGATTGCATACAATGACAAGGTGCTGATTCTATTGACAATAGCTGCCATCATATCGCTTGCGCTTGGCATATATCAATCTGTCACAGCCACCGGCGACGAGGCTCGCGTGCAATGGGTTGAAGGCGTTGCAATCATTGTGGCTATCCTGATTGTTGTGATTGTGGGTGCCGCAAATGACTGGCAGAAGGAACGTCAATTCGTCAAGCTGAACAAAAAGAAGGATGACCGCCTTGTTAAGGTGATTCGTTCCGGAAAGACATCCGAGATCTCAATTCATGATGTTTTGGTAGGCGATGTCATGCATCTGGAACCAGGTGATATGATTCCGGTGGACGGAATCTTTATTGATGGCCACAACGTCAAATGCGATGAATCATCTGCAACCGGCGAGTCGGACGTTCTCCGGAAGATGCCTGCCCACGACGTATTCCGCGCCATCGAGCAACACGACAATGTTTCGAAGCATGACCCGTTCATCGTCTCCGGTGCAAAGGTTTCTGAAGGTGTAGGCACGTTTCTGGTCACCGCTGTGGGTGTTAATTCGACTTTCGGAAAAACAATGATGTCGCTCCAAGACGAGGGACAGACGACTCCGCTGCAGTCGAAGTTGAATGTACTCGCTGAACACATTGCCAAGCTTGGTCTCGCCTCTGGCCTGCTTCTGTTCGTTGTACTCTTCATCAAGTTCCTCGCTCAGCTGAAAGATATGGAAGGCTCATCCGAGAAGGGTCAGGCCTTCCTGCAAATCTTCATTGTTGCTGTGACTGTGATTGTCGTTGCTGTTCCGGAAGGGTTACCACTGGCGGTCACTCTTGCGCTCGCCTTCGCCACGACCCGTATGCTCAAGGACAACAACCTTGTTCGACTCTTGAGGGCATGTGAAACTATGGGCAACGCGACTACTATCTGCTCCGATAAAACAGGCACGTTGACAGAGAACAAGATGACTGCTGTGGCTGCCACCCTGGGAAAGAATCTTCGCTTTGGAGACAAATCATCAGGACCGGCTCTCCGTGCGGATGATGACCGAGGCCGTGACCCTGTGACCACCGTCTCTCCCTCAGAATTTGCTTCCAGTCTTTCCGCGCCAGCCAAGGATTTGTTGGTCAAATCGATCGTGCTTAACTCTACCGCGTTCGAAGGAGAGCAGGATGGTACCGCGACTTTCGTCGGCTCTAAGACCGAGACAGCACTCTTGGGATTTGCTCGGACGTACCTCGGGATGGGTTCGGTCAGTGAAGCACGGGACAATGCCACTATTGCCCAGATGGTGCCTTTCGATTCTGAACGCAAGTGTATGGCTGTGGTTGTCAAGATGGAGAATGGAAAGTACCGGATGTTGGTCAAGGGTGCATCGGAAATACTGGTGGCCCGCTCGACTCGGATTGTCCGTGATGCTAGGCAAGATCTCTCTGAGGTTTCTATGTCTGATGAGGACCGGTCTGTTTTGGACAAAGTCATTGATCATTATGCCTCACATTCGTTACGGACCATTGGTCTGGTCTACCGTGATTTTGACCAGTGGCCTCCGCGAAGCGCAGCCACCCAGGAAGAAGATCGTTCGCTTGCAGTCTTCGATGCAGTCTTCAAGGATATGGTCATTCTTGGCGTTTTCGGTATCCAGGACCCTCTGCGTCCCGGTGTAACAGAATCGGTGCATCAATGTCAACGCGCGGGCGTTTTCGTGCGGATGGTGACTGGAGACAACATCACAACGGCTAAGGCTATTGCTCAGGAATGTGGAATCTTCACGCCAGGAGGAATCGCCATTGAGGGGCCTAAATTCCGTCAACTGAGCAGTCGGCAGATGACCCAAATCATCCCTCGCTTACAGGTACTAGCACGATCGAGTCCCGATGACAAAAAGATCTTGGTTGCTCAACTCAAGAAGCTGGGTGAAACGGTTGCCGTGACAGGTGATGGTACCAATGATGCACAGGCTCTCAAGACTGCCGATGTTGGTTTCTCCATGGGTATCTCTGGCACTGAAGTCGCGAAGGAAGCTTCCGACATTATTCTCATGGACGACAACTTTACCTCCATCATCAAGGCTATGGCGTGGGGTAGGACTGTCAACGATGCTGTCAAGAAGTTCTTGCAGGTAAAGTACCCTCTTGACCTAGTAAGGTGAAATATTTCAAGCAAAGCTAACTATGACCAGTTCCAACTCACTGTCAACGTGACAGCGGTCCTTCTCACATTCATCTCGGCCGTCGCAAGCGGAGAGGAAGAGTCGGTTTTGACGGCGGTGCAGCTTCTCTGGGTCAACCTTATCATGGACACTTTCGCTGCTCTCGCTCTGGCAACGGATCCCCCTTCTCCACACGTTCTCGACCGCAGACCCGAGCCTAAATCGGCGCCTCTCATCACTCCAACTATGTGGAAGATGATCATTGGACAGAGTATTTATCAATTGGTTGTCACCCTAGTCTTGAACTTTGCCGGAAATTCGATCTTCCATTATCATTCAGAGAAGGACACTTCGCATATGCAAACGGTCGTGTTCAACACGTTCGTATGGATGCAAATTTTCAACCAGTGGAATTCTCGCCGTCTTGATAATCACTTCAACATTTTCGAGGGAATGTTGCGAAATGCATGGTTCATCGGAATTCAATTGATCATCATTGGAGGACAGGTCCTGATTATCTTCGTGGGTGGTCAGGCATTCTCAGTCCAGCGGCTCAATGGCGCTCAGTGGGGTGTCTCTCTCGTCCTGGGAGTCATTTCTCTTCCGGTCGGCGTGATCATTCGCTTGATACCAGATGCTCTCATTGCCAAGCTCATTCCAACCTTCTGGCACCGCAAGAAGGGACCTGAACTCTGGGTTTCCGACGAGGATCGCCGCTTCGAGTGGAATCCCGCCCTGGAAGAGATCCGTGACCAGTTGAAGTTCCTCAAGACTGTTCGCGGAGGTCGTCTCCGGCACTTGAAGCACAAACTACAGCACCCCGAAGAACTCCTTCCCAGATCGCGAAGCGGATCACGGTCATCCAGGTCCCGGGAAAACTCGATTCCTGGAACACCTGTGGAGAACAACAGCGATAGCACTCCGCCCATACCGGCGACTCCGGAGTCTCGGTCAAGACGACGAACCCGGTCTCGCTCTAACTCAGCATTTGGGCCGGCGGCTGCTATGGCCGGTGTTGTGGCAGGCAGTATTGCAGGCTGGTCTCCGATTGAACGAACACAGGGAGAAGGAGAGCCTTTCAAGATCCAGGCCGATACACCTCACGGAGGTCTAGACAAGCAAAATGGTATCGAGATTCACCCGGATACCGCCGCGGATGACCGGATCTTGGGCAACTTCAAGGCCACCTCGAAGACACCTCCGAGCCAGAACCCCGAGCTGCTGCCACATTTCGATCATGTTCCCCCTGAGCGTGCGCCATCTAGCCGTAGCAGACGGTCTACGTCGCGCCAATCGCAATCCAGCCAAAGCCATGTCTAAGCGTCTCGCGCTATACCACTTATGCAATACTAGTTTCCGCGATTCTATTCTGTCCCAATGACTTCGATGCTCGGTTTATTGCCGAAAATGTATACTTATTTCCTTTTCCCCATACCCGATTCTCCTTCTCCACATCGAATTTGTCTCTTTCGCTATCCTTGAACTTCTTTGATCCACTCCTTTAGGAGATTGCTCTAGCCTTGCCTTGCGCGTTTGTGTCATAGCATCCTTGTCTTCACAATTCTATCCATATCCCAGGGGAGGTGTCTCGGTTCTGGCGTACGTGGCTTACTATAAAAGGGATTGGCTGTCTGCGCTTTTCGCTTGGCTCGATTATTAGACACTCTTTCTTCTTGCTTGCTCTCTCGCATGGGGATTGGGCGGCGACTCGGGCGAAAAAAAATTCTAAGTTTATATATTTTTAATATCTCTTATCCCAATATAAAGACCATAAATCTTTATAGATCTTTACTTGAAACTAAGTCTATTATGAAAAACCAAGTATATACTTATTCTAGTTTAGTCAGAAGTTATATTATTCCTGCTGTGAAATTATACTGATATAAGGAGAGATACTTCAAGGAAGATAATCTATCTTAATTATCATTTAAAGTATACAGTCCGGGACAGCACAGCTCAATCTCAAATGGCACCCCTCATTGGGCTTCTTCGAATTTCGATGGCTCTATGATCGTCGAGCACCTGGAGGTGAACGTCTTGAGCGTTGTGTCCCTCTACCAAGCCACTCGTTCTCTGCTCGAGAAGTCGATCACCAATCCTGTTTTCGCCATCATGGGGTCTGGAGCTGGAGGTCTAGGGTGAGACATACTCATTCTAATTCCCGTCGGCTTGATTCATGCTGATCTGTTCTTTAGTCGCCAGCCTCCCGTCCCGAGTGCAGCCTACGGAGCTTCCAAGCCCATGCTTCCGTGGTACGCTGTTCGAATCAATTCTGAAGGTCAGTGGTTTAACGCCTTTATACTATATATAGACTAGGTTCAGACCGATATAGGAAACAGTGCTGTGAAAGGGTAGGATCTAGACTCAGCACTGGACTCTATCAATAAATCTCTACACAGCTTATTTGATATAATCACCAAGGGACCTAAAGAGCAGTACAGCAGGAAGGTTGTTCTTTACAACGGTGAAGTTCAAGAATAGTAGATCATCTTGTTCGTTAAGCAATATAAAAGGGCTCAGATGCGTAATCCTGCCAGATTTACCCGGATGTGTCTGTCAAAGGGCGCTATGAGCGACTAAATTAGATCAGATTCAATGCAGTTCGACCTACCGACTCGAGCCCGAAGTATAGCTGGTTATATAGAAGCTGCGTCGCGTTAATGCAGCGAGAACATGATCATGTAACTGTATACAGGGATGGCACAAGTAATTGAACCCCAGCCGCTTAGCAAAAAACAGTCCTTTTCTAAAGCATCTGACACCAATCATTCGAGGCCCCGTCATCTGAGATTCCCTGAGCTGATAAGAGCATCTCGACCCCGCCTGTAGAGAGATAACTTGATGTTTGAGACTCAACCATATACCCGCACCTCTACCACTGGAACTCTGGGGCTGACAACATGGCAAGCACCACCAAAGAACTCCCATTCAGCAAGCTTTCTCTCGATGACCCATCTAGTTTATAGAGAAGAAATATGCATTATATTATATAAATTAAGAGTATTATATTAGTTGCTAAGAACATAGTTCTATAATATAAGCCGGAGCCGTGGCGGGGCAAGCAGGCGGATTTGATTATGTGGGTGAGTTTGTTTGATGGAACAGTTGTGCCGGGTACAGATAGGTTTGGAGACTGGGCACCGGTCGTTCAGGCTGGCAAAGATGGGAGGGAAGTTGAGCTCGAAATGGAAACGAGTGAAGGAGGTGACATCTATATGATTAACCCTACCCCGCAAGCCCTAAGATAGTCGTAAGGCTGTAGAAAGCCTAAGGCACCCTTTCTCCTGACTGACATCCCTATATAATACTGCGTCGATAATCTTGATTGAATAATGATTTCCCGCCAGAACTCATTTTTAAAGCCTGAAGATCGACTGCCTAACACAGAAACGCCCACGCAAACAGCATATCCGATCTCTAAAGTTTGGTAACTCGATCCATTCGCAGGAGTCCCACTCATACAGCTGTGCAAACGTGATGCTAATGTAGTTCTGAGCTCAGTGCACGAGTCTCCGCTAACCACAATAGGGAGGTTATCACAATTGCATTACGATTCCTGCCTGCGTCGAGGCACTCCGGATAGAGATAGTAGCAGATAAGGTCGGCTCCTTTAAACGTTGTGCATATCCCAGCCAGAGACTGGCACAAATGGTGTCAATGCTGGGGTCACACTGATAGAGCGGAGTTGGAGTAATGCTAAATGCAATTCTCGATTTGGGGCACAGGTATGACCACGTGCTATAGTTGGCATTGAACTGCTACATCGGTTCGAGTCGGTCCGGTGGTCGCAGCAGTTTTAAATTGTAGTTGCGGTATCAGTGTATATTGCCGATGCTGTAGTCGTCGCATTCGTCGAGCTAACGGTAATGTAAACTGCGCGCTCGGCAAGATGTGTGATACTACGGCGACAGGGACAGGCGAGGTCCGCACTGGAGGGTAATAGATGCGCAGATAGAGTAACAATAGCATTTCTCCAAACCACTCAAAAAGATAATCAAGGCAAAAACATACAACAGAAGGGATTCGCTGGTGGTCACCCACCCAACTACTAACCTCCCGGCGTGTGGCTTAAGTACGGCTGAGCGGACGGGAAGCCCTGTTTTCCACACCCTGTGGTCGTATGTGCTTGATGCATATTATGTTTGGAATATATACACACTTTTCTCTCGATGAATTACATTGGTTTAAATAGTTGTGAATAATCTTGCTCTTTAGATAGCACGTCCAACACAAAGATAAAACTGAACCTTGTTTTCCGGATTTGGAAGTGATAACCCTTCGATCGCTTCGATCTTACCATGTCGAATAAGTGTTTACCAATTCTCGCGAACAGAGCGGTATTGCAGTCTCCAGATAGCCAGCTGTTTCCAGTAACAAGCTCAGCCATTGTGATCTCGCAGGCGCCAAGTAGCTCATTTCCTTAGACCTGAGTACTTATCGTATTTTTCTACATGTTAGCGATATGTTTCATACATCAGTAGCCCTTGAACATAGCAGGATAAAGAGTATCACCAGAACAATAACTAACTGTGAAAGCGTTTCAGTGCTTCAAGCTTTCTCTTTATACCGGGAATAAGAGATATTACAAACTTATAATAGGATATATCTAACTCTTTTAGATGGTATTATGAAGACTAGAGTGTGGTATATAGTTCCCTTCAATGCATTATGTATTAGAAAGAAAAGGAGAGATTGTTTCCGTTTCCATATCTTCATGGATCCAACCTACAGTATCCCCAAATAAGAGGCAGGCTGCTTTTCACCAGTAAAAAGACAAGATATAGGTCCCTGTGATCTGGCCAGTCTCATATATTTCACTAATCTTCTTATACTTACAGGTCGCGTTGGTATATTTATTGTATAAGAGCGTCCCGACTGTCTATTCCTTTATAGGGTCAATATTCACGTACTTAGCCGTGAGCGAGTAAGTATCGTCGAACATCGTGATTCCGGTTAGACTAGTAGGCCTCCTGGTGCCGGTAATCACGCTGCGGGACTAGATAGTCTCGCGCGGGCAACTACTCTGTGCGAGACCGGGGTACTCGTAATCCAGACCCTAATAGATGTAGGTGTGTTTGTTGTTTCCCACCTCCTCGCGGAGGAATAAAGCCTTGGAGGACTTCTTACTGTAGGTTAGAAGCTTGGTATTAGTAGATATTAAAGCGGCCGCGGTGGTCGTGGTTGTAGTTGTAGTGCTAGTACTGGTTTTACGCGCCGTGGTGGTCGAGGCGGTTTTGGCTGGGTCGGCGGTGTACCCCAGATACGTGTACCACCCTGAGGAGTAGTCTGTGATACTGGACCAGGCGCTGTCGGCCAGGGGCCCACCTTCGCTACCCTGGTCGTTGTTGGGGATAATAAAGGGACAGCTGTCGCCGGTGACAATCGTCGTCATAGTGGTGGCCGTGACGGAGCAGCTGATCTCGACGAGGGTGCTAGTGGTCGTGCAGGAGGTTGAGGTAGAGCTAAGCGATGTGCACGAGATCCAAGTATCAGTGAATGTCTGGCGGGTACAGGTGGAGGTAGAAGTAGCCTTGGAGGTCTGACTCTTATTCGAGTCTTCATTATTGGTATTGGGGTCTGGCGAGTTGCCGTTGATGTTGATGCCCCCCAATCTAAAATCAATTCTGCTATTATTATCTTCGTCGTCATTGTTGTCGTTATCTGGATTTTCATTACTGTTGAACCCTTTGTCTGGACCGGAGTCTTCGTTGTCAGTTGTGCTACCGGTATTGTTGTCATCGTCGGTGTCGATGTCGCTGTAGATAAACCTGATTCCACTACAAGCCTACAAACAGCCGCAAAAGTGATTGCTATACAGTTTCCCACAGTCGGTTGTGCACTTGGGGCTCACGGGACTATCGGCAACGGTGATGGTCGGGGGCTTGGGAACTATGAGGTCGTCGTCGCTGCTGTCCTTGCCGTAGGCCCTAGTATCCCAGGGGTAAGGTGGAATGATGACTGTGCGCGTCCGCGGGGTATGCGTAACAGAGCTTTGATCCAGAGGGTTGGGATCATCCGTGATGATTACTGTACTTGGGGGAAGACGAGGCGTGGGATGAACGGTAACTTGACTATCAGTAGATCCGCTGATCACCACAGCCGAGAATTCCCAGCCGGTTACCTGGACTTGATTCAGATATCTCAACGTTAGTCGGCCTGCACTCAACATTCGAATTGGACAAACCTACTCGGTGGTAAGTCAATTGTAGTGTCGTTAGAGACATTAGACGCCGAGGACGAGCTGGAGGAATTATGTCCAGTCGAACCAGTGGAAGAGTCCACAGTGGAGCGCAGCTCACAGGCACTATCAGGACAATATCCTCGACTACACGCGAAATCGCATAAGCCGTGATACTGGTTGTAAACGACAGTGGACACTGGAACCCCCGTAAGACTAGAGTTGGCCGCCGGAGCGTCGACCAACACCCCCTCTGTCGTACACGTGCCTGAATGAATCGGACAGTAACCAAAATTGCAGGAGTAGGAACACAACCCTTCAAGGTCGTCTTCCCCTGTTCCGGCCACGCAGGCGAAAGGAGTGAAGGGGGAGGTGCTGGGAATAGTCAATGGCGAGCTGACTGTGGCACATGCGCCTTCAGAACAATATCCATAGTTGCATGTAAAGCTGCACAGCCGACTGTAGTTGGCATCCTAGGGCTGAGAAGAAGATTTGGTCCTCCATTACCTCGGTGGGAAGAACCTCAATCTGAAGTTGACTGATGGTGTTGACCGTGGTATTGCCGTCGTTGCACTCCAGTATGTCGTGCGTATCCACGTGGTCAATGACAATACCAAAGCCATTATCCACGAAGTCTGCGGCGGCCCCCCTCCTGTTTGGCCCGGAACTACCTTCAAGATCAGTAGCAAGCAGACCAAATCAGGAGAGTACATCAATCGAGATGGGCTTGCGCTTCTTGGAACCCCAAATGGCGGCGGGATTGGTTGGCTCCTCATTAACCACAAGCAACAATTTATGGATGGAAGGAAACCTAAAAGGCCAGTGCAGGTTACAGTCTGGAGGACCACAGGTCATAGTGATGGAAAGGATTGGTATCATATGATTTTCCAGTTAAAGAACCTAGCAGCTCTGCGTTCATGAGCTACCAGAAAGGCCGATGGAATGCGCGTATTGATTGTGAGGTAGGGTGTCTCTTGAACTTCTTTGAAAGACTAAACAGTGTCTCGGAAAAACAATGTTATCAAAATTGATTTCGTAATATGAATACCTCTTATCACTCATTTTACAATGCCAGGCGAGTGGGATAATTGAATAGCTCCCACGGATCAAATCCTGACTCATTGAGTTACAGAACTAAATCCTTGCCTCCTGCGCCTCTTGCTTCTCCTGCACTAAACGAGCTGCAGCAAATTCAGACCACCGGTATTGTAGTTCATCTGACGTCCTGAAGCTTGGGTTAAAACCCACCGGGACCTCGGTCCCATCAGGAGCTCTCACGACCTGAGAATTCCCATCGCCCTCATCACTACGTTGTGCAGACATAAGACCAAGATTATAGAGCCTCCAATAGTCCCAGAATACCATTCCCAGTGCTAACAGTGGTCGGGAATCTAGCAAGGAACATGTTTGGAATAGAGCTCGACGTCCAAAGGCCTCGCATGTTGGTAGCATCTGCCACATACCGGGGAGATTGCGTCCCTCCGTAGCAGAAATAGTGTTGGCCCATAGCCCCGCAACAGGCTTGCACGTGTCCTCCTCAGAAGGTGGTAGGGGTGGAGGACTCCAAGCCCTGAAGTCACAGATTAGAGAATCGTGACGTCCAAGAGATAATGCGTTGGGCAACTCTAGCCAGAATCGCAGGTAGAAGGTGTCGGCAGCTGCAACCAGTGGGTCCGACAAATTCGGATGAGTACAAATATCCTGGAGACACTCTGATACTGCGCGCATTTCATCACCTGTAGGTTCTCCTCCGCGTATCACACCTTTCTTAGGCTTTTCTGTAGGGACAGGAAAGCCTGAAGTGCGTAGATAGAGATGGAGCTCGTTAATCGGCCAGTCTAGCTGGAGAGAAACATTCCATACATCTGAATACAGCTGCAAATGCCACAGAGCCCGATAAACACGGTACTCCTCCACCCAAGACGGGGGGCCGGCTTCTCGCTGTGGATATGGTTCTCCCCCCTTCAACTTCCCGGCCGTATCCCGACCATAGCTTCTCGGTTGCACCGCTCGAACGCGTGCCAGAAAGGTGGTTAGGCAGGCGCAGGCCAGTCGCTGGATATTAGCTGCAACCCGGACCATATCCCGCAGTATAGTACCGGTTATAGAGGTAGGGCTCAAAGGTGATAAATAATCCTGCGCCATAAACTCGGCTAGAGTCAGGTTGCATCCAGAGGAGAAGGAAGGGCGCCGGAGATCCGCACATATCCGGAAAAACTGGTGTAGTTGATAGCTCATCACTGGGTTTGTACGCAGGATGTTCTCAACAAGATTTATAGCATCGGGGTGAGCTTGATCCAAACCTTCCTCCGGGGTGAACAGTGCGGCGATGCGTGGCGAAACTTGAATCAGACTGTCAAGCCCAGCCCAATCAGCAGCTTCCTCGCTGATTGAAGATAGGAGCTCATAGGGTAGGGTGCTGAAGGGGTCCATATTTGGGATGAAAGAGCAATTCAGGTATAATCGGAAGTAAAAAGCTGATGATGAACGTGTAACATGATCCAAATGTTGCTGTCTTAGATTTTTTTGAAAAGGGCCTGCAAGCGAAGATAACGCCAAGAGAAGACTAATTGAGACTATTGGAAAGATTGAAAGAATCAAGGGACTTACGCTTGAGCGTCTGATACCCTCCTTTCTCACACTAGTGCCTGGATCCCAAATACTGTCTGTATATACTAGTAATACTAGTGGTGTACTATATGCATCTACAAACTAGAGAATCAAATTGAACATGTCCATGACACATTACCAGATTGAAAGAGGATTGCCCGAGGAATTTGCTGCACATCTCAGCCCCTTTCTGATTGCTAGAGCTTTAATCACATATGAAGCCTCTCCCACCTTATTCCGCTGTCTCAAGGTTCTTCTTATCGCCTCTATCCCCAACCGTGATCTTTCGTGTCCTAGGCCTTGCTACACTACTAGCTCTTGGATTCAGTGCTTCGGTTTCACCACCACCGCGAGCAGCCCGTCTCCAAGGACTATAATCCGCTATTTGTGTCTGAAAGCTGTCAATGGCCAGCAGCAGTCTCGCCGGTCTCGTCAATTGCTCTTCCCTCTGCCTCCTCCGGAATCCCGACTCCGTCTCTATTTGCAGTGGGTTTCCTAACCCTTTTTTCTTGTCTATCCTCTTATCCCTGCTGGTAACCACGTTACTGACAATAAATCTTTTAGGCACAATGATCTGAAGAGTCTCCCTCTGTAATCATCAAGCGCGAGCCTACTTCGCATCATCACCCTACACATCGTCACGGACATTCCCATCACTAAATAGGCACATAACCCAGTGTAAGCTAGGTCTTACCCAAGTTATACTTTTCTACAGATATTCTTTTTAGCTCTTAGTCAATAATATATCCTTCTGGGCTTGACTCTGTAATGTCTGACTGTACTTGATACATATAAAGTACAAAGTCCGTGCAGCATATTAACGAAATCGGCCAATCCCATATACAGTATACACAGCAAACTTGCCTTGTATGTTATAACGTGATTCGTCTGAGCTAATTGTCAAAAGTTCTGCGATCTCGTTCGCCGCACGCCATGTCATCGATTGCGCTCAGAGATGCTCACGTACTCGGAGTCTATGCACATACCCATTCATTCCCTTACCAAGCAGAGTGAAAAGACAAACATAGGCTACCTTCGATCAAAAGCAAAGTCTCTCTATCGGTGCCCCTTAATGTTGCACGTTTAGCTATCGTTAGATGTGTCACCATAGGTTGACCGGACTTAACTTGCTTCAGAATGTTTGGTATAGCCGAGAATCATTGGGGGAGAGGGTCGAAGTTAGGGATGCTCCTGACGGGGAGAAAATACCAGAAACACGAAAGCATCTGCGAGCAATGACGGAGACACACGACCCATTTCCCAGAACAAGGATACGAATACATCCTCGGAACACTTACTCGTAGCCAACGGGCTTGGCGAGTTCACATCAGTATACAGGTTTCCCATGCGCTAGTCAGCTAAGATGGCGTATCTGTCGCCTGGCCTCGCTGGGTCAACTACCTTGCTTGGATCTTGGGCGGCAGATGGTAGACGATATTCGAACCAATACGTCAGAGCACGTATGAGTCGTCGAGAGAGCTTTCAGAAAAACCATGAGCTCATTCACACATACCCCGAGACTTTGTTTCATGATCAGCCAAATCTCTGTTTACCCCACGATTAGGCAATTGATGATCGTCCACGAGGTGACTAGCCCCTGCTAGAAAGTCAAACAGGTTTGTTCCTTATCCTGGGTCACCGTGTAATGGCTCTTCCCCTTACATGGTTGGGGCATTCTCCGGAATGCATAGCAGAGCTTAAAATGGCAATATCAGCAATGGCATGTGGTGCTTCCAGCCACATGACTTAGCCGTGCGAAAAACACATTCAGCCTATGATATCTGAAAGGAAAAGAGAAGGGTGACATCCAATCTTAGTGACAATGCGAAGAATGGACTCGAGGGTCGTCTCTTCCCCGGTTTTTTATGCTAATGGATACCTGCCCCTTGGTCCATCGGGGGAAAAGAGCTGGGTCAGCGGTGCAACGCGATTCCGATCAGGCCAGGAGGGCGACGACAGGGCCCTAGCTCTACTGGAAGGCTGTGGAATGCCGATAGAGAAAGTAGCGCGGCCGTGGTTGCACGACCAAGGGCGAAGGGTGATGTCAGTCCAGTAACCTGCCGAGGAAACGTGAAGTTGCACCCGCCTGCTGTACCTGCTGTTGATTTGGCTTCTGATCGTTGATTGTCTCCGAGGATTACATATATACAAGGGTTGGTCCTGACTGTATCCGGATTGTTGTTGCTGCGGAATAGCAAAAAGCACCTGTGCGAGGACGGCATCCCTTCGCACCAGAGGTAACCCACGAGCTAAATGGAACCCGGGATCGAGAAGCAGGGAGGATGCTCTTCTCTGCAGAGTGTAACAGTGACACACGAAGAGTCCGGAACCGAAAGTCCATTCCTAGTCAACCGTGAGTCGAGATATCAACGATGGGCGAGGGGCATCAAAGGGCTTGAAACTCGCGGGGTCGAGCCAGTGCCCATCGAGGAGAGGATGAAGAACACCAAGTTTACGTCGTTTGAAATGTTCCTTACATGGCTAAGCATGGGTATGGCCATCAACAACACGGTAACCGGATCGCTGGGAACGCTGGTCATGAAGCTGAGCTTCACCGATTGTGCGCTGTGCGTAATATTCAGCACCCTTCTCGGGGGCCTGGCAATTGGATACATGAGCACCTGGGGTCCGCGAAGTGGGAATCGCACACTGGTAGGCTTATCTTTTCCACATACTAGGCTCTTTCTCTATCGCTCTCACGCCTATACCCCGTCACACGATCAGTCCAAGCAACTCACCGCTTCTCTTCTTCTAGATTGTGTCCCGGTTCTTCATGGGGTATTATCCCACAAAAGTATGCTGCATCCTGAATGTGATGTCGTGCCTCGGCACTGGGATGATGAGCGCGACTGTAGGAGGTCAGCTACTGTCCAAGATATCAGGAGGGGGTCTGTCGGTGATAGTTGGGATCATCATCGTGGCGTTGGCGAGTTGGACGATGGCCACGTTCGGGATGCAAATATTCCAGTACTATGAAAGGTATGGATTGACTGCCCTTGATCTTATTCGAGAACTGACATTCATGGTTGTGATCCAAGGTATGCCTGGTTTCCACAGTTGATTGTCTTCTCTCTCCTCACCGGGTCGGCTGGCCCACAATTCGACTTCGATAGCCCGTCGGTTGGGTCCACCGCGCAAGTCAACGCCAAACGGCTGGCGTTTTTCTCGCTATGTCTGTCGATTCCGCTATCCTGGGTTCCTGTCGCTGCCGACTATCACGTCTATTATTCTCCCGATATCAAGCGATGGAAGATCTGGACGGTAACTACTATCGCCGCAAGCCTCGCGTTCACCATTACCCTTCTGCTCGGTGCCGGACTGGGAAGCGGGGTGGCACATAGTGCCAAGTGGAGTTCAATCTATGATGGCACACCAGGAAGTCTGTTGATGGCGGGATATGATCGACTGGGACCGCTGGGGAGGCTGTGTGCCGTGGTCAACGTCCTGACGATCGTGTCCAACAACGCGCCGGCTTCGTACTCGACTGGGATGAACTTCCAGATGCTCGGGAACGTGTGGCGCAGGTTTCCGCGCCCAGTGTTCACCACCGCCAGCACGCTAGTGTACGCCTCCTGTGCCATTGGCGGCCGGGATTCCTTATACGATATCTTCAGGAGTGTTTTGCCACTGATCGGATATTGGGCCATTATCTGGTTCACCATCGTGGTGGAAGAAGACCAGATTTTCAATCGACGCCGAGGGTATGACTGGGACGCATGGAACGATCGGTCGAGGCTTCCTGTTGGCATCGCAGCCAGTATTGCTTTTCTAATCGGTTGGATAGGAGCTATCGTTGGCATGGTAGGTCACTCTGTGCGCTTCTGCTCACAGAATCATGGGCCCACTGACCTGGTACTAGGATCAAACGTATTTCACAGGCCCCGTTGCGGCTACGATCGCGGAGGGATGCGATCTGGGCATTTGGCTCGGAATGGGCTTCGCCGCGCTAGCTTTCCCGCCCTTGAGGCTGCTTGAGGTCAGATTCATTGGTCGCTGAGCACGTAATGATCGACGGCCAGATTACAGTCTTTGTCGTCTTTGTTGGACGTGAGAATGGCATATATCGAACCCGTGGCTGGTTGATTGTAAGCAAGATTAGTACATCTCTCTATCGTTTTTTCGGTGTGCATAGATTACCGGATCGATGACCCTGGATAGTGAAATTAAGAAGCATGTATGTAGAGTCAAATCAGTCAGCAGGTACATCTGCCGACAGAAGTCTGCGGTATGCGCCTCTAGACCATAAACGGAGATTATTATCGCTTTGCTTCAGGGCAGAAAGCCTCGTGGATCTTGGAGAAGTGACGAATGAGATTACTCCAGAAATGGCACGCGCGATAAGCGAGCAGTAGGTCATGCATGCCACTGCATGCGTCTCAGTGCAGCAGAATCATCTCTAGTGGCTTGGAGATCGAGAAGATCGCTGACGGCAGAGAATGAAAGAATCGCTCGTACTGGTGTGATAAGAGCAGCTGGTAGTAGTATCTCCTATTCGTCATTTCAAGAGCTTGGGCTGTCTTAGGCACTTTCACTGGAATACATCCAGTGGGGGCATTGATTGAGATGTTGAGAGCTCTGCGAATAGAGAACGGATAGAAAATGTTTCACTAGACGATAACCCTCATCTGCATCTTGACAAAGGTGATGCATACAGCAGCATCGGGATCGCACTTCGAAGAGCTTACCTCACCGCCCTGAAGTGAAGGATCGATATGATGCCCGCAGATCCTCCCGGGAAATCGACCAATCCAAAACGTAGATGCGGGGGTGGTTTTCGAGATTCTCCCTCCGCGACCCGTGACCCCGGTTCTCCACCCCAAATAATCTATCGGGTCCCCCCGCTCGGATATCCGTTCCACTTGTTCCTCTAGCCTGGTATGAGTTTACACTCACCTGCAGCACTGGTGTTGACTTCCCCCCCTTCAAAATTTGTTGAAGTCAAAGTAGGTGAGTTTGAGGATGGTGACTATCTGAAGCCAGATTGTGCAGATGGTCCGGCCTGGCCCTTCAGTCCTAACACTTTTACCAATTTCTGCAACGATCCCCATTTCCATTGCTGACCTTGACGTTTCAGTAGTGCCTCAAAAAGCCACCGATCAATCAAAGATCATACTGACTTACTGCGGTCATCGAACAAAGGCATCAAATCGAACGCAGAGAGCTGATGGCAAATGGCACGGAGCACTCCGGAGGGAAGGGAGCATCGCTGTTTTCCCCCGAAGCTGCAGTTCAACAATATGTGACGTACTTTGTGCTCGCCACTACTTCATATGTGATCTTAGCTAGCCTTCTTCGGTTTCGCCGGGTGAAATGGATGCACACAAGATACAACTATCCCACTCGAGAGTCCTTCGCTCGCATGACTGATGACGATGCTTGGGCGATCCAGAAAGCCATGCTAGAGTTGGAATTTCCGTTTTTCTACCTCAAGTCACTCCAGTTCGCCCTCTTTCGAGTCAGTTTCCATTTCTATACTTTCCCATTTTCGTAACTTTCTGCTGTCCACTGCTGTCCACTGACACCACTTCAGACCTATGGCATACCGTCCATCTCTAAACTCCTTGCAGCCACGGCGCAGTTCTCCAAGCCGGAGACATCGCTGAAGCGCTACGCGGACACCGTTGTCTTGATCCAGGAGTTCATTGGCAATTCCCCGTCGTCGCGACGTGCTCGGACTTCTATTGCGCGCACCCGCTGGATGCACAGTGGGTATCGCGCCTCAGGCAAGATCCTCGAGGATGACATGCTGTACACTCTCGCGCTGTTCGCTGTGCAGCCAATCCGGTTCTTGGAGAGATACGAATGGCGGAGCGCGACCGACATGGAAAAGTGTGCAATTGGTACTTTCTGGAAGAGCGTTGGCGACAACCTGAGCATTAGTTATGATGTCTTGCCATCAGGAAAGAAGGGATTCAAGGATGGTCTTCACTGGTTGGAGGAGGCGATGGCTTGGAGCGACGCGTATGAAACCAGATGCATGATACCCCATATCAAAAATCGAGAAACGGCCGACCAGACCACAGAGGTGCTGTTATACATGGTTCCAGCAGCATTCAAGCATGTCGGGTTGAAATTCGTGTCTTACATGATGGATGATCGTTTGCGAAAAGCTATGCTGTAGGTGCAATGCCTGGTTCTTGTGTAGCACCAGCTCGACAATGATTTGAGCAACATAACTAACCGGCTGAGTCTGTAGGTACGACCCGCCCCCTGCAGCATATGCTCGGGTCTTCTCGGTTTTGTTGTCTGTGCGCCGGTTTGCCATGCGTTACCTCGCTCTTCCCCGGCCTTATGTACTGCGATATCGGACCTTCACCGATGAAGACGAGCATGGCCGCATTTTCTCCACCGAGTGGGATGCGGCACCCTACTACGCGAAACCGACGTTGCGGAACCGTTGGGGGCCAATTGCCTGGTTGACCTGGGCGTTTGGCAGGCCTCTGCCAGGCGACGAAGGTCGTAAATATTACCCACAAGGGTACTACATACCTGATGTTGGTCCAGAGTACTTTGAAGGCCGGGGGCGAAAGGATATGGAGCAGATCACGAAGGAGTTGGAGTCCTCCCGCAGGGGACAATGTCCTTTTATCTGACAGACTTAGGCTAGTGAGTCTGATGATATCACGACAGCATCAATCGCAAACCTAAATCTACCATCATCACGTCAAACTTTCTAGGGTAGCGCTGACGAGATCATTTGAGTTAGATTGACAATGTCTATTATTAAATTACATTGAAGATATCCCTATCAGGTCTACAAACATGCTCTTTTCCCTAAAACAATCATAGAGCCAACATCGCAGCCTCCCTACCGCGCATTAAAGTTATCCAGCACCGCAAACTCCTTCGCAGCCTCCCAGATTTGCTCCACACGCCTCACAACCTCATCCTCAAGGGGCCCCTTCTCCAGCGCCGCTAACGTCTGCTCCAGCTGCTCAACACCACTCGCTCCCGCAATAATCGCATCTCTGAGCTCCCCCTTCAACGCAGAATGATACGTCACCCACCGATACGCCAACTCCGCCTTGGGGATCCCCGCCTGCTCCGCGACCTCATTCCAGCGATCCAGCACAGCCAGCATGTCCGGGTTCACATACAGGCCGCGGTAGATCTTGCCGAACCCCGAGCCGGGATCCCAGCGTCCGCTCGACCCGCTCGCATTCCGGAGCTGCTCGCTCGTCTTCGTGAGGAACCCGCCGGCGATGGGGCTATAAGCATAGAACCGAATGTGGTGCTCCCGCAGCAAGGGGAGAAGGTCCGTCTCCACGAGCCGCGAGATGGCGTTGTAGTTGCCCTGGTATACAGTCGGGCGCACGTAGTCGTGCTCCTGGCAGAGGCGAAGCACCTCTCTCGTCTCTGCGGCGGTGAAGTTCGAGAGCCCGAACTCCTTGATCTTGCCGGCTTGGTAGAGGTCGTTGATGCCTGCGAGGGTCGGCTCGAGCGGGGCGCTGCGGTCTGGGGCGTGGATATAGAAGACGTTGATCTGTGATGTGTGTCTGGTGTTTTAGCCCTCGCCTCTTGTCGGGTGTATGTGTGTTTACTGCTATAGGTGACAGAGAGAGTAGAACGGGGGAAAGGAGACGTACGGAATCGGTGTTCAGTTTCCTCAGACTCTCCTCTGCATCAGCGATGACCGCTTCTCGTGACGAGCGTCCCGGCCGAAATCCGCCGCCGTGCTTGGTGTCCAAGGCGAAGCCTTCGGCGGCTGCATTGGCTTGGCCGAGGAGTTCCTCGCTTCGACCGTAGATCTGGGCTGTGTCGATCTGCTGAATGTTGTGACGGTGGAGGATCTGGAGGATTGCGGCGGTTTTGGCTGGGGTGTTGAGGTTGCTGCTGTCGTTGACGAGGCCGGCGCCGAAGATGATGTTTGCGTGCGAGGGAGACATAGTGGGAAGCGCGTTGCTTTGCTAAGACAAGAAGAGTATGATGAGGAATGAATTGTTGGAGCAGATGATGCTTGAGGCTCTAGGTAGGGTTCATTGTGTGTATGGACTGTTCACTTTTTATACATGACGGGGCTAGTATAGGGGCTGATGTATAGATGGGCTGGCTTATTAAACGCAAGGCCATTTGTAAGCGTGGGACTACGTTCTTGATTTCAAATCGCAGGTCTCTAGCACGTTCGCTCGTGGCTTGCAGGATCGTGGGAATTTGTAAGGGGAGAAGCTCTCTAGTTATATTATCGAGAAGAAAGGCTGTAGTGCATGGATATATGACTGGGGGAATGTCCTTCAGTCAGTAGGTGGGTCTCGATATTATGGAGGGATCATAGCCCAGGTAGCTTGGAGTGCTCTTCTGAAGAACTTGGCTGCGCATGCGCTGCCCTAAGCCATTATTCTAGTAGCAGTTAAGTACTCAACACAGGCAAACAACCATTCCTAGTAGTTTGGAGGGAGACAAGCTAAATCTGTCCAGTTAGCGAGATCCGGATGTGAACACTGTCCACCCCCCTCCTAGTGATTGTCGTCATCACCTACGAATCTCGGAAACCGCAAAATCTAGATAGCAAAGAAATAACTTGGCAAAGCTGCCAAGTTCAATTCAAGCCAGTCACCCAGGTAGAACTAACAAGTTGACCGTTGGATCGGATTGATGTAGTGAAGAATTGTGGTGTTGTGAGTTGTGACGCAGTGGAAACGAAGCCAAGCCTTGAACCAAAACAAAGCTTCATCGTCACGGAAGCTTCGAAGAAGATTACATAAACCCGTATCTCCCCGCAAAGCCGACGGCCCTGTGATCTCATCCAACTGCTGCTTTGTTCTTAAATATTTTCAATACCTACACCTACACCTACACCTACACCTACTGAGTCGATAGGCTGCTACATCCTAGCGACGGTCGCATCGCCCGGCCCAACCCACACCCACCAGCGCAATGGCGTCACCTTCCTCGAACGACGCCGCCTCGAACCCGGCGCCATTCGCCAATTTCCCGCAAGACCCCTCCGAGTTTGACAGCGACCCGCGTATCTCGTTCTCGAAATTGGACGACAAGTTCATCCTCGAAACCGACGACGGACAGGAATATGAATACGATACGGTTCTGAAGCGGTGGATTCCGACGGTGTGTGAGCGCTCTCTCTTCGGCTTGGTGGACACCCTCCTTGTATCTGCCAGCTGTTGAAGTCCCTCTTTCCCTCCCCTCTGTTGTCTTGATTATCTTCCTTCGCAATATACGATGCGGAGTTTTTTTTTTTTTTTTTTTTTTTGGTTATGGGGCTTGCTTGCAGTTGCTGTTGGAGACAGACCACGGAATTGAGGCTGTTTCTGTGAACGGGACTTTGGTTGGTTCGTGAAAACTGATTTGCTTGGTTGGCGGCGGGTGTTGCTCTTCCAGGTCGACGACGACTTGCTCCAGAAACAGCAAGAAGCCTACAAAGTCCAAGGGGTGGATGAAGATAGAGAGGTGACGGCGTCTCAACTGAAGAAGAAGCGCAAGCAACAAGGCAATGGCGAAGAGGTCAGTGCCATCCTCCTTAATTTCCCGGATTCCTTTACCGTGTCTCCACCATCCTCTTGGCTATGATTTATGAAAATCAGAAGCTAAAAGCAAGCTGGGGTCACTACTGCAGGGCAATGCACAGAAACAGAAGAAGCAGCGCGTTAACACGGCGGTCTTCGTGACGTCGATCCCTCTCGATGCCAAGTTCGACGAGATCCGAGATCTATTTTCCAAGTGCGGCGTCATCGCGGAGGAAATTGACAGCGGTCGACCGCGGATCAAGATGTATAACGATGATGACGGGAGCTTCAAGGGGGAGGCGCTTGTTGTCTACTTCCGACCGGAGTCCGTAAACTTGGCAATTCAGATGCTGGATGATTCGGATTTTAGACTGGGCGTGACGGGACCGCACGGCCCGATGCGCGTGCAGGCCGCAGATTTCTCCTTCAAGAGTCAGCAAGAGGCACCGACGAAAACGAGCATGAGAGATAAGAGGAAGATCATTCAACGAACGCAGAAGCTCAACAGGTGAGGGGACACCGAGGGCATCGAGGTTCATATATGCTAATCTGCGTACGGTAGTAAACTTGCCGATTGGGACGACGACGATCCGTCAGCACTTCCAGATACAAGCTCCCGCTTCGAGAAGGTCGTCATCTTGAAACACATGTTCACGCTGAAGGAGATAGATGTACGAGTTAATCCTCAAGCTTTGATCTTATGTAATAAGCTGACACGCTGGAACAGGAGGACCCGGCCGCTATTCTGGACATTAAGGAAGACATTCGTGAAGAATGCTCGAAGCTCGGAGAAATTACGAACGTCGTCCTCTACGATAAGGAGCCGGCGGGTGTTGTGAGCGTCCGCTTCCAGGACCCGGAAGCTGCCCGGAACTGTGTCAAGGTGGGTGGTTCAGGGAGAAGACGCGATTGCACCCCCTGCAGTGTTACTTGCTAACAATTCATGTCGTCTAGATGATGGACGGGCGCTATTTTGCTGGCACGCGAGTGGAGGCTTACATTTCTGACGGGAGTGAGAAGTTTAAAAAGACCAATGAGAAGCGAGCAGCGCTCGAAGACATGGCCGAGAAAGGGTTTGACGCAGAGGATGAGGAAGAGCAGCGCCTGGATGAGTTTGGCACATGGTTGGAAAGCTCTCACACAGTGGAAAATACTGCTAAGTGAGGTCGCTGCGGTGATGAGGGGTTTTTAGGTATAACAAGTAGATCTGCATCAACAGCGGCAATTTGCTCAGAACAACTGGGGGGCCGCAGGGTAGGGAGGGCTTGATGCCCGTAATCATCAAGACGTAATGAAACACATGTGTACTATAGTAAAGAAAAAGAAATTATGACCTCAAGCCACGGGGAAACATAAAGAACGGGCAGTGTTCATAACAACATCCTCGCCATCATGCGATCAAGCTGGGGATGCCTAGGTAGAGAAGGGGGGATATCAATAGGGGAAAGTCTGGTTCGCGTTGTTGGTTGCCGAATGTTTTGGTTCCTGACTTTTGAGGCACTGATCTTGGCTTCCAGCGAATCCCCTGGCGGCCAATGAACGCGCCAAACCCGATCGGGCCGAGTCCTTAGCCCCCTATTATTCACTTTCAGTCCCGGGAAAAAACAATCAAGCCACGGTTTGTGTTGACATTTTTTTGTTATGTTATGAATGATCCGGTACATCTCCACTACCAAGCTGGAGTCCACGGTGCACCACTAAAACTGTCACTGTTACTAGCACTAACCCAGGTACTAAGTTGGGGCCCTCTTTCCCCCTCCACCCCCCCTCCCTCCCCCCTTCACCGCTCTCCTTCTCTACCCAAACTTCCCAATCTAACCCAATTCCTCGTTTTCTCCCTTCATCCCTCCTCATCGACTGTCTTCCCCAGTCTCTTCCACCGAACCCCTACATTCCTCCATTTCCTACTCCGACCTCTATCAACTCAGTTTTTCTCTCACTCAAGACCCTCAGCTACCTTTCACAATGCGCGAGATTGTAGGTGGTCCCTCCCTTTGTTGTCCTCCACGGGAAAGACGCGTCGTCGTCTTGACTTCACTCTCTCCTGATAGGCCCCCGCTGGATCTCCAACCGACAACATGTGGCTAACCTTATTTTTTTCTACAAACTACAGGTTCACCTTCAGACTGGTCAGTGTGTAAGTGAAACCGTGTCGGCATATGACAGCTTCGTGTTTGGGTATATGGATGCAGTGGACTAAAACATGGTGCTGGTGACAGGGTAACCAAATTGGTGCCGCTTTCTGGTACGTCTCAGCTGGAGTGAGCGGAGGCATGACATGTTCCTAAGACTCTGTCAAAGAGTTCAGACTGTTCTGTCAAAGCTTCTCTGTGTGTTCAATTGAGCTAATAATGTTTCAGGCAGACTATCTCTGGCGAGCACGGCCTTGATGGCTCCGGTGTGTAAGTACCGACTTTCCAGGCCGCGGGTCAAACAGATACACGGAAAAGGGTGAAGAATCCTAACCCAAGGACAGTTACAATGGCTCCTCCGATCTCCAGCTGGAGCGCATGAACGTCTACTTCAACGAGGTTCGTTTCGATCGAGTCTTTATGTCTCCGGCTTCCCGCAGCAGCTCCTGACTCCTTCACCAGGCTAGCGGCAACAAGTATGTTCCTCGTGCCGTCCTCGTCGATCTCGAGCCCGGTACCATGGACGCCGTCCGTGCCGGTCCTTTCGGCCAGCTTTTCCGCCCCGACAACTTCGTCTTCGGTCAGTCCGGTGCTGGTAACAACTGGGCCAAGGGTCACTACACTGAGGGTGCCGAGCTTGTCGACCAGGTTGTTGATGTTGTCCGTCGCGAGGCTGAGGGCTGTGATTGCCTCCAGGGTTTCCAGATCACCCACTCCCTCGGTGGTGGTACTGGTGCCGGTATGGGTACTCTCTTGATCTCCAAGATCCGTGAGGAATTCCCCGACCGTATGATGGCTACCTTCTCCGTTGTTCCCTCTCCGAAGGTCTCCGACACCGTTGTTGAGCCTTACAACGCTACGCTCTCCGTCCACCAGCTCGTTGAACACTCCGACGAGACTTTCTGTATCGATAACGAGGTATGTTCTAGAGGAGATGGTCCTGTCGGGAGTATCGCGCAATGAACTAACCGGGTGGCCGCTATAGGCTTTGTACGACATCTGCATGCGCACGCTCAAGCTCTCCAACCCCTCCTACGGTGACCTTAACCACCTGGTCTCTGCCGTCATGTCCGGCGTGACCACCTGCCTTCGTTTCCCCGGTCAGCTCAACTCCGACCTCCGCAAGCTGGCTGTCAACATGGTTCCTTTCCCTCGTCTGCACTTCTTTATGGTCGGCTTCGCTCCTCTGACCAGCCGTGGCGCTCACTCTTTCCGCGCTGTCTCCGTTCCCGAGTTGACCCAGCAGATGTTCGATCCCAAGAACATGATGGCTGCTTCTGACTTCCGTAACGGACGTTACCTCACCTGCTCCGCCATCTTGTATGTTGCCTCGATTCCGTGATGTGATAATCTTGGTACTGACTGAACTTAGCCGTGGACGTGTCTCCATGAAAGAGGTTGAGGATCAGATGCGCAACATCCAGAGCAAGAACCAGACCTACTTCGTCGAGTGGATTCCCAACAACATCCAGACTGCTCTTTGCTCTATTCCTCCTCGTGGTCTCAAGATGTCCTCCACCTTCATCGGTAACTCTACTTCTATCCAGGAGCTCTTCAAGCGTGTCGGTGATCAGTTCACTGCTATGTTCCGTCGCAAGGCTTTCTTGCACTGGTACACTGGCGAGGGCATGGACGAGATGGAATTCACTGAGGCTGAAAGCAACATGAACGATCTCGTCTCCGAATACCAGCAATACCAGGACGCCTCTATTTCCGAGGGCGAGGAAGAGTAGTAAGTTTCTCGACCGTCGAATTCCGTCTAACTGCGCTAACTTTGTCACAGCCCCGAGGAGGAGATCCTTGAGGGTGAGGAGTAAACTTTTGGCTGTCGAGTATGACACAAATCGGGACGCGCTCTTTAATACCCTTGATAAGTGTATATTCTCAAAGGACGTTGATCCGCTGAACCGGTCATCGTCGGTGAATTATTTCGTTTGAGCGCTCTTTATTTTACCCCTTCCTGTTTTTAATTACTTAGGCCAATGGAAGCCTGAAACTATCAAAATCCATCGCACATAGTTGAAAGCAATCTTATAGTTTGTTGTTTGGGATTCAGTAGCAAGTGAGCTCAGACAGACAGTGTTCGAAACAAGCCTGCCTACTAGTGTTGCTGTCACCAAGCGATTGGTCAGGCCGTTACTAACGCGACGGCCCTGCCCAGTGGCTACTGCTACTAATGACTTCGATGCAAGTACAGACGGTATCGGCATTTGCCCTGCTGCAGTGCAACCTTGCAACTACCGTGACCAGCGCCGACCGCCCTTTGCAGAGAATGCGTTCTCCCTGCGCTTACCACCAGTCAAGCTACTCCGCTACAACTACTCCGTACATCCCCATGTTCATTGAATTGAGTTGAATTGAGTGACAACGCGAACCGCTAATCAGAACAATCATTGGGGTCAACGGCATGGCGGCACCAGGTGTCGCATTTCCTCATCTTACTGCTCCTACGGCCACAGAAACTGAATCTTTGTATTGGGACCAGCGCGAACAGACTTAATTACAACAATACCCTTATTTGCCGTCCAAGAATATTCTGGCCGGGTGGATCATGACACTGATAAAGCACGTATCCAGTCACTAAGGAAAATGGAAAAGTGTGTGCTGTTTAGACTGGAGTACCACAGAAGAGTGTTTGGAAAACGCCTTCAACTGGAGAAACTCTTGGCACTCTGTCGCACGGTGACCGTTGCCTCGCCGGGACTGTAACAATTACATTGTTCTACGATTTGTACTTAGGAGCTCGTCTTAACTACGCCCAAGATGGGGTTCTAGACTCTAGCACCACGGTGAGGTGTGAGCTCTTCGCTGGAGCACCCCATTCTGTACGTACTAATCTCTCCTGTGGGCTATAGCCATATTCCTGCTGATCGGGAATAGCAGCGGAGGGCAAAACAACGCCGCATCATATGCTTGATTTACTTGTTGAAAAGCAAGTGCCCTGCTTTGTGCGGGCATAATGTAGAGGAAAGAGGTTTCAAGACGTATAGAGCTGTGAGCGCCACTGTCTTAGGAAACCTGGATGACCTGGAAGTTCATCTGCAGGCCGGCGGACGGTATCTGGCTCTCTTCTTCGAATATCCCGGGAATTCGATGCTGGCTTGCCCTGACCTCAAGCGCACTCGCAAGCTGGCCGACACCTATGATTTCAGCATGGTAGTGGACGAGACGATCGCCCACGCTGTCAAGTTTTACTTCCTCCCCTTTGCCGATGTAGTAATCAGCAATCTTACCAAAATCTTCTCGGGCGAATGTAATGTAATGGGCGGCGGCGCGATCCTGAATCCAGAAGGTCGGCACTATCAGGGCTTGAAACGTGCTTTCGACGCGAGTCACGAGGACAATCATCGGGCTAGGGACGTCATGTTCATGGGGCGCAACAGCCGGAATTTTGTGGTGCAGATCCAAAGAATCAATGAAAACGTCAAAGTCATCTGCGAGATTCTGCGAGCTCATCCGCTGGTCAAGGAAGTCTACTACCGCAAGTATAGTCCGACAAGGCGGATGATGGTCACTGCAGCCCCCACTGGCGGGTATGGGGGCTTGCTCTTGTTTACATTTCAGCAGAAGGAGCATGCGATACCATTTTTTCGATCGGATCGAGACTGCGAAAGACCCGAGTCTCGGGGCCAGCTTCCCCTTGACTTCGCCCTATATATGTGCTTCTCGCACAATCTTGGGAGCTGGATTGGGTGGCGGCGCTTGGAGTGCCGGCAGATTTGCTGCGCGTTAGCGTTGGAGTCGAGGATGTAGAAGAACTGAAGGCACGGTTTGTGATTGCCTTGGAAGCGGCTGAAGGGGTCGATTCTCTTTTGACTTGAATATCACGATGTCTCCCTGGATGGACTGGGGCATTCGCGACTCAGCAGATGACAAAAACGGTGATAAACAATAGAGATCAGTATATCCTCCTAAGTATAATAATCGTTAGTAATGTAATTCTTGATTGTGTTTCATGTTTCCAGTTTCACAAACGGAGGTCACACAAGGACAGTGTGATTGCAGACTTGTGGTCGTGACTCCAAGGCTGCATGATTATTATCACCTCATGATATAGCGTGGCAACGCTTTCGGGCAGTCTCAAGAATTAAGGACTGCAGAGTATGCGTAACAATTAATTCCTCGCGAGGTTGATAGTTGTGAGCGGGCCACCTACCTATACACGCCAAGGATAGGGCATCTCCTGTTCAAAGTAGGCTCAATGGATAAGATCAAGGGAGGCAAGGCCGACGTAATTATAGCCTTGGCGTAATCAACGACATTCAGTATTGACCACACAGCCTCGCACGATTCCGGGCGAGACGAGATGACCTGGGGTAATAAGAAATCGTCGTTTTGATCGTTCGTAATCATCGGCCATAACTACTCCATGTAATTAAGGTCGGGGAAAAAGAAACAAAGATAAGACCTCCGACCCGATGTTGATTGGTTGCCGAGACGGCGGAAGATAAGGTCTTTCGGACTCGGGATGTTTAGGGAAGGAAGAACTACGAACCTTGAAGTTCCAATTAATTCATCGCCCTTCAACAAATCTCACAAACTTCACAATCTTCCAACAATGAACTGAACTTCTCAATGAAGAGGCAGGTCCAATTGAACTGCTTCAGTGGAGATATCAAAGAACTCCACTGCAAGACCCATCTGCACGGTTTGCCAATGCCTCGTGGCGGCTGCTGCGCTGATGGAGCTTCGAGAAGTGACTGTATCTGGGGGAAAGATAAGGAAACTCTCCTACTACTAATTCAAAATCACGACAGATAACACACCAGGATGGCTATCTCCAGCCAGTCCCAATGCTGCCTGAACCCGAAGGATTCAACCAAGGCTGAATAGACTTCTTTCTCTCTCCTTATCCAAACCCCCGCTTATTCGCATTATTGACTCGCATCTGTCAATGAAACCCCTAATCTCCTGCATCACAAAGAATACCTCGCCTGCTATCGAGCAGCGGTTTATTTGCCGCTCCCGGCTTCAAAACCCTATGCAGCCACCAGCCATGGCTGATGGTTTGGGCGTCCAGGCACGGGATGGGCAAGCCAATGTCGTGGACGTCTTCATCCAACACGTCTCGTCCACGTTCTCGACACATCGGAAATTGGAATGACTCGATCCACGCTGCAGGTCAGATGGATGTTACCGGTTCTCCAGTTTGATGCCTCCGGGAGCTCCACCTGCCTTAGTCCGCCGCCATGGTCAGCCTGCGATATCTATCAGTAGATATGGCGTCGTATTGAAAGCGAGCTAAAATCATGACCAAGGAGGAGGAGCAATGGAGTGGAGCCCTTCTAAGGTTTGAAGCAGGTGAAACGACGATGGTGCTCTTTTCATCTGACTGGTACTATCTCCGGCTGCCGACTATCACCAGCACTATTTATCACTCCTGCGTCCCCCCTGACTTGACTTCTCTTTTTTCCCTTAATTTTATTTGATATAGTTTCTGTCGATTATTGATCAGGCACGCCGTTCCCCTATAATTCATAATCTCTTATCCATCGACCGGTGTCCGGACCTCCCTACGTTCTTACTTGCCGTCGTCTACTACGTGCCCGTCCATTGAATTCGATTGTCTCGGCCCCTGCACTTGGACACCGATTGGATATCGGATAACACTTCAAGCTCTTGCCAGGCTGAGGTAGATACGCTGCAGCTTCTCTGATTGATCTGAGGCGACAACAACTCCTGTGTAGTGTGTGGGATTTGCGATGTCGGCATATCCAGTTGCCTACAATGGCTCGACTGATGGGACGGGGGGTGATTCCCTAACGGAAGACCTTAACATCTATTACAGTGTAAGTATTATCAAAAGATAACATCCAGCTATTGCTAATCCTCTTCAGTCTGGTGATATTGCTTGGGTGATCACTTCCACGGCTTTGGTGTTATTGATGATTCCGGGTGTCGGGTAAGAGACCATTCTCAACCCTCTAGATAACGAGTCTAGAACTAACCGTACCAGGTTTTTCTATTCCGGTCTCGCTCGACGCAAGTCGGCCTTGTCGCTTATATGGCTGTCGATAATGTCGGTCGGGGTGGTATCATTTCAATGGTTTTTCTGGGGTTATTCGCTGGCCTTCTCCCACACTGCTGGAAGTTACATTGGGGATTTGCAGAACTTTGGTATGAAGGGCGTTTTGGGAGCTCCTTCTGTTGGCAGCACTAAAGTGCCGGACCTTTTGTTTGCCGTCTTCCAGGGCATGTTCGCTGCTATTACGTGAGTGAATATTCGCCCCGACTCTCTGATAAAGTCTGACATGATGACACTAGGATGGCCCTTACTGTCGGTGCCGTCGCTGAGCGCGGTCGTATGCTTCCTTGCATGGTCTTCAGCTTTATTTGGACCACCGTCATCTACGATCCGCTTGCTTGCTGGACGTGGAACTCGTCTGGTTGGGTCTTCAAACTAGGAGGTCTCGATTTCGCCGGTGGTACCCCAGTTCACATCGCATCTGGGTCTGCCGCTCTTGCCTACTCTCTCATGCTTGGAAAGCGCCGTGGTCATGGCACTCACGAGCTCAACTACCGGCCTCATAATGTCACCCACGTGGTCATCGGCACTGTGTTTCTCTGGGTTGGATGGTTTGGTTTCAATGCAGGTTCCGCGTTGGCTGCCAACCTGCGCGCTGTGATGGCGGCTGTTGTCACAAACCTGGCTGCATCTGTCGGCGGTGTCACCTGGTGCATCCTAGATTACCGACTTGAGAGAAAATGGTCCATGGTGGGTTTCTGCTCCGGTGCAATTGCGGGTTTGGTTGCCATCACGCCAGGCTCTGGATTCGTCACGCCTTGGGCGGCTTTCATCTTCGGAGTGGTCGGCGCTGTCGCCTGCAACTATGCCACCAAGCTGAAATATGTGATTCGCATCGATGATGCTCTTGATATCTTCGCCGTTCACGGTATCGGCGGTCTCGTTGGTAATCTCTTGACTGGTATCTTCGCAGCGTATGTCTTCTCCCCTGGTCTCCACGTAAACACATGTACTAACTTCTAACCAGTGACTACATTGCTCACCTCGATGGCTCCACCGTCATTGATGGTGGATGGATTAACCACAACTACGTCCAGCTGGGCTACCAGCTTGCCGACTCTGTCTCAGGCATGGCCTACTCTTTCTTCGGCAGCTGCATAATCCTCTTCCTGATCAACTTGATCCCTGGTCTTCACCTGCGCATCTCTGAGGAGGATGAGATTCTGGGCACTGATGACGCCGAGATTGGTGAATTTGCTGTATGTTCCATGCATCCCCAGGTTAACGCTGAGCAAAGTCTAACTCCCGAAACAGTATGATTATGTCGAAATCACCCGCGATATTATCACCGGTACCAGCCCGGAACACGCCGAAAGCTCCTCCAAGCGCAGTATCACACCGGCTGGCAATGAGGAGTCGGTAGAAACGAAGGCCTGAATGCCGACATCAGCCTTCTTTTCTGTCCCTCATTCGTCGGTGGAATGAGGTAGCTGCAGCGATGCTTCGTTAGGTCTTTTTTGTTGATTCGCGACTATATCCCGTGTTGCTATATCTCCTGGTTTACCGTCTTGATATCCCCTGCTTTATTATACATATGTGTATACTTTTTTCCCTTTGTTCTATTCCCCAGCCAGGTTTAATGTATATCCAGCTCCCTGATTTAATGTGACTCCTCTGGATTGAATCTGGAAATGTTGTTCAACTAAGGCTGTACTCTTCTACGAGTGACTCGTGGCCCAACTCTTTACCGCAGATCGAGGGTCCGAGCGTGAGCAGGTTTTGGGAAGTTTACTTGTGAATCTCGTTCGAGTTCTTCTTCTTATTTGGTTTAATTTTAGAGTTTCGTGGTCAAAAGTTGGCAGGGGGAAACGGTTCCTCAAGCTCCTGTCGCTGCTTCCTCAACAAGTTTCGCCACGGCCTTTGTGAACGCTCGATCATCGTATCCAACACCGGAACATCGCCCCAAGTCCCTACATATCCAACTGCGGCACTCGACATCCATTAGCAAGTTGGTGCCGTAGTCCGGCAACGACTCATTCTACAACAGAGCGCCTTCGGGCTGACTACCTTGAATCATCAATGGGATGAGGGTTGGAATTATGCTATATAGTAGTGGATTACGGCCTCGCAGGATCGGGGTAGATACGCGCGGGGTTCACTTAAGCTTCCCCCTCCACCCGTAGCGCCAAGTAAACTTGATCGGTTCCACTCACTGATCAACAATTTTTAATTCCAATTGATAAGCTATCGTCGCCGGGGAAAGCACAATTCAACACTCCGTAACAAGCACTTGCCACCACAACGAATTTCTCACAGCAGATGCGGCGCACGGACGGATCATCGATTTCAGGTTGGATAGTTGTGGAAGTGATTGTCACCGTCTGCTTCCCCTTTGTAGCACTGATCGTCCGACGATCTCAAAAGCATTGAGTTCTGTCCTGTGTTCGTGATCTAGGCTCACAACCAATGGCAATCTAGGCAAGTGACTGCGTTAGCAGCTTTGCCATTCCGAGAGGCTATACGGCAGATCATCGAAATGTGCGCAAAGCATGCATGCACCAGGCCGATCGTTCGGCATTTGCTGGAACGAGCAAGAGAAGTCAAGATGCGGTGTCATACAAAGTAGATTAAAGCAGACGGATTTCCGTAGTGGCATAAGTACTCCGCCGCTTATGGTATGATTTTGGGTTTCGTGAAGATCTTGATACATATCCCGAAGACTCAAGGGGAAGATGCTCTCAGTCCCACAATCAGCCGCTCAACGGCACCGACAGTTGCTGCCTGAGCAGTTACCAAGTGTGGCGGTGCTGCGATTAGTCACGGGCGCTGGACAATCTTCGATTCCGCCTTCGAAGCGAAAGAAGCTCTCTCGATCTTCCCGTCCGAACAGCTTCTCCGACGTGGCCGAGCCATTTTTCTTCAGTCTCAGGTCGAACTCTTTGTTGTCTTGAAGACCGACGAGTGATTGAATCTCTACATACTCCCATAAATTAGGTGGTCATTTTCACTCAACCCCAGAAGGCCCAAGACGCACACGCCGTCTGACCGGGATTTTTGAGAGGTCCAGCAGCAGAAGCATGCACCGCCACAGCCCCTATCTATCCGCTTGAGGCTTTCCCTTCCAACCCGCTCTCTAGCACTGGCCATGCGAGATGGAGTCCCAGCAAGATCGTGGCTTCCAGATCATGGAGCATTCTGATATGAACAATCACGACTCGGATGGCTCGGGTTCATCTGACGAGCTGCTGCAACAGCCGTACACACTCCGATCGGACTCCAGCTTCACCGAGAATTTCGACAGCCAGATCCCAACCCCAGCATCGACCATCAACACTTCCCCCACCCCGTCTCTACCAACTGGTATCCCTCCATGGGTCACGGGTACCCCTTCACGCCCGCGGGGTGCGAGCGTTGGCGCCTCTGCTCTCGACAAAGCACAGCCCGTGGACGGTCTGCCGGGTGACCAGAGGTCGCAACGTCCGTCCGGCCCCGCTCGAACGCCCTCCAACACCTACGCCCCTCAGCGCCGCCCGCCCCAGTACATCAGCTTTCAGAATGACCGTCAGCGATCTTCCTCAACGAAACGAACCCCCCGCCGGGACCCGAATGCCCAGTATCGTGCGCAGGAGAAGGCTTACGTCCAGCGCATCCGGGCTGACCCTCAGGCATGGTACAACCATTTCGACGAAGCTCAGAACATGAGCCCCGGGATCGGGGACTCGGACCTGGAGGAACCCTCGCCTTCGTCGGAGGTCCCCTTTGAGGATGATGCCTATGATCCGGATATCCAACTTTTCCTCAATGATGACAACCTGCCGACGCTTGACGAACTGAAGAATCCGAGAAATCAAGAGAGACTGGAGTGGCACTCTATGCTTTCTTCTGTCTTGAAGGGAGACGTTGTCAAGCAGGAAAAGCAACGTCTGCTGGGATCTACCGACTCCAAGAGGTCGTCTGCTCAGAATAACGCGATATGGCTTGGTGTCCGGGCAAGGACGTGCGGGCGTAGTGTTGCTCTGCAGCGGAAGCTCATTGAAGAAGCTCGGAATGGGCTGGGTCCCATCATCGAGGAAATCATCAAGTTCGAGATCAAAGGTGAGACTGAGATCGGAAAGCCTCCCATCCAACAGGTCGAGGACATTGTGGGACAGATTGAGAGGTGTGAAAGCTTGTATTCCACCCACAAGGAGTTGGAAAGCGCACACCCTCGCATTGCATCGGAGGAGTTCCGCTCGAGTCGGGATGCCGTACTAGCCTGGCACAACACAACAATTCTCATCAACACCGAGCTCGCTATTCTGCAGAAATGGGTGGGAAATGACGAGCTTGATTTTAGCAAACCAAGGACCAAATCGATCAATAGTGATCTCTCCGACGAATCCTCCTTCCTGGATCGGATCATGAAGGAAGATGGGTTGAGGATGCTGCAGGGAAAACATAACATGCTTAGCGGTGTCGGCGAAGTGATTCAGAAAGCGAAGAACACCTTGATCGAAAACGCCAGCTCGTTCGCTAAGCGTCACCTGCCGCCCTACATCGAAGAATTGCTCACTCTAATCAATTTCCCCTCGCGTCTCATTCAGGAAATCATTCGCATGCGACTTTCTTATGCTAAGAACATGAAGGATCCTGCCCAGCAGTCTCCAATCCTGGTGGATCAGATGCTCTCGCAGTTCCAGATCTTGATGAAAGTAGCAGTGGACATCAAGCAACGGTATATGGATATCGCCAGACCTGAGCCAGGCTGGGACCTGCCTCCTTGTATCGACGAGAATTTTGACTCGGTGGTCCTGGATGCCATGAAGTACTACTTCCGGCTCCTCAATTGGAAGCTGAATGCAAACAAGAACACGTTCAAGGAGGCTGAAATCTTGGAACAAGATTGGGAATTCTCGAATGAAGTTGGACGGCAACTCGAAGGAGGAGATATTGAGGTTGCTGAGCAATATAGGTACGGTCTTCATGCGACTACGATATGCTTGCTTGCTTGCTAATGTAATAATAGTGCATTGACTGCAAAGTCTCTACAACGCCTGATGATTCATTTCGAGCGCGAACTAACGATACGACATAACGAGGACCCCATTGACATGGACAAGCGGTACAAGAGCGTTCTTGACTCGACTCGGATCCGTCAACGAAAGCTCTACCGTTTCTCTCGGTTCCTGCGCCAGCTATTTGAAAATGCAACAGAATACAATTTGCCGGCTGACATTGCCTACGACTTCCTGGAGGCGCTCCTCGTCTCGGATCACTTCATCATCAAAACTCATGCTTCCATGGGCCAGAAGAACGTCTACCTCTTCGCGCACCCTGCACTGTGGGGTCGGCCCGCGGATCTTCAAGCCATCATGGGCACATCTTTCCGTGAAGAGGATGCGTCGAAGGACTCTCCGCATGCGCCCTACATACTCGTAGTTCGTCCGGAGAAGCCATTGGCCTGGGCGGGTAAAGAAATGCAGGTGGAGACTATGGAACATCCTACGGATTTACGACTAGGAAAGCTGCGCCTCGTCGTTGAGGGTACGCAGCAGCGTCTAGCTAACGCCCGGGCTGAGTTGGCGCATTTGACCGGAATGCATCTCGACATGGCCATCGAGCAAAGGGCTAACCTCGGCCGTGTCAATGTGGAACTCAACAAGATCAAGAAGATCTCATTCAAGTTGTCCATGACTATCATGGACAGCGTTGCAATCATTCGCAACCAGCTGAAGGAGGAGGGGGTCGAGAATCATGATCTGATTCAAGCATGCTATGCTTTCGCCACGGAGTTCGGAAAGCGTTCTTCCAACGTCGACCCCAACCGACGCGCAATGAACAGTGCAAGGCTCGTGGATTTGTCTCTTGACTGGGTGTCATTCGTCTGTGATGACTGTGATGCCGCTGATCGGAAGACCTTCAAGTGGGCTGTGTCGGCCCTTGAGTTCGCCATGGCGATTACTTCCAGTAGACATCTGCTCTCCATGGATGATGCGCAATTTGCTCGTTTACGACAGAAAGTGGCCGGTTGTATGTCACTTCTCATCTCTCATTTCGATATCATGGGCGCTCGGTCTTCCCGTGCGGCTCAGGCAGAGAAGCAGCGCTTGGAGGAGCGCGCCGGCTCGAGAAGGATGGGCGCAGGTCGTGTTTTGACGGATGAGGAAGCAACCAAGCTTGTGCGGGAGCAGCGTCTGGCTCACTTGATCGAAATTGAAGATAGACGGGTTGACGAGGACGCGAAGCGTCAGGCTCTTGGAAGGGTCTTGGAGGGATCTAACGAGGCCGACCGATCTCTTACCGTGCTCTCTTCCTCGGCCACTAATGTCACTCTCCGGTGGCAGCAGGGTCAGTTCATCGGAGGCGGAACGTTCGGATCCGTCTATGCCGCGATCAATCTCGACAGCAATTACCTTATGGCTGTCAAGGAGATTCGACTGCAAGACCCTCAACTCATTCCTAAGATTGCCCAACAGATTCGCGACGAGATGGGTGTTTTGGAAGTCCTCGACCATCCCAACATTGTCTCATACCACGGAATCGAGGTTCACCGTGATAAGGTTTACATCTTCATGGAATACTGCTCTGGTGGCTCGCTCGCGAGCTTGCTCGAACACGGGCGTGTCGAGGACGAGACTGTCATCATGGTCTACGCTCTCCAGCTCCTGGAAGGTTTGGCATACCTGCATCAGGCCGGCATCATTCATCGCGACATCAAGCCCGAGAATATCCTTCTCGACCACAACGGTATCATCAAGTATGTCGATTTCGGCGCCGCCAAAATCATCGCCCGCCAAGGCAGGACCGTCGTCCCAATGGACGCCTTCGCCAGCACTGGTCACAAGGACGCCATTATACCCAAGGACTCCCAAGTTGCCCACAACAACTGGGGCAAGAACCAGAAGACCATGACCGGCACTCCGATGTACATGTCCCCCGAAGTGATCCGGGGCGACACCTCGAAGCTCATCCATCGCCAAGGCGCGGTCGACATCTGGTCGCTGGGATGTGTGATTCTCGAGATGGCGACTGGCCGTCGACCCTGGTCGACCCTGGATAACGAATGGGCCATCATGTACAACATCGCCCAAGGCAACCAACCACAGCTGCCAACCCGCGACCAGCTCAGCGACCTGGGCATCGACTTCCTCCGTCGCTGCTTCGAATGCGATCCCCTCAAGCGATCCACCGCCGCCGAGCTCCTCCAACACGAGTGGATCGTCTCCATCCGTCAGCAGGTGGTCCTCGACGCCCCCACGCCCGGCAGCGAGAACAGCGCCAGCAGTTCCACTTCGGGCAGCCGTCAAAACTCCACCTACGGCTGACGAGCCTAATTCTACCTTACCTCACTGTTTGCTTTCTTCTTTATTTTATTCCCTTTCGCTTCCTTTCGAATTATTCATTCACTTTTTCTCTTTTGTGCCTCCTCGGGAAAGAAAAGCAGCCGCCGCAACATTGCCAACCCTCCGCCCTTTTGCTATCCAATGACCCACATTTTCTGCTTCATCCGTTTTTGCATCTGATACCCTGCATACATTCATTTCTAAATTTACCACCCCACTACTGGTCTTGTGGTTATGGTAATTCTCCCTTTCTTCTTCCCGTTTCATCCTTAGCTGGGTGTACCACCGTCGGCATATACACATATATATTCTGGTCTTTTGTTTGTTGCCTTACATGTCGAATTTGTTGATATAACTCGGTATTTGGGGGAGGGGGAGGGGCTTTGCCCTTTTTTTTTCTTTGTGGTGGTTATTGGTTCTGGGATAGTTCTGTCATATTAGTATTTTTTTTCCAAGCACGCTCAAGCATACGAAGGAGCCTTTTGTTTATTCTTGTCATCATGTGATCTAGCAGCATCAGCGTTGAGAAAGAAGAATTCCGATACAACATACATCCTATTCATTTGTATTCTTCGAGGGATGTCTATAGGGTCAGTCAGTAGGTAATCTGATCTATTGATATTGTAACAATGGAGGTGGTAACAATAAGCTGTAGTCCTAGAGTCTATTTAGATCAATCAACTATTGACTGCTCTATGCCAGGAAGGCTGGAAATGGATATTCGGGGAACCAAAGGGTGAATCGACCTTTAGATTCACCCCGTCAAACACAGTTTCCATGACTGATTGGCGATCCACTAAGGCTAGCTAATTAATGCTACCCTGTAGAGGAAAAAAAGAATAAGTCCGGGATTGATGGAAATGAGAGATAGGATGGATCAAAGGAACCCCAGGCAAATGGTGTGATAAGAGATACCATATAAACTGAAATAAGAGAGTACATGCCCGACATTCGCTCTGCTCGTTATAAACAAAATTCATGATAGTCCCTATAAAAATGAAAGGCCAGGCGAGATGACACACAACTAACAGGAGGGGGAAGGAGAAACAAGCATGAGCCTTCACGTGGTGATTGAGTTGGAACCATATCAGCCAATTATACGCCGGAGTGAAAGGGATGAAAAGGCCGAAGGGGGGGGGAAAAACGGTCAGGAAGTGCGTGGGTGTTCATCAAGGTGACATAAAACCCCAATGGCATTGGGGTCGAGTGACCGCTTGAGAGGAGAAAGCGGTCAGCAAACGACTCGAGGAAGGGTGAAACGCTCCGCATTTCTGTCGTTCGAGACATCATAGCAAACAAGGTAGGTCATCGCCGCCAAATGGCGGGGTATGGATGGAGGAAAAATGAAAAGTAACAACAATTAGAATAGAATATAGAGCCAGGGAGGAATAGTTGACTGGCTGAATTGAGTTTTCCAGTTGACCCCGGGTCAATATTGAGGAAAGCGGGAGAATTAACGAAATTCCATGGCTGGTGTACAGCCATGGTCCTCCACATGCTTGAGCTCCAGTTGTTGATATCTATGGGCAGATCAGTATTCAAGCTCGATTCGAACCCTTCCGGGAGAACTCACCTCTCGCTCTTTGCATGAAAATATATACCAGCGACAGTGCCCTCTACTTGGTTGAAACAAATGTAGTAGAACCCCTCAAAACTTGCACCAGATATAGATCTAACACGATGGTCGGGAACCAGGAAGTATTCCTTCCAGCGCATGAAGATATGTTCACGTTGGGCATAGTTGCGGAACGTGAAATCCGGTTTCCGCGCCTGTTTGGCTAGCGGTCGCCACGCAGGAAACCGGTTCCAATGATGCATATCGGTCTTCTCTGTAGCGCCCCATGCTTCGTTCTTGGTCATGAAAGTATGCTTCGTGCCAATGATTTCGCCCTCAAAAAACGTTGTAAGAGTAGGATGATCTTCCGTCAATCCTGCAGATGGGGTATACGTGAGTCACAGCCACCGATGGTCCAGGGATTGCAGTTGGAGCCCACACACCTTGTATACGAAGGTATCCACAAAGATAGGATTCTTGCATGTCAACATGCTTGATCTCAACATCGACGTTGTAAACCTGACGATCGGATTGTTGCGTGCCAGTAAATTTACTTCCCGGGCGCAGAAAGGAGGAAGTATAGTTAGGGAGGAGCTACCACAATCAGACCAAAGCCCGCGACCAGGCCACTCGTGACTGGGAGACATACCCGGATATTGGAGAACTCGTAGCTCAACAGCGAAGTGGTCGAGGGCGAGGTGACCGATGAGGATGGGCTGGGCGAGCAAGCTGGCTCTGCAGCCGGACTCATCCTCCCCACGGCAGGCTCATCTTCGGATTTTGCCACATCCTTCGTCGGACTACTACCGGATGAGGCTTCAGCAGTTGATGGGGCGGTCGCATCGATGGCCGGACTCAAGGCATTCTGCGTAGTGTGCGCTGCGGGGATGAGCTGTGACGGAGTCTCGGAATCATCACGGTCGGGAAGAGTGGAGGAGCGTAATGGAGCGTCTCTCCAAGTGGCAGGCCTCTCGACCTCGGGTGGGCAAGTGGAACGAGTGGAGAGTTCCTCTAGGACTGACGAAGCATTCACACTGGATGTAATGTCACTCGGGGTCGGCATTGGAGGCGAATTAAGAAATGAATGACATCGGAAGCTGATTCACTCTATTTGGAAAAGTGCGCGGGAGTATAGGCAGGCGCAGAGAGGGAGTCTAGCAGGTAACAAAAGCAAGCATGCAGTTCACGACCAGAGCGTTAGTTCCCGCGGGGGGGGAGGGAAGGGAACTAAGGTGAAAGGGGAATTAATCGAAGGAATCGGAAGGGGGACCGAGAAATAGGTGCAGAAAATGTAAGATTGGGGTATTGAAGGGGGAGGGGGGAGTGGGAGGCGAGTGAATGGAGGAGTGGAAGAAGGAGAAACAGAAGATGGGGGAGGGGAGTGTGGATGGATGAATAGGTAGAAGGGTAAGTGTAGTTAGTACGGAATAGTTGATGATTGATTGATTGATTTGAGTTGCAGACAAAACATTACCCAAAAAGGATAGGCCAACCTTTGAATGATCATGCGAGCGCGGGGGAGGCGAACGGGGGCAATCGGCGGCGCCTCGGGCGGTTAATCGGAGGTGGTCTTGCGCGTGGCTTGGTTTGCGATAAGAAATAAAAAGGGGGGAGAGAAGAAAGAGCTGAGGGAGGGAGAGAGAAGGAAGGGTAGAGGGTGAAGATATGATATCGATCAATATGATCGGATTTGGTCTGATCGCTCTTTATCCACTTTCCTCTCCCCAGATGTCCCCGTCCTGATTCTCCCTCCCTCCCTCCCTTCCTCCATACAGTTCTCAATTTTCTTCTCATTCCTCCCTGCGCACAGTAAGTTGGGCATTATTGAGGTAATAGTCATTGTGCTTGCTACGTTGGCTCTACTGAAACCCTGCATTGCGTCATTTCCATCTGCAGTCGCCAAGCCTGCCTTGGGCGTTGCCAGTCGTATCATCTACTTACTACTCGTTACTATGTCCCAATCAAAGATTCAGGTACATTCGCTATCATTTTGGAAAGTCTTAAACCAAGCATAAAGAAACGCCTATCCCAACATGTGTCCTGCTCCGTCTCACCATCGCGTGTGGATTTAAATGGGCTTGATCTGGACGAGGCACTTCGATTTAGACAGGTGCTTGATAAGCGCGCATGTGGAGGTTTCAGCTTACCTTGAAATGAAGAGAGATTAGAGAGAAGATGAGTGCCTTCAGATCTTGCACCAGGTAGTAGAAGACGCGGAGTCCTTCCGGGTCGGCGGATTCGGTCACGTCCACTAAGGAGCCGATTTTCGCGGTCTGTGTCAATCTATTAGGATTTGCGGATCATAACCAGCCAACCGTCGCGATCTAGAAAGCGCACCTCGAAGGAGATATGTTCGTTGCCCAACCGGATTTCCAACTCCTGACGTCCATCCTTGTTCTTCTGAGGCCACTTGGAGTCGTCCTCCCTAGGTCATATGAGTATACACATATCATGCAGCACCCAAGGCGTCAGATTAGGACTCACTTCATGATCTCACTCTCCTTGATGATGCGCTTGACCTCCTGGATCATTGCCGCACTGACGCACACTATAAACCTTGTATCAGCTCTTGTAAACCACGAACATCGAACGGTGTTGGGCACATACTTTCTTTGCGGATGAGGGAATCATTGCGGTAGTTGGAATTGTTGGCATATCGTACGGCGGCACTACGGCCATCGCCGAGGGTGCGGAAGTCGAATTCTAGGAGAGGGTTAACACCAGGCTCTGAAAATGCGCTGCTCAGAGGATACCAACCTAGGAACTCATGTCCGAACCGCCCAGAGTGACCCGAGCTGCAAGACTGTCAGCAGCTGAGGAAACCTGGGCTCCATACAGGCCTGCCTTACTAATAGCGGAGATAGAAGGTTTCGCCTTGGCCTGACATCTTGTCCGTCTGCTTTGACCTGTAACGTGGTGGCCGATCTAGAGATACTGTCGAGAAAGCTCGCAGCAGGTGAAATTGACGGGCGCGTTCCTGGTTTGTCGGTGATTCCAGGCGGGGCTTAGTCATCCACACACTCCGGACAGCTTGCTCCGCCGCGCAAATGGCCAGGTTGAGCCTCGAATGTCCGCGCCCCCCCCTCCGATTGTCAACATCTTGCACTGATGAACGCTAGGCAGGTGAGGGGAGTCCAGCTATACTAATTCAATCTTTTTGATTTCACTCCGAGTTATCATCGGGGAGAGTTGACCTGGTGCGCGGCGCTGCCATTCCCTGAAACCACCAACTCCAAACAACCACCTGTACTGACCACATCTAAGCTCTCCGCCCTCCTGACCCTCCCTGTTACGGCCATTCGCTCCCACCACTCCAACCACAATGGCGTCCTTCCTGGAGAACGCATACAGCTTGGTCCATCTGGACAACACTGCAGATCAGCCCTCGTTGCAGGAGCTGAAGTTGCAGTTAGAGAAGGGTACCGATGAGACCAAGATGGACACCATGAGGCGGATCATTACGATCATGCTCAATGGAGATCCGATGCCTCAGCTGCTTATGCATATCATTCGCTTCGTCATGCCTTCCCGGAGCAAGCCTCTCAAGAAACTCCTTTACTTCTACTACGAGATTTGCCCGAAAATTGACACAAATGGCAAACTCAAGCAAGAGATGATCTTGGTCTGGTAAGGAAACAGTCACTCTCCCGCGTTGGTCTAGGCTTTCGGCACCTTTTCCTGACACCTCATTGTACTCTACAGTAACGGCATTCGCAACGATCTTCAGCACCCCAACGAGTACATCCGAGGCAATACCCTTCGTTTCCTGTGCAAACTCCGGGAACCAGAACTTATCGAACCCCTCCTCTCGTCCGCACGCTCTTGCCTGGAGCACCGCCACGCCTACGTGAGAAAGAACGCCGTTTGGGCTGTCGCTTCTATTTTCCAGCACTCCGAGTCCCTGATTCCGGATGCGCCCGAACTTCTCCAGACCTTCCTCGACACCGAAACCGACGGCACCTGCAAACGCAATGCCTTCGCGGCCCTCATGTCGATCAGTCATCAGAAGGCATTGGAGTACCTCGCTTCCACATTCGACAGCATTCCCAACACGGACGAACTGCTGCAATTGGCAGAGCTCGAGTTCATTCGGAAAGACGCAGTGCAGAACGCTCAGAATAAGGTTAGTAGCAGAGAGTCGGTCAATGAGCGGAGCGGTCCACTAACAACTGTCTATAGGCGAAGTATTTGCGCTTGATCTTCGACCTCCTGGATGCGTCGACTAGCACCGTCATCTATGAGGCTGCAACATCCCTCACGGCACTCACCAGCAACCCGGTCGCCGTGAAAGCCGCGGCAGGCAAGCTGATCGAACTGTGCATCAAGGAGGCTGACAACAACGTTAAGCTCATCGTACTCGACCGGGTCGACCAGCTACGCATTCGCAACGAGGGTGTTCTCGATGACCTAACCATGGAAATTCTACGTGTCCTGTCCAGCCCCGATATCGACGTTCGCCGGAAGGCCCTTGGAATCGCTTTGGAAATGGTATCAAGCAAGAATGTTGAGGAGATTGTCATGCTGCTGAAGAAGGAGCTCGCAAAGACTGTCGATGAGCAGTATGAGAAGGTAAGCTTGCTGCTGGGCCTGTTGGAGTAGAGGTTAACAACATGTGCAGAACAGCGAATACCGCCAGCTCCTGATTCAGTCGATACACAACTGCGCCATTCGGTTCTCGGAGATCGCTGCAAGCGTCGTTGACCTTTTGATGGACTTTATCGCCGACTTCAACAACAACTCCGCCGTTGACGTGATCTCGTTCGTGAAGGAAGTAGTGGAGAAGTTCCCTGCGCTCAGACACTCCATTGTTGACCGGTTGGTCTCCACTCTGAGCGAAGTTCGTGCTGGAAAGGTCTACCGTGGCGTTCTCTGGGTTGTTGGTGAATACTCTCTAGAGGAGCGGGATATTCGTGAGGCATGGAAGCGGATCAGAGCAAGTCTCGGCGAAATCCCAATCCTTGCCTCGGAACAACGTCTCCTGGACGAGGTACCGGAAGATGCTGCTTTCAAGGACCAAGCCAACGGCCACAGCAAGCCGGCTGCTCCGACCGGATCGCGCAAGGTGCTCGCTGACGGCACGTACGCCACTGAAAGCGCTCTCACTAGCCAGTCGGCTGCTGCGGCCCGCCTCGAAGCTGTCAAGGCCGCGCAGAAGCCTCCTCTTCGTCAGCTGATCCTGGACGGTGACTACTACCTGGCTACTGTCCTTTCTTCTACTCTCACCAAATTGGTTATGCGCCACTCGGAAGTCTCCCAGGATGCCGCCCGCACGAATGCCCTGCGGGCAGAGGCCATGCTCATCATGATCTCGATTATCCGTGTTGGTCAATCACACTTTGTTAAGGCACCTATTGATGAAGATTCGGTGGATCGCATCATGTGCTGCGTACGCTCGCTTGCCGAGTTCTCTGAGAAGAAGGAGCTGGAGACCACATTCTTGGAAGACACCCGGAAAGCCTTCCGCGCCATGGTTCAGGTCGAGGACAAGAAGAGGGCCGCCAAGGAGGCTGTTGAGAAGGCCAAGACTGCTGTGCAAGTTGACGATGCTATTCCGATCCGACAGTTCACGAAGAAGGCGGCTGTCGAAGGTGCGGAGGAGATTGAATTGGATCTCGCCAAGGCCACCGGCGGCGACTCGACGGTTGAGACTGTCTCCTCGAAGCTGAGCCGGGTTGTCCAACTGACTGGCTTCTCGGACGCTGTTTATGCCGAGGCTTACGTTACGGTCCATCAGTTCGATATTGTATTGGATGTTCTATTAGTCAACCAGACCCTCGAGACTCTGCAGAACCTCAGCGTCGAGTTTGCGACCCTCGGCGACCTCAAGGTTGTTGAGCGACCCACCACCCACAACCTGGGACCCCGCGACTTCTTGAACGTGCAGGCTACAGTCAAGGTATCGTCGACGGATACTGGTGTGATTTTCGGCAACATTGTCTACGATGGAGCCAGCTCCACGGAGACTCATGTCGTGATCTTGAACGATATTCACGCCGACATCATGGATTACATTCAACCCGCACACTGCACTGAGACTCAGTTCCGTACGATGTGGACTGAATTCGAATGGGAAAACAAGGTCAACATCAACTCCAAGGCCAAGAGCCTTCGTGAGTTCCTCAAGCAGCTCATGGAGAGCACCAACATGGCCTGCTTGACCCCTGAAGCCTCCCTTAAGGGCGATTGCCGATTCCTGAGCGCCAACCTCTATGCCCGGAGCGTATTTGGTATGTGTCTAGCTTCTCACTCATATTGCGTTTTGACCCCGTTACTGACTCTACGTTTTTTTTCCTGCAGGCGAGGACGCTCTGGCGAACCTAAGTATTGAGAAAGAGGGTGAGGATGGACCCATCACCGGTTTTGTGCGGATAAGAAGTCGTTCGCAGGGACTGGCTTTGAGCCTGGGGTCGCTGAAGGGCCTCAAGGCCTCCGCTGCATGAATCAAGTGTTGCCTTTGAATCGTATTTGAATAGCCATTACCCTGTTGTTGCCGGACCCACCGATTTGTTTTGAACTTATGCACCTATTCACTCTTCTGTGTTCTTCTAATGGACGACTTTTGTTGATTATTATGGCTCTTCCGGTGTTGTACTACTGGATGAGAGAAGACTTTATTCCTCAATGAAAGATTTTAGAATTCAACGGCCAGGCTTCCTTCGTTCATTGTTCTCGTAGGTAATTCGTTCCAGGTGTGCGGCAAAGCATTTGCGAAGAAGATATGAAACCCATTGGCTCGAAGCTGAAGCAGTGGAGTGTTTCCAAGCAGCTCGGTGATTTGGTTCCACAACTGACATACAATCTCTATTCCCACAAAATCTGGAACAGTTGGAGCGGAGCGATGGACGTTCTGGAACTTGATCTGGAAAATCGAAGGAGAAGGAGAATAGAGATTTGAGAGAACGGAGAGGCGAAACAGTCCAAGTGGAGAGAAAGTTGGCGTTGTTCCTGACTTGCTCGATAAAGACCGGGCATAATCTCCGTTCCGCTTTCTCTCTTTCCTCCCTCCCTCCCCCTCCATTCCCCCCAAACTCTCAACTTCCCTTCCATGTCGCTTCCCTCTCCTAAGAACCACCTATTGCCCGCTCTTCTCTTATTCTTAGATTATTCTTATCCAATTTTTGGGTACACTCTTTTCCCCTATTCCTACTTCGCATTCTGTTCATTGGCGGTTCTTCCGAATCTCGTCCGTCTGTGTCGCCCTCTCTCGGCTTTCCTGCCGGGCTTTATCATGGCTACAACCACCGATAGTGCGCGCCCGTCCTTCAACACCGCGGATGCCTCGGAGTCAGACCACCAGCTCTTACAGCACGATGCGACCCTGGCTGTAGGCGATTCGGTCACCCTGACTCTGGGGGCAGATTCTCTGCTCGTTGTTGGTAAGTTATACTTACTGCTCAATGGCCGCTTGTGATTCCATTGTTCGAGACTAAACCCCAGCCCTCGGGTGCGCGCAGACAAACGTTCCGGCCGCAAATCCGAGCGCGGATGCTGCGTAGTTCGGAAGCACACAGGTAATTCACAACCCAAGATTGTAGTTCACCCATAGCAAGCTGTCCTGACGGTCCGTTCGCGGTATTTAGGTACTACCAGGATTTCCCACACTATATCCCTGTACAATGTTCTGGACGCCGATCTTTCGCCGGCCGGCTTGACAATCACCTATGCGGAGCCGAAGCACAAGGACGAGGTCTCGGTGGCCGCCCTCCAATACCCTATTCGCGAGGAGGAGAAAAGCGCCGCCGAAATCTGGATGAGGAGATTGCTCGATGTGGCCTATGGCTCGGCCCAGCGGAATAAGCGACTCAAGGTCCTGATCAACCCGTTTGGCGGACAAGGGCACGCTGCCAAGCTGTATTCGACATATGCGGCGCCCATCCTTGCCTCGGCACGCTGTCAGATCGACGTGCAGGAGACCACGCACCGCGGTCACGCAACCGAGATTGTGCAACAACTCGACATCCACGCCTACGATGCGATTGTCTGCTGCTCCGGCGATGGACTGCCGTATGAAGTCTTCAATGGGTTGGCGAAAAAGCCCAACGCGCGGGAAGCGCTGGCGAAGGTGGCCGTGGCTCTGCTCCCTGGTGGATCGGGCAACGCCATGACCTGGAATCTGTGTGGCACCGGCAGCATCTCGGTGGCCGCGCTGGCGATTGTGAAGGGCTTGCGGACACCGCTGGATCTGGTGTCCATCACCCAAGGGAACACTCGCACCCTCTCGTTCCTGTCGCAGTCTTTTGGAATCATTGCCGAGTCTGATCTTGGGACTGATGATATCCGTTGGATGGGGGCTCATCGCTTCACGTACGGGTTCCTAAAGCGACTTATGCACATGACGGTCTATCCCTGCGACCTGGCGATTAAGGTGGTGATGGACGATAAGCAGGCGATCAAGAACCATTATAATACCTATGCGCAGAGCCAGCCCACTGGCCGTCCTAAAGAGCCCACTGCCGACCAGTCGGGTGGCTTGCCTGACCTCGTCTATGGGACTGTGCAGGACGACTTACCGAAGGATTGGGAGGTGATCCCGGCCGAGACTCTCGGGAACTTCTATGCCGGCAATATGGCCATTATGTCGAAAGATACCAACTTCTTCCCTGCCTCGGTACCCAATGACGGGCTAATGGACATTGTCACCATCGATGGAACTACGAGTCGACTGAGAACTCTCAAGATGATGACGGAGATCCCTGAGGGAGGCTTCTTCGACATGCCTGAAGTCAACATCCGGAAGGCTTTGGCATACCGACTTGTGCCCCGGGAGAAAGAGGGCTACATCAGTGTGGACGGCGAGAGCGTGCCGTTCGAAGCCTTCCAAGGGGAGATACACAAGGGACTCGGCACTGTGCTGTCAAAGTCTGGACACTTGTACGAGGCGGAGGGACCCAGGCCGTAGGGGGCTGGTCTAGTGGATGGAAAGGGGTTTTCAGTTTTGTTTCATTTTCGTTCCCGGTCGTGCACTCTGATGATACCCTGAGTTTTGAGTAAAGGCACTGGCTTGCTTTTTTGTTGCGGGTTGGATGGAACCTGTCCTGACAAGATACATACATAGTGTACACTACCTAGAAAAGAGAGGTAGCTGATAGAATCTGTATAGATATTGTTAGAAGAATAATCACTTATGAACTCCGCATCTTCAGATCGGAGCTTCGAGAACAAGGGTTGATTTTGAAACAGCATAGCATGTAGCATATAAGTACAGTACAGTATAGATTTGCACGACCAAAACTCCAGACAAGTATAAACTTTTGTTATGTGTGTAGCGTATGTTCATGCAAAATCATTCCTCTCCGAACCCACCCCACTCCTCATCCTCACTATCATCTTCACTCTCACTCTCCACCTTCCGTTCCTTCCACCCCCACTGAACCAACCGCTCATCGTCCAGTGCCTCCGCCGCCCGGACACGAACAGGCTTGTACGGACTCTCCGTCCGCAGCCTCTCAAGCGGCCGCAGCAGCAAGTCGCCCGGCACCTGGCCCTTCGGTTTCTTGACCGTGGTCCCATCCTCAGCCGTCACTTCTTCTTCAAACTCCAGCACCTTCTCCAACTCATCCACCCAGATATCCATAACATGGTACCGCAGCCCGTCAGGCCCATGCGGCATGGGGATAAAGTCCTCGGCCTCGTTGGCAGGGGGTTGATCGGGGTCGAAGTTGACCGGACACAGCGGTCCGTCCTCGAGAATAGCGAGGTAGGATTCCAGCGCCGTCCAGTCGTTCTTCTCTCCGTCCTCTACCTTCTCCTCATCTTCCTTGGGTAATTCCTGTAATTGTTGCCCCTTACCCCTCCGCTTCTTCCCACCTTTCTTTGAGGTTTGCTCCTCCTGAGCCCTCTTCCGCTTCTTACCCTCCACATCACCATCACCAGCCCCATTCAAATCTTCTTTCTGCTTCCCGCCCCGAACGAAAACCTCAAACCCAACCCCAACGTAGCACCGAATCAAAAACAGGTACTTATCCAACCGCAACCGATCAATAGAATGGAAGTCCCGGCCGATCGTCAACCAGAACGCGCGCAGGAATTTCTGGGTTGTCGCCTTTGGCAGTGTCGGCACCAGGTTGTAGGATAGTGTGCGGGCGAGCGCTTGTTGCGTCAGGGGGCGGTCGGAGTGGTAGAAGCCTTTTTTTTTTCCTCCGTTGATTAGTTCTGAATTCCCTTTGGGGGTGGTACTTGGGGAGAGGCGGTTGGTTACGCACAGAAGAAAAGCCCCTTCCATAGTTTTAGGAGATCGAGATTCGAGAGGTCGGTTTTCGCGCGCAGGAATAGCGTTAGGGAGGTGGTGGCTTTGTCGCGGAGTTTTTTGTCTTCATTCGTTTTGTATTAGTTTTGCTTGTGGAGAGATGAGGGGGTGGAATCGCGTACCGCTGGAGGCGAGCTCCTTTATAAATGGGGTTTTGCCTAGGTCTGTCATTTTTGGATTCGCGGTCAATTCGGTTGGAGTTGTGATTGCGATGGCAATTGCGATTGGAATTCGGATCCCGAGGGAGGTGTAGTGTAGGCCCGAGAAGACGCCAACGGTTATGCGATGGGCGACTGTCAGCAGATATTCAGAGGGTGAATTCGGTTTGAGAGGTGTTCGCGCGCGGACTTTCTGAAGCCATCCCAACTACTTTTTTTTCTGAATGGTTGTCAGTGTTTGCATTGTTTGGTTTTGAGGGGGGGTTGATTGGTGGTGGGTGTGCTGGGGCGCTAGGCTGTGGGGCCGTGGGGCGGTTCCAATTTAGTTTCTTAGTATTAGTTATCCAGTACGGAGTACGGAGATAATCGCCACCAAGAAGTAACAAGCCCTACAAGAAGCTATGGACATGATATAAAAGTGATTGCAACAGGGCTACTTGAGCTTGGTATAGCAATGATTGTGTCTTTAGAGAGCAGTTAGCCCAGGAAAGAGTATCATATCTCAGATTGTAGTGTCATAACTCATTTTCTCATACCTAAGCTCATGCCTCTATCTCCAGCTTTTATCGTCTATAATACTCAAAATATATCGCCAAGTCGCTGAAGCACCCACCATCAAACCTCTTCAGTAGGTGTACTCTCCCCCGACTCAGGCTTGATCCGACTGATCTCAAATCCGCCCTCGTCCTTGTCCTCACCCTTCTGCGGCCACAGAATCTGGTGCGTCACGATCGCACGAACCATCATGCAACAGACAAAGATCCACATCAAAATCAGCGGAGGCACCATCACGCATCCGATAATGTTGATCGCCTTGCAGGAAAACGCCTTCCCGATCGCAAACGTCGCCGTGATCAACGCCGTGTTCGGGAAGATAAACGAGAACCAGGCCATGGAGAAGATCATCTTCCCCGGTCCGATCGCTGACCAATGCGCGAAGCTGGCTATGAAGAAGAAGAAAATCGCTAGTCTGGGGATTTTGTGAGCTGGTGTCTGTGGAAGGTTTTTGATCTAGACGCTTACCCCCAGAGCCATAAGCAGGAAAAATTGGCGACAACTTTCACGACATCCGCTGCTAGGGCCCCGTTGCCCATGAAGTCGCTGGGGAAGCTCCGCTTCGCGTGGGAGGCCATGTTGACGATGCCCGACACCGTGAATCCACTGGGACCTACGGACACAAACATTCCCGGCCGGACGTTCTCTCGGGGTAGTTTCTGCGACATCAATCGGTAGATGAAGGCAGAGTAGACCATGAATGAGACCAGGAAGCCAAGCCCCTGGATTGTGGTGCCTCCGATGATGATGCGTAGAGCGCGCGATGGATCCAGCGAAGAGCTGAGAACTCCGGCATGGGGGCCGATGATTAGCATTGGATAGGCGGGAAAGATCCAGATGGGCGTCATTTGAGCAATGGTGAATGTTTGGGTTGACCACCTGGGAGAGATTAGTTTTGTGTCCGATGAACACGTCTGGTCCACTTACAGAATAAGGTAGATGCCTGCTGAAGAAATGACCGCTAGGGCAGCGTCAATCCAGAACAGTATTCCCACCGCCGTTGTGAGCCAAGGACCGGTGTGATCGGGTCCATATTGTGAGATATTAATCAGAATTGTTCCGAATGAGACCAATGATGCAGGAACAAACAAAGACTCCGTTGGATGCAAAAACGATGCTTTGAAAGTGTAGGGGTATAAATAAAATCTTGTAAGCAGAAGACACCAGATGATAACATATAGGACCAAGTTGAGCAGGAAGAAGATAATGCCGATCGTCTCCAAACCGCGAAATCTATAAGGAACTATGCCGAGTCAACCAACAAAGCCTCCCCCGTGAGGGCGCCGACTTACCGAAGTACAGTACGTTTGCAATCCCTCCCGTGGCCATCGTCAAAGTAAAAAATGCCCATGTGATGTGACGCAGCCTTTCCTTCCAACCAAGCCTGGCAGTAGACAAGTCCAGTTCGCGCCGACGGCGGCTTCCTTTGTTGTTGTGCGCTTCAGACTTTCGATACGAGGATTGGTGCCGCGCCTCGAGAGCCGACGTGTGGGCATCGCGCACTCTGTTCCCTCTCGACGGAAATGGAAAGGCTTGGAGGTCGTTCTGCGTATCTTCGATCGTAGGCGTGCGGTATCCTTCATCCCCTGGATTGCGCGTATGTCTGGGAGACAAAAGCTCGCTTGCCATTGCTGAGTCCACGAACTTTCCACTTTTGTGTTCTCTACACTTGACATCCCAGCATTAAATCAAAGAGAAAATTGCGTCCTAAGAGCAGGGTTAGAATTTCAAGAGCGATGACATCAGAATAGGCAGAGTGAGGGCGGGTCCTGCCTTGGCCCATGACTATACATACTGTTATTGCTGAGGGCTGAAGTCTGGAATCTGACCAGCGCAGACTATGATAAAAAAAATATAAAGCACGCTCGAGACAGCAGCGAGCAATTACAGGCTATCGCTTGTCGTACCCGGTCCGTTTGGCCTGTGTCCGCAAAGTTGTTGTCCAGGCGCTGGCACCAATCGCACTATATGGCAGCGTGCGCCGGTCTATAAGTGGAGTAAGCGTGCGGCACACTAGTCGATCTAGATGTGTTTGCCACAGCAGTCACTCGTGGGCAGCAAGAATGAGAAGTAATGCTATGGTCTTTATTCGCAAAATGACCTTGAATTCGATTGCGACGTAGTTTACATAGGAGGGTTTGCTTCTCGGTTACCGGCACACGCAAGCAAACTCATGGCGGGGAAGCGGGAAAGGCCAGGCTTAACCAGCCAACCATCTAGGCAAAATCAGGCTCGCTGATCGATTCGAGACGCTGCGTCATTGCCAAGGTCTCTAGAGAGTCCTTAGCATGTCTGTCTTGAATCTACCTAACAACCTCATTTGTTTTCGCACTCCTTTCCAATGCAATCACTTGAGGACGAGTATATCATCCACCCTAAATCACACCTCTTCTGATGGGCCCATGGATCACGCTGTGCATTACATAGAGTCTTGCTGAGAAGATGACGGTTGTGTATTGTATCTGGACGCCGAATAGTAAGCCGTACCTGAGCTGTAGTATATCCTAGTAACAGCAGACAGCAGCCTTGTGGATACGCATTAACAATGCGTATGGTTGCTGCAGAGAAGACCGATGTTGACGAAAGATGACTGACTGAACATGCTGATGTGCATTATAGTTTATGCATAATGCCTAGTAGATTATATAAGCGGGAGTAGGCGGGACTTCCGCTGACTTGGCTCTCCGCTCCGTTCCGAGGCCGGAGATCGATTTCCATACTTCTTTCCATCCTCCACTCGCTTCTCCTCATCTCAGGCACCTAAGATATGGTCTTTCGTCAGCAGGGAGCTGTGGTTCCACAATGCTTGCACATGTGTGCTACCCCATGTAGTAACGCTCGGACTATAACACCTCGTATCATCTCGTTATCATACTGTCAAGTTGACCCTTCAGCTGCCCGGTATGCATGCCAAGCCCCATGGGAGCTTGACTTGACCATGAGGAGTATCAGACTTTGTCGCATGTAGGTGTACAGTAAGCGGGACAACTAGTGGCTTCGTTTGAGTCAGTCTGAGGTATACAACGGGCGAGATAGTTCAGCTATAGGTACAGAAGCTATGAATAGGAGCTAAACGCAAACCTCGCCGGATTTTCCGCATTCGGATCTCTGACGCAGTGTACCTTCAGGCACAGAGCGCGGCCCGGTTCGCAAACTGGAATCCGATGGTTTTCGTCAGAGAATCCCTGTAAATGTCTGCTAATTCGCCCATGGATACAACAATCAGCCCATCGTTACACATGGTTTGTCATGACATCACCATTAAGAGCACTCGGAATGGAGAAGTTTAATCGCTGCCTTAGCGATGATGGAAATGCAACCCTGACACTGGCGCAATAAAGTGCACTTGCTGCTTGTGAGAATCCTGGTCGTGTTGGTGGGGCACTTCACTTCATATCGTCCTGGTGATTGCAAGAGAAATACTGTGCACAACAGCACCTTGCCTAACCCCTTGCCTCCTGACAGCTGACAGATTCCATTCCATGCAGACGATCAGTGCTTCTGTTCCTTTGTCTCCATCAGCATTAACCTCGTCAGATCGTTGCCAGCATCAGCTTGCCAGTGCCTAATCCAGAGCGAGGGCATCCTAAAATGGCCAGCAGCAAAGAGCAGAATGACATTTCGCCCACGTCTTCGGCGGAAACCGGGCAAGATGACGAGATTACTCCCCTCAGATCACAGAAGTTAGAGCGGGAAGATAGCACATTCTTCGAACAAATGGATCCCGAGCGCAAAGCCGAGTTGACTCGCATAGCCTCCAACTTCCCTCCTACCTTTTCCCGGCGCCAAACTGTTGATTCGGGCGTCGGCGGATCGAGCATCGAACGCAAAGATACTGTTGAGAATTTGGAGATGGGGGACCCTGTCCTAGATCCAACGAGCGGGCAGTTTGACCACAACAAGTGGGTTCGGAAGCTGCTCAGGCTGCTGGACAAGGAAGGCATTCCTCGGCCTCCATCCACCGGGATTGTCTTCCAGAACCTGAATGTCTCCGGCTCGGGATCAGCGCTGCAGTATCAGAGCAGCGTGCCTTCGTTGCTGCTGGCCCCGCTCAGACCGCAGGAGTATCTGGGCTTTCTACGACACTCGCCGGAGAAACACATATTGCGTGATTTCGATGGCCTGCTGAGAAGTGGCGAGCTGCTGATAGTATTGGGTCGACCCGGAAGTGGATGTTCGACACTCTTGAAGTCACTATGTGGAGAACTCCACGGTTTGAAGCTGCGCAAGAGCTCCGAGATACAATACAATGGCATTTCGATGGAAAAGATGCACAAGGAGTTCAAAGGGGAGGTCCTCTACAACCAGGAAGTGGACAAGCATTTCCCTCACCTCACAGTCGGGCAGACACTGGAGTTTGCAGCAGCTGCACGAGCTCCTGAAGTACGCTTGCGCGAGATCAGTCGACAGCGGTATGCCAAGTACGTCACTCAGGTTGCGATGGCTATCTTTGGCCTCACGCATACGTACAACACAAAGGGTGCGTATTCTTACTAAAGATCCTCGTGCGGACTGTTCAATTGTTGACAATGGGTTCTAGTGGGTGATGACTACATCAGGGGCGTCTCGGGAGGAGAACGAAAACGTGTGAGGTTAGCTTTACCCTGCTGACTTATTTAGTGGCCTATACTGACATGTTTATAGCATAGCTGAAATGGGACGTAAGTTCGATGATCCCTCCTCAACTCATGCACTGATTAACGCCCACCAGTCTCGGGAGCCCCCGTCGGCGCCTGGGATAACAGCACTCGAGGTCTAGACTCGGCCAGTGCGCTCGAGTTCGTCAAGGCTCTGCGAGTCAGCTCTGACCTGGTTGGTACCTGCCATGCAGTTGCCATCTACCAGGCGTCTCAAGCGATCTACGATGTGTTTGACAAGGCTATTGTCCTATATGAAGGCCGAGAGATTTACTTCGGGCCATGCAGCGATGCTAAAGACTACTTTGTCAACATGGGCTGGGACTGTCCTCCACGCCAGACGACGGGCGATTTCTTGACATCCGTGACCAACCCACAGGAGCGCCAGGCACGGAAAGGATTGGAAGACAAGGTTCCTCGGACTCCTGATGAGTTTGAAGCATATTGGAAGAAAAGCCCTCAGCATGCCAGACTCCAGGGAGAGATTGAACAGCACATGAAGGAATTCCCGTTAGGAGGACAGTCGGAGCGGACTTTTAGTGAGATGAAGCAACAGAGACAGGCGAAACATGTCCGGCCGAAGAGCCCCTATGTTATTTCTGTTCCCATGCAGGTCAAGCTCTGCACGATCAGGGCCTATCAAAGGTATGGTTTTCCCATTCTCGCACGGTAGTGTGCTAACTGTCGCAGAATCTGGAATGATAAGCCTTCAACCTTGACGAATGTCATCGGTCGAATTGCAATGTCCCTGATCATCGGCTCAATGTACTACGGGTAAGTCTACCAGTCTCTGAAACTTCAGCGAACTCTGACATGCCCAGAACACCCAATGCTACCGCAGGCTTCCAGAGTAAGGGGGCTGCTCTCTTCTTCGCCGTTCTGTAAGTTCTCCCCAAGCTCAAAACGAGTGATAGACACACCCATCCCCTTTCGACAACCACGTTGCTGATTCTGTTTAGAATGAACGCCCTCATCAGCGTCACAGAAATTAATTCGCTTTATGATCAACGCCCTATCATCGAAAAGCAAGCCTCTTATGCGTTTGTTCACCCGTTTGCTGAAGCATTTGGTGGGATTGTGTCCGACATCCCAGTGAAATTCGTCTCTGCCGTCGTGTTCAATGTCATATTCTACTTTTTAGCTGGACTTGTAAGTGGAAAACATCTTACTCGATCCTGGATTTTGCCATGAGACGCAGCTAACGCACCACAAAGCGATACGCGCCATCACAATTCTTCATATTCTTTCTCTTCACGTTTCTGAGCACACTTGCCATGTCAGGAATCTTCCGCACTCTAGCAGCGTCTACCAAGACCCTGGCTCAGGCCATGGCTATGGCCGGTGTCATGGTGTTGGCCATTGTCATTTACACTGGTTTCGTGATTCCTACGCCGCAGATGTCTGATATTCCGTGGTTTAGCTGGATCCGATGGATCAACCCGGTTTACTACACCTTCGAGGCTTTGGTAGCCAACGAGTTCCATGGTCGACGTTTCACATGCTCGAACTTTGTGCCCGCGTATCCCAACTTGAGCGGGGACACATTCATCTGCGCTGTACGCGGCAGTGTTGCAGGAGAGCGGACTGTATCTGGAGATGCTTTCATTGAATCCCAGTACAGTTATACTTACGCACATGAGTGGAGGAACTTGGGAATTCTGATCGGCTTCTGGATCTTCTTTACTGCATTGTACCTGGTGGCAACGGAGATCAACTCTGCTACCTCGTCAAAAGCTGAATTCCTGGTGTTCCGTCGGGGCCATGTACCGCCGCATATGCGCAATCTCGATAAAAAGTCTCAAGCAGAGGAAGGCGCAACAGATGCCTCCCTAGCTCAAAGGCCTGCTGAGAATGAGAAAGATGCATCCGCGATTCCAGAGCAGCATAGCATATTTACGTGGCGAAATGTTTGCTATGACATACCAGTCAAGGGCGGCGAGCGGCGCCTTCTCGACAATGTTTCGGGATGGGTCAAGCCGGGGACCCTCACAGCATTGATGGGTGTCTCGGGTGCTGGCAAGACTACCCTTCTTGACGTGCTAGCAAAGCGAGTCTCGATCGGAGTCGTCACTGGTGAGACATTAGTAGATGGCAAAGCACTTGACAGCAGTTTTCCAAGAAAGACCGGTTATGTGCAACAGCAGGATCTTCATCTCTCTACAACAACAGTACGGGAAGCCCTGCGGTTTAGTGCCCTCTTGCGCCAGCCCAAGTCCGTCTCCAAGAAAGAGAAGTTTAAGTATGTTGAAGAGGTTATCGAGATGCTAAACATGCAGGACTTTGCCAGTGCTATTGTTGGCACACCTGGCGAAGGGTTGAATGTAGAGCAGAGGAAATTATTGACCATCGGCGTTGAACTTGCTGCGAAGCCTGCTCTTCTAATTTTTCTGGATGAGCCCACAAGTGGACTAGACTCCCAAAGCTCATGGGCAATCTGTTCTTTCTTGCGGAAGCTTGCTGATCACGGTCAAGCAGTTCTTTCGACTATTCATCAACCTAGCGCGCTCTTATTTCAAGAGTTCGATCGCCTCCTGTTCCTGGCTAAAGGGGGAAGAACGGTGTATTTTGGGGATATCGGAGACCAGTCCCGTACACTGCTAGACTACTTTGAAATCAATGGTGCTAGGGCCTGCGGCTCATCTGAGAACGTGAGTACCTTGATCCCTCATTCGATCACCACTACTGCAGGTTGCTGACATGGAAATAGCCCGCTGAGTACATGCTCGAGATTATCGGAGCTGGGGCATCTGGAAAGGCGACTCAGGATTGGGCAGCGGTTTGGAACGATAGTCAAGAGGCCAAGGATGTCCAAAAAGAGGTCGACAGAATCTGTCAGGAGAGAGCATCAGTCCCCGAGCCCCAGGACAACACGTCCCAGAAGAGCGAATATGCCATGCCTTTCGTCAACCAGGTCTGGCATGTAACGCATCGGGTCTTCCAGCAGTACTGGCGCGAGCCTGCCTATGTCTGGGCTAAGCTTATCCTAGCTACGGCTGCATCTCTGTTCATCGGATTCACATTCTTCAAGCCGGACAGCACTCAACAAGGCTTCCAGGATGTCTTGTTCAGCGCCTTCATGATGACCTCGATCTTCTCGACCTTAGTGCAACAGTAAGTCACGCGTCAGTCTGCATATACTAATTCACTAACCATTTCAGAATCATGCCCAAATTTGTAGTACAGCGATCCTTGTATGAGGTCCGAGAAAGACCTTCGAAGGCCTACTCGTGGGCAGCTTTTCTGATCGCGAACATCCTTGTCGAGATACCTTATCAAATACTTGCGGGTATCATCGCATGGGCATGTTACTATTACCCGGTCTATGGCGCCAACCAAGCATCTGCCCGCCAGGGACTTATGCTGCTTCTGGTAACGGAATTCTACATCTTCACCTCGACTTTCGCATCCCTGATTATCTGTGCGCTACCCGACGCCGAAACAGGAGGCTCCATCGCAACGCTCCTGTTTATCATGGCACTCACATTCAACGGTGTTATGCAGGCACCCTCGGCCCTCCCGGGGTTCTGGATCTTCATGTACAGGGTTTCTCCTCTGACGTACCTGATTGCGGGAATCACGGCGACAGGATTACACGGCAGAGCGATTCGATGTTCCAGCGAGGAGATGAGCGTGTTCAATCCTCCGTCCGGCCAGACCTGTGGACAGTACCTGGCTCAGTATCTCCAGGTTGCCCCAGGGCAATTGTACAACCCCAGCGCAACACAGGGATGCCAGTACTGCCAGTTAAGAAACGCCGATCAATATCTCGCGTCCAGTAACATCTGTACGTACTGTCGATCTCCCCCTTTTCGTGTCGCCTGCTAACCAGTGCGAAAGACTACAGCGAGCGCTGGCGAAACTACGGCATAGGCTGGGCCTACATCGGTTTCAACATCCTTGGCACCGTCGCTCTGTACTACATCTTCCGGGTCAAGCACTACAACCCAACAAGTCTGGTGCGAAGCGCCGTGGACGGCGCCAGGGTGGTTTGCCGGGTGTTCAAGCGCCGCTCTGGGCGCACGCCGAAGGGCAGAGAGGCTGAGAACGGGAGGTTGCTGTAGTTTGTTTGCTTCTGGACCCGGGGTCGTACCTGAAGAACGGTTGTTGCTGTCATATCTGTCGGAGTGTCTATCTATTTTCCGAGAAGGTGGAATTACTTGCTTCTGATCTAGTAGTCTAAATCAACCTGCTTCACAGACATATCCACGAAACCTATCCTAGATGGAAGTATACGCTTAACCAAGCTCAGACAATAGCTTCGTAGCGAGAACACGCGATATGAATTAACACAGCTAGCTCTCTCCAAGAACCCTACCAACCGAGCCAAACATCCCCAAGCCCCAGTAGAAACCACTCCTGAATGCCAGGTGAACTATTTACACCCAACTTCCTCGAAATCCCCTTCCGATAATACCACTGCAACCATGATGCAAAGCCGAGGACACTTACTCGTTAAGTTAGCCTGGCTCGGTCCTCCCCCGAACCAGGGGGGCGTACCGCTTCCCCGGCTTTTCACTGGAATATATTTTTTGAAATGTCTAAAAAATATCAACAGCGAATCAGATAACGCAATGGTTCGTCGCTCCCGCATCATTGGTCTAGTGGTAGAATTCATCGTTGCCATCGATGAGGCCCGTGTTCGATTCACGGATGATGCACTCTTCTTTTTCTTTTTTGTGGTTGCTGTATATGAGGGTTAGTTGGGGTCGCTCACTCGGGCTTGTTTGGGGTTTTCTTTGCTTTTTGGGCTGTTTTGCTGGGATGAAACGGGCTGGTCTTGAATAGTTTTTTTTTCCAATGGGTAAGGTCGTGATGGGGGGTTGCGGGCGAATTTATATATCGTATTCAGAAGGGGTCTATCCTCATGCTCAACCTTGGCAGGATCATGTACCAGAGTTTCTTAGTACGAAGATTGTATCCGTAGAGTAAGATGCTGGCTGGCTACGTGATTCGCATAATATGATACCGTGTGCATCGATTGCATGAAGAAGTACTAAATCCCACGTAGCTAGGTAGCTAAATGTACGTAGGGGAAAGAAATCTCCTGATCCGTCAAATCATCACGCATGATACATGATAGAAAGCTCAAACATTATCAGTAGCAAGGGGTTATCACATAATAACTTTGAACCAGACTGGAGCGGTCCAAGCGTACGTCAACCTAACACGCCAAGTGCCCCGACAAGAGGAGAGGGGAAGAAAAGAGGCAGAGGGAGAGAATGGAAGTAGAATGATGATATGTAGATAGAGCCATTCCTAGCAAGTCGTAATCACTAAACTCATTGGCATCAAAGTCAAATTGAGAATCAAAAACAAAGAGGAGCAACAAAGATGAACCGGACGTAGGTGGGGGTATTATGCAGCTGCAGGACAAATGGATATCAAAAACAAGATAAATGTGAGAGGAGATGAGCGTGCTATGTAGCGCTGTCGTTAGTTGCAATACAAATCATTGCGGTTGAAAGTAAACAATCAAATCCTCTGGAAGATGCGGTAAGGGTCGAAACTGTATGTGTGAGGTTGGGGGGTTGGTTGATTTTGACCAACAGAATCGTTTCATGCCGGCCACTGCCTTGGCACTCTGATCTGTCGGAAGAAATCCGCATGAACTGGTAGAATGTGCATGAGCATGGGAGACGTCAGATTGATCGAGCACGTTCTCAACCGTTCGTGAGCTGTCATGAGAGGACATGCCGCGGGACAACTAATGCGTTGATCACATGGCTGGGGTTCCAACCTTGGTCCACCAGGGGCTCATGCTCCTTTAGGACCTTGCCCAAGTACACGATTTTCACACGGTGAGTGCGAGGGATCTTGACACAATGTTAGCGAGTCGGTCGGCGCAGTTGCAGACAATTGAAATATGATGCGGGATGACGTACCCCTGCCTCCTGCTGCACTTTGCGGGCAACAAAGCCAACATTCTGAGTCTTGCCCACCGACAGATCAACGTCCGGACCACCGCGATCGCTCAGTCGTGCTCGCACTCGGATCAGATCTCGCTCGCTGGTTTTACCCTTTTCATCCCGGCGACGTTCGAGGTCTACGTTGTTTGCGATCAGGTCATCTCCCGACGCTTCATCGGAAGATAACCTACCGTCGTCGGTGTCGAATTCGTCGTCCTGATCCTGAATTGATCGGACCAGATTCTCTGGATCGCTCACGATGCATTGCGGTAATCGGTAGAGGGCGCCTTGTTCGTCGTAGCAACCCTGGCAGAGATCGCCCGTTGGAACGGTAATGCCGGCTGCGTCGATAATGGTCTGTGCTGTTGGGATATCACCAGCTCGCATCAGAGACACTGCTGCAGACAGAGCAGCCCAAATTTCCGGACGACCCGTTACTCTGGTCTCAAAGAACGCAGTGCGCTCTTGGTCAAGCGCAGCCCGACTCCACATTCGTCGTTTGCTATACCAGACATGACGACGGATCGGCGCATTATAATGCTGACTGAGTGAGTGAGGGTCGGATCGACTAGTCCGGGCAACGCGCGTGCTGGTGGAAGTGTTGGTGGCAGAGAGCGCGTTGCTGGTTGCAATCGCTCGGTGAGGGGACGATTCGCGGCGCCGCTCTTCCGTGGCTACCTGTGCTGCATAGGCAGGATTATCGTTGTCTCGCGACGAGGAAAAGCAGCAACCCTGGGTGTTGATGATGAGTTTAGGTCGAAGTCTCAAAAATGTTGAGATAGTGGGGGAGTGTCGCATGGTAGAGGCATGTACACCGCACCGCAGGCATGACACACGAACAACCCGTCCCAAGGGAGAAGATAGTTGACTTACCATCTTGTAAGAACAAGCTCCATCAGCCGGAATAAGCGCAATAATGTCTTAGGGTCCGGAGTCCAGACTAACTGCAGGGCGGCAGCTGGGAGATCGATCCGATGAGGACGAACGGCAGAAAACGAAAGAGGAGGGGAAGATGTGGGCGGGGAACGACAGGATGAATAAGACAAGAAAGTCAAGCTTATGGGGGCTATTGTGCCGGTGTTTAGCGACTGGGAACCGAATCGTTCACTTGCATCTAATTGGGAAGCCAGTCGTATGACCCGAAGAGTGGTGGCAACGGAGCGGCGGGTTGCAGTTCACTCGCATGGCAATACGGAGGGGAAGCCAGGCGCAGGGCAAGCAAGCTAGTAGCAAAGCAGAGCAGAGTAGAGCAGAGGAGTAAGGAAATATGACGTTTGATGCCTCGGGAAGAGATTAGACGAGGCAGGGAAGAAGAAACGGCGAAAGGAAGAGGAGAACAAAGAAAGAAGAGAAAGACGTGAAGAGAAGAGGGGAACTTGGAAGGAATGGAGCGACGCCGCGTTGACGTGAGGGGAAAAAGGGAGGAGAGCCAACAATCTTCAACCTCCAATTCCCGGGTTCGGTGCACATCGCCCACCAATTACTCCCTCCCTAGTCTACCTCATCTCATTTCCCTCCTGTGCTCTGCATTTACGCCAGTCGTGCTTTGCTGCTGTTCCCTGCCGTGTAACAGACTTGCCAACCAGACCGTTAGGCCTGACCGCAGACAAGATAGCGGCGCAGCCAAGAATGAGGTTTGCGGAAATCTTCCGTCATGGAAACACAGACTGGAACTGATATGGCCAAGTCCTTAAACACACCAACCTGGCAATTGACAGGAACACTAGCGGTCAGGCGCCTGGCACCATGATTCGTCCACTTATAAGATCGAGGTCAGAATTAAGTTTCTATAGTCAATAGTGGTATACAGCGAGCTATGACCTATGCCAACACAATCGATGAACCAGCTTTTCGACATCACTTCAGTTCAGTTCATCCTCCTCGTCCTCATCGTCACTACCGAAGATAGCCTTGAACACCGCCTCTCCTGGTCGCTCCGCCTCCAAAGCTTCGTTGCGCTCCGGCTCAATGACAACAGGTTCGTGTAGACCCAGCGGCGCTGCTTGCGCCGGCGATGCATTTTCTGCAGCAGGCGTGAGAGATCCACCTCGACTGGCGTCAATCAAAAGCTGATTCATGACATCGCGCGAGACCAGTTCCTTGGGTCCCGAGGCGGTCTGATATCCAGCAGAATGGAAGCGCCCTCCAGGTGGCGGGGCATCCCTGCGCCCAGATGGTTCTCCAGGATCGATTTGAACGTGATCTGGAGGTTTGACATTGAATCGCTTACATAGCAGGCGCGTGGGATATAACGGAAGAGTGCTCCGAGTCATCGGGCCGAACATGCCGATGCGGGCAGCCTCTACTGCAGGGTCTTCAGGTTTTGCGGCAGGCTTGCTGAGGAGCGGATCGGCCGAAGATGCCTCGAGCTTATCGGACGACTCTTTCGGGCCCGACGAAGCGGAAGTGAAACGCGATGCCATCAGCCCAGACATGGGTTTGAAAACCTCCGCAGCTCGGGCGAACTCATCCAGCTCCAGGGCCCATTCATCCGTACTGGATCCCGACACTCGATCAGGCAAATTGTCTCGAAGTCCAGCTCGGACCTCGAGAAAGGTTCGATAGCGTTTCCGTTTCTCCAAGTCTTCCGAATATGGCATCCAGCCACTTGCCGCTCGGGTCAAAGCTTGGACAGCTACCTGCTTCTCTAGTTTCGGTACTAGGTCCCACAAGTCTTTCCGCTTCTGTGTCTCGGAACGTTCGTAGCCCTTCGGCGCCTTCTCACTCAGAGCCGGCGGCAAGTCCGTCTTCCCGGTTAGTTTCGCAATCCGCTCTCGACCTTCTGGAGTCAACCAGTCGAAGATAGACTTCCCTGGCAGCTGCGCCTCACCCAGAAGCGCAGCTCGAGACGTCGGGTCCAGAGACGAGGCTTTGGCAGCCTCCGCCGTAGAAACATAGCTTGAGAGATCTTGTTCCTTGGTCGGTGTCTTACTTGATTTCCACCCTGTCGGAATTTCAGGGGCCGTATACTTCTTTTCTTGGGCGGATATACTCAAGCTGGAGATGCCCTCAGCAAGCATAAATCCCTCGATCGGTAAACGGCCGTCGTGGCATTTCCTGAACCCACTCGAGCTCTTGGCCGCGAGAACCTTCTTGGGGATGTAGATGGGTTTATTAGTTATTAGAGGGTTCGACGATGCTGCAAGTGGCCTCGCATCTTCAATCGACTTTGCTTTCTTTTTCTTCTTCTTGTCTCCTCCGATGACGCGGTTGTAAGAGATTTGAGGCCCTATTGAATACGGGTCTTCGTCATCGGAGCCGGTATCGTTGAGTACGCCCACGCCAAAGCCTCCGCGACGAGTTTCCTTCGTTTTGGGCTGCTTGGGCTTTCCCGGGGCCATGAGCCTCTTCCCAAAGAAGGAGTCATCTCCCTCCTCGTCGGATTCACCCCGAGCCAACGAGCGAGCATCAAGGCGGGCCTCTCCCTCGAAGCCAAGTCCTTTGTGATCAGTTTTATGGATGAAAGCCACCATTGGCGGATTTTCCGGAGCAAACAGATACGTCTTGTTGGCATCCTCACCACCTTGCGTGATACCATCACCTAGATTGGCGCGTCGCTGCACCTTGGGACCAACACCTTGACCCTCTCTCCACCCCATCTTCTTCAGGAGTTTCACCCCCATGGTTTCCCCGGTGGTTTTGAGGAGGTCCATCAACCCTCCCCGGCGCGCCAACTCTGCATCGGTCGTACCGAACCCGGCAAACTCATTGTTTGTATGAACTGTCTTTGCTTCCTCTGCCTCCCGGATATCTTCCTCATCCATAAAATCTTCGATCTGTTGCTTGCGATTGTCCTTGGCACGATTCTGGCGTGATGAGACGAAGGTTGCAGGGGTCCATCCCTCCTTCGACCCGACGGTGTTGAAGTACCTGAAGAGGGATGACCTTTTAGTGTGCTGTCCACAGCGATCCATGAATCGTGAGCTCACCCGGCACTGAATCCACCGGTGAAGGCGCCATGTAGACGTTTCCTTCCCCGGTCGTCGGTCACTTCTTGCTTCCAAATGGGCGCGTAGGAACCATCGTCACGGATACTGGCGTCTAAAGGTGGAAGGGGTGTTCCGTAGAGAGCATAAGGTGACTGTTGCGCTTGTAGATCGGCCTCGAAGGCGGCTCGAGTTCTTTTACCAGCCATGCGGGGCGCGGTTTAATCAAGCATTCCTCGGGCTGAATCAGAACGAAGGGTCAGGTTAAGATCAGAAAATCTTGCAAGAGTATTTTTTTTTCGAGAGCTTGCCCTGAGAGAGCGAGTAGATGCTGGTGCTCAGTGACTCGGGGATCCGATTGACAGGAAGCAGTTCAATGTTGCGACTGCCAAGGACGAAGACATGTGACAGGCAATCGGCTGCTTCGGGCACCGCCACCGACTGTGGCTGGTACGGGGCTGGACTCATTCATCAACAACAGAAACTACTCCGTACTCCGTCCGTATCGAGTCCACCACCCCTTCAACGACCAGACTCCTCCGATATCCAGCAAACACTCTTATTCTAAGGCTGGCAAGCAATCATCATCCTCAGACTCGTCTCATGAGGGTTGATCTGGCGTCAAAAACTCTGTTTCTTACTTAATCACATTCAGAAAACCACCAGTACTGCCAGTCATCAACAAATCCAACTAACAATAACATTATGAGCTCACGCGGGTGACAGATCCCAAATCTAGCTTGCCCCTCTCACGAAGTTCGAGGATCCTCGATCAGTGGAAAATGCTTGGCAAGTAGAGTGAGCTCATAGGATCACTGCTCGACTGGGAAGCTCCTGTGATCAGCATCGGCCTCCTCGTCATCCTGTCCATCCATGCCCAAAGCACTGAAAAAGTCCGACGTGCCACTACCTCGTGGAAAAACAACGGCACAAGGCGACTCTGCGTGACAGGCCCGTGAGCGACAAGCTTACAAATGACGAGCGCCGCGTGTTCGCTACAAAAGTGACTGGCCTGTACTTAACCGCGGTCTATTAGCCCGAATTGAAGTGGTGGAAATGAAAGAGGCTGTAGTGTCTCCTCTCCCCTGCGTAACTCAATAATGAATATCGATCCATGATCCACGCAGAAGCCGACAGACAAGAATAATGGATGATACGAGCCATAGTCATGTTTTTAACATAGAAACATCAAAGATCCCAATTCATTTCCACCTGTTCTTGTTGTGGGGGCACAGCTAACACCAACTTACTATTAATATATCAATACAATCTCTATCTAGTCTAAAGTTCTTAATTTGAACCAGTAAGCGGAGCGACCCATCGTCAGACCCGATTGTTTGTATAACTAGTTGAGTTGACGGCGCCATACGGTACCGAACCAGACTTCACTCTCTGTTTGCGGGTTTTTTTTGGCTCTTTTGCTCTTGGGCTGGTGGCCCTTGTGGTGAATGGGGGTGAATGTTGTTGAAAGTCCAGCCAAAATTAAGTCAGTCAAATCAATCACTCTGTTTCTCCGCATCCATCATCCTTCCGTCGTCACTTTCGAACTTGTTGTTATTCCCTCCCTCGTGCATTCTTCCTTTCTTTCTTTCTTACTTGCCTGCCTGCCTGCTTGTTTTTCTGCCTGCCTGTCTGCCTGCCTTCCTTTTCCTTTTTCCCTCAATTGTCCCCTCCTCTTCCTACTCCTTCTCCTGATCTCATCATCGCCTCTCCTCTCCTCTCCTCCTCTCGTCCCACATTCCCTAGAACTCGCTCTGTCTGTCCCTCTCTCTGTCTCTCTCTCTCTCCCCTTGCGATCCTCCCCACCCTGTTTTTAGTCCTCCTCGTTTGTCCTTCCTTTCGCTTTCCCTCGCCCCTCTCCCTTCCTCTCTGACCTCTCCCTCTTCCCTCCCCCCCACCCCTCTCTTGGGGAGCCTTTGGTACATACTGTACTTACATGAGTGGACCTTTGACTATCATCAATCTTTTGATGTCAGTTTTGGCTGCCGTTAACCCTTTCAGCACTCGCTCCGTCAGCTAGAAACGCCTGACGCCCGTCTTCTCCTCCCCCCCACTTTATCTTTTCCCCTTCTTATTCCCGACCGGTCGCTATTATTGAATCTCCCCTCTTGGTTTCCCCCCCCCTCCTCCCACATCCCATCAATCAATACTAAGGCGGCCTTGGGCTGAAAAAAAAAAGCACACGCTTGGCCTGTGGTTGGCTCGGAATTTCTCCAGTCTAGTGCCCACCGTGATGTCCACTACTGCCCCCTCCACTGCGTCGCCTTTGGTCGTCCGCAGTCACTCGACTTCCTCCCGCTCTCCCTCCTATCGTCCTCCCTCATCCGAGCTCCCTCACCGTACCCGAAGTGTCGCTGTCCGACCCGCGACAGCCTCCCAACCACAATATCAATCACCACCATCCTCGTCGCAACATCACTATCAACCTCAATCCCGTCACGCTCATTCCCATTCCAAGTCTCAGTCCTATGATCGTCGCCCCCCTTCCAATCAGGCGGTATTCGACTCCATAACCCGTCGAGATTTTGAGGCTTCTCGCGGAGCTCCCCCGGCTTCTCCCCGAAGGGAATCCTCTCGGGATCGTTCACAAGAGCGCCCTTCCACCTCCTACCGCCCCGAATCCTCCTCCAACAGACACCAGAGAAATCTCTCAGTTCAAGGTCATCAACGGGATAGTATCGATATGGCGACCGCCGGGACTGTCATGGCAGAGGGTGTCGCAGGGCAGCCCCAGGCAGCTGCCGCCCATTTACATCCGACTAATCCCGTCCAGTCAAGACGTCGGACCATGATTACGACGCCAACCGGCCAATGGGCTCTGGGAAAGACATTAGGTGCCGGCAGCATGGGCAAAGTCAAGGTTGGGAAGAACATGGATACAGGAGAACAGGTGAGTCCCACGATCCCGCTCGCGTTCTGTTTGCAGAACCTCATCGCAGTCTAGGTGGCTGTCAAAATCGTACCTCGACAGTCGACCGAAGAGCATCGCAGCTCGCGCGAGGCCGAACGGGCGGACCGCTCGAAGGAAATTCGAACGGCGCGCGAAGCAGCTATCGTCAGCCTCGTCAACCATCCTTACATCTGTGGCATGCGGGATGTAGTTCGGACCAACTACCACTGGTACATGTTGTTCGAACTCGTCAACGGGGGTCAGATGCTGGATTATATCATTTCCCATGGTAAACTCAAGGAGAAGCAGGCCCGCAAATTCGCCCGTCAGATTGCCAGTGCGTTGGACTATTGCCATCGCAACAGCATCGTGCATCGCGACTTGAAAATCGAAAACATTCTGATCAGTAAGACCGGAGATATCAAGATTATCGACTTTGGTCTCAGTAACCTCTTCTCGCCACGGAGTCAACTCAAGACATTCTGTGGCAGTCTTTACTTCGCTGCCCCTGAGTTGCTGCAGGCGAGGCAGTACACTGGTCCGGAGGTAGACGTTTGGAGCTTTGGCATTGTCCTCTACGTTTTAGTCTGTGGCAAAGTACCGTTTGACGACCAGAGCATGCCCAAACTTCATGCCAAGATCAAGCAGGGCGTTTTTGAATATCCTCCTGGACTCACAGCAGGTGAGTCTCTCTACTTCGTCTCCCATTCCCGGTACTAATTGTTAATGCGCAGAATGTCGTCATATTATCTCCCGCATGCTCGTGACTGACCCCAAACAGCGCGCAAGTTTAACCGAGATTATGAATCATCCTTGGATGAACAAAGGCTTCAATGGTGCACCAGAAAATTATTTGCCATACCGAGAACCTATAAATTTACCTCTCGATCCCGAGGTTATTGAGAAAATGACGGGCTTCGATTTCGGGCCACCTGAATACATTACTGCGCAGCTCACCAAGCTCATTGATTCTGAGGATTATCAGCATGCTGTGAAAGTCAGCGCTCGCGAACAACCCGCTCCAAGCTATACGGAGAAGAAGCGAGGAGTATTCGACTTCTACAAACGACGAAATTCGGCCAGCAGGGATACACTGTCCGCGCCGTCAGCGGAGGCCGTTCAAATGGGCAACGACCCAGTCAATGCCTACAGCCCGCTAATCTCGGTCTACTATCTGGTCAAGGAAAAGCTGGACAGAGAAAGGGCCGAAAAGAACCCTGGAGCACTGGGCGTCCCACATGCCTCTGGAGACTCGATGCTTCAGATGCCAGACCTTCCAGCACCGGAGGCCGCCCATACCAACCAGTATCATGTTCCGGGAGAGAAGGATAGTGGAAGAAGGTCGCGCCCACGAGCACGAACGCATGGTGATGACGACCTGGCGGATGGCATCAAGAACCTCCACCTGGGTCCGCAGACGGGGCATTCCCCGGGTCCTGCGTTGTCGCAGCCAGAAACGCCGGTCAAGAAAGAAAGCACGGCAGCGGGTATCTTGAGGCGGTTCAGCACGCGCCGGACAAAGGAACGCAGCCGCGATCCGGAACGTGGAAGACTTGGCAGTCCCCACACCCCAGCCCTCAACGTCCAGCCACCCGCAGACTTGGCCTCGCCCCTATCCAGAGGATTCAGCGTGAAGAGAACCCGACGCGCAGATCCCTCCCCAACAGCCATTCCATCCGGGGCAAATCATTCACAGCAGAACGATTTTCTCAAGGCCCCGGGATCAGCGGAGCCGGCTTCGCGGTCCAACAAATTCTTGGAGAGATCTGCCAGCGTCAACTCGGCCGACTATCGTCCTCGTCGTTCACGACGAAATGATCCTGACGCCGCAGGTCAACCACCGCCAAGCAGTGGGTCAGACTATGCCAATGTACAGAAAGAACCGACCGCTGCGAGGGAATCGAAGCTGGGCCGCGGCCATACTGCTCGAACAATGTCGTTAGGCCATGCTCGTCGGGAAAGCATACAAGCCCGTCGCGCTAGACGCGATGCCACGCGCGAGGCCAATGTGCCTGAAGAGACCGATGCCGATATCACTGGTGCGGGAACTGCCTTGGAGAGCGCCAATGAAGGAGAGGATCTGTCCAAGCCAGTATACCTCAAAGGCCTTTTCAGTGTCTCGACCACGAGCAGCAAACCTTTGCCTGTCATTCGAGCCGATATTATTCGCGCTCTGAAACAACTTGGAGTCGACTACACTGAGATCAAGGGAGGCTTCAGTTGTCGCCACGCCCCGAGCATTGACTTGGATAGAGTCATGGACGTCGGGCCCCCAAGCCCAGACCGTCAGGGCCATGTCTCGGGCCACCGTCGACGTATCAGTTTTGGGGGGTTGTTGAGCCACGAAGAAGGTAGGGAGGACCCGCGCCAGATGCCCCGTTCGCAACGTCGGGCTCGGGCGCCTCCGGACCACAGCTTTGTGACCACTCCCGAAGGGTCCGATGAAGACGTCGGGCCTCGGCCGAGTCGTGATCTCGGGGTGGTTGGGGAACGTGTCATGGGTGAAACTACGACACGAGTCCAGAGTGACACGGGGGAGAATCTGGTACTGCGGTTTGAGATTCTCATCGTCAAGGTCCCTCTGTTCTCGCTGCATGGAATTCAGTTCAAGAAAGTGGCAGGAGGCATGTGGCAATATAGGGAGATGGCGAAGAAGATTTTGGACGACCTGCGACTCTGAGTGCATATTGTTCTACATGATACGTTAGTTACTATTTGCGTACTGACCAAAGTCGAGTTGATCCACGAAGCATTTGCATGAGCATAACGTTTTTTTTCTTTTGTGGAGCATTTCCTATGGCAACTTTCTGGCAACTTCCGGTTCGCATTACTATTGAGCTGGCTCATGATCTTCGAGGGCGTGGTTTTATTTATCATGGTGTATACTAGACCCGAGCAAGCATACTTCCTGGGTTTCAGTGAGAGCTTGTTCTGGTGTTGCTATTGACTATCATTGTATATTTGTCTCCTTTTCTTATTTTTTTACCTAATAAGTTGACAGTTGTCTGAGACCGTTGTACATAGGTCGTGCAGGTAGGAGCAGCTTTCTGTCATGTGGCCGAATACTAATTGGCATGTCTTTACATTCTATGTCCAAGGCAACCAGTAACATGTGTTTCCATAAATCAGATTTGATTAAGCAGGCACGATCAGAGTGATTCAGCTTGATAGAACACCCACCGAAAGGTCAGATGCGCCTGAAATAGATCTTTCTCTAGCTGTAAAGGCCTGGGGCCTTGTCAAACCCAGGGCAGTCAACTCGGTAGTCTGAGAGTTGCCGTCTCCCGGATTGACCAGTTGGCGGTTGGCGATACCTGGTCCGTTATCACTTCCAAGTAGTCCAATGCAACCACAACACTGAGCAAAGTAGCTACTTGAACTTTACAATCGGCAAATGTCTTCCTGACAGTGATTAGGATCTTCAAAGCCTTATGTATTATTCTGATTGATGCTTTTACAGAGATTCAGAGTATTGCTCCATATCAGCCATCATTGTGCTGCTTAGTCATTATTTGCCAGTCCGCGGCGCGTAACAAGATTGATAGAGTAGATTCAAGCAGTCCTCTTGCTTCGAATGGAGCCTTTATTTAGCTTAAAACACGATAATCGAATACAGCAATGCCCAGGCATATCATGGATGCTTAGAGCTAGCCCAAATGCGTCCGTTCGACTAATCCTTGTCAGATGTGTAACAGTGTAAGGCTTTGCAGGGAGTTTTACTAGGGCTTTACTAGCTCGGTAGAGCGGGTAGAAACAACGCATTACTTGACCGTTAGTTTCAGGGTCGCTGATTGGACAATTCAAAATGATCGATGGGTAAGATATTAGTCCAACCATGTCTTTTGCTCAAGACTGACATTTGGTTTTGGTTAACCATGTGCCTGATGACGTTGATATAACAAAAAAATGAGTTTTACCAGAAACTCCTGATATCAGGAAATCAGGACTGTTATATTTGTACATCCTTTAAATTTATAATATATTCACTTGATATAACGCTGACTAAGCTATAATACTTTCCAAACAGGCTAGTCTCCATCCAGACTCTCTCTCTCTCTCTCTCTTTCTCTCCTCCTGAAAGCTGACATTAGCACCCTCTCGACACCCTTTCCCACTTTACAGATTCCCCAAAGACGTATCATGTCTGCTTGACTTTAAATACTACCAAACTGGCGATTTCTCGATCCGGTCCATGGGTACGATGTCCACCATGCTCATTGACCTGACTCTAGACTCAGAGCCTGAGGAGCTAAGCAAGGTAGGCCATTCTGTGTCTTTTTGGTGACTTTTTTGAGATCTGTGTTTTGGGAGGTCACCGCCTCCCCGGATCCCCCGCGCGGCGAGTACGGTATAGTCCGATGCTATACCGTTCCTTGGATTCCTATCTATTTTTCTATCTATATATATTTCCTCGTTTGTCTGTTTCTTATATCCTGCCTATTTTTGTACTATTCGAGTGACTGTGTGACGCCAAAACTCAAAAGAAAATCTTCCTCTAAATCAAAATCCTATTGTGTTGGGAATCTTCTGAGAACATTAGCTGACACTATTCGCAGACAACCTCAACAAGCGCAACAGCCTTGTCACACCGCCTTGCCCACCGCGCGCTCAACCATGTCGCGCAGTCAGTGCCCGCAAAGCGCAGGAACTCTGAAATCAGAGAAGCTCCGTCCGCCCGTGCGCACTCAAGCTTCGCTGAAAGGTCGCATGTCAGTGAGCCCGAGCACAGGGAGTCCGAGCAACGCGTTTTCTCCCAGCCGGAGCTGGCAAGGCCGAGATCCAGGCGCAGCGTTTCCAGTCAAGAGAACACCGCAAACAACAACAACTATGCCGTTGATCGTCGGTACAGTTCTCACCATTTCAGGGCCGTAAATAACTCCCACACGACTCACTCCCCCACCTCTGTCAATTCATTAAATGCCACGCCCCACTCCACAGCTCCGGAGATCATCGTCCGGGCTCCTCCAACACCCCGCCAGGCGAAGCATGAAACCTCAGGTTCCAGCAGCAGCAGCAGCACCAAGAATGGGTACTCTTCCTCCGTCACGCCGCTCCACACCGCGCTCTCAGAGGTATATTACCCGACCGACGCGCACCAAAAGAAAGCCATGAAGGGCGCATACCCGAAGGCCAAGAAAGTGCAGCGCTCCGAGATCCCATTGCAGATCGGCAAGCCGGGCCCGCTGCTGACCAAGCCGCCGAATGTGCGCCAGCAGACGCGGCAGACGATGAAGCGCAAGCTGGCGGGTATCAAGGGACCCAAGGTCACGTACGACCAGAACGCAGAGCATCTCCTGGCGGACTTCATCATGAACTTCGAGTTCGTCAACACCAACCCGCTGCGCAGGGGGGTGGTGCCCGTGTCCGAGGAGTTCAACGCCGGGTGCACGTGCGTGGGGTTCTGCAACCCGGCGCTCTGTCTGTGTCTGTCCAAGGAAGAGGGCGAGACCAACGCCAGCATCATCCCGTACCAGGGTGCGGCGGACGATGCCCGCATGATGGTGCTCCGGTCCGAGTTCCTGACGCGCAAGGCCATGATCTTCGAGTGTAGTGACCGGTGCGGGTGTAACCAGGGCTGTTGGAACCGCGTGGTACAGAACGGCCGCACCGTGCGGTTGGATATCTTCCATACGGGAGATCGTGGATTTGGTAGGGTTACTGTGCTCTTCGCTCTTCTTTATGAGTTAGTTGTGCTAATCCGAAACCCAAAAGGCCTCCGCTCCCCAGACCGCATCCGCGCAGGCCAATTCATCGATTGCTACCTGGGCGAAATCATCACAACCGCCGCGGCGGACCTCCGCGAAGCGAACACCTCCGCACACAGCGCCTCCTACCTCTTCAGTCTGGACTTCCTGAGCGGGCAATACGAGGACGAGGATGAGGACGAGTACGATGACGATGACGACGACGACAACGACGACAACGACGACGACAACGAGGCATCCAAGTGCAAGTACGTGGTCGACGGGCGCAACTTCGGCGGACCGACCCGCTTCATCAACCACTCGTGCAATCCCAACTGCCGCATGATCCCCGTCTCGCGCAACCACGCCGACAGAGACCTGTACGATCTGGCCTTCTTTGCCGTACGCGACATCCCGCCTTACACCGAGTTGACCTTCGACTATAACCCCGGCTGCGAGGGCGTCAAGGACTCGAAGATCGACCCCAATGCGGTGCGGTGTCTCTGCGGCGAGGCGAATTGTCGAGGGCAGCTGTGGCCGAACCAGAGGAAGAAGGGAGTGAAATAATTTTTACCCTTCTGGATCGGGCTGAACGGTTGGTTCTTTCTTCTGTGTGGTTTCTGTTTTATAGCATCCATGTTGACAAAAGGCCGGGGTTGTTTCCGTGTCCTTATCTTATCTTACCCTGGTTGCTGGTTGCTTTTTACGTCCAGTACATACTTCTCTCATCTGCTCAGCGTGATTTGATTTCCCAAGCTTCTTACTACATTATCCCGGCGTTTGGCATGAGATTATTAATGGTGTTGGCGCGGTGTGTTGAGATCTTGTGGTCTGGTGTTGATACACTATTTTTTTTCTTTACTTTCTTTCTGATGTGTGCATACTTCTCTATTGTTGTTGTTATGTTTTTTTCCCAGAGAGTCCTGCATCCCCCGCTTCAAAAGTACCTGCCTACCTGCCCTGCACATGTTTCTAGCCACGATACCCTAATTATGTACCAAGTTTATCGCGATACCACGGCCTCAACTTTTATCACTCTGTGAGGATAGCATTTCTGCGAGGAAGAAGACATCCCTTTTACTAGGTCCCTCCAAATTCAACCCATATCGGTATGGATGTTCAATATGTAGATTAGTATATCCTCGATAGGAGAATAGATAGATCGATAAACAAAACCACTCAACTCCACATCAGCCCCAACAATCACAAATCCGTAGAACGCCAAAGACAAAACACAAACCCAACGCCATGAACCCGTCGACGACCCATAAATCAGTCCGTGCAAAATTAACGCCGCCGGTCTGATTCCCGCAATTCCGCAAACGCCCTGCCCCCTCCTGCCCATCCGACAAGCAAAGTGAAACCCAGACAGACAACATCCCTCCGATGACCAGCAGGCCTGTAGAAAGAACCCACCCCCGAGACTTTAGAAGCAACTCCCCCAAACCACCTCCTCAATCCCCTCCAGAACCCCCAACCCGAACCCGAACCCGAATCCCCCTTCCGCTCTCACAGGCCGCGGCTCCAACAACCCCAACCCGACCCGCTCAACAACATCCCGCCCCGCCCGCTCCCGCTCCTCGCGCAGATCCCTTTCCGCTCTTGAGAGGATTCGTTGGTGGCCGCCCAGTCCATAGCTGTACCCGGAACCATTCCCAAGCCTATCCCCCTCCCCGAACCCAGGAGACAACCCAGGGGATAGAGATAGAGAGAGCGACAGCGAGCGCAAAGGCGGCGAAGGCGGAAGCGCACCACCCCCCCTGCCTGCGAGTTCCCTCCCCCGATCCTGATCCTGATCCTGATCCTGACCTCTATGCAGACCATACCGCGGCGCAAGAATCGGACTCAAAGGCGGTGTTCTCGGGATTTTTGTCGCTTCTATCATTGAATCCAAATGGGAATGCGAATGCGAATGGGAATGCGGGAGGAGCGAGGTGGTGTTCGCATTGAGACTGATTTTGTTTGTGTGCTGCTGCTGCTGCTGTTGCTGTTGCTGCTGCGGCGGATGATGGTAATGCAGATGCGGATAATGCAAGCGCCGAAAGGCGAAGGGCGGAGGAGACTCCGACTCAACCTCTGAGGTATAGAAGATGTCTAGGTCGGAGGCGGAGGAGATGGATTCCGGGGCGGAGGAGGAGATGGGCGAGGAGGTGGGGCTTGTGGTTGTTGAGCTTTGGGGGGAGAGAGTTATTGGTCCTAATCTTGTTGGATTTGGGGGATTGGTTGTGCGTTTGTTATTTGGTGGTGGGGATGGGGGGAAGGTTGTGTGGAGGTGGAGGTTTGGGGTTTGGCTTTGGTTTTGGTGTTGTTGGTTTTGGGTGGGTGTGGTTGTGTTCATTTTGGCTTGATCGATAGATCGGTAGATCGATTACTCGGGGGTGATGTTTGTGGGAGTATAAGTTAAGTAAAGTAGAAGTTGGCTGAGTTCTGAGTTCGAGTTCTTGAGAAAAAAGCAGAGTCAGATGTATGATCTGATGTAAGAAGTGGTGGTGGTAGTGGTGGTGGTGTCAAGTCGTACAAGTAGACTCAGACTGACTTAGTCTCAGTAGTTATCCCGTGTGATGAATCAATCCCTCCTCAGTGAGTGATAGATCAATTCAGTTGGGGTGGATCGGTTCCGTTTGTCAACGTTAATTAATTTCAAATGTCAATAAGTAAGCAAGTAACGAGTCAAAGTGGAGTGGAGATGGATTTATAAAGTCCGCGGCAGGTGGAGTGACCAGAGGCAAGCCAAACCAGCATAGAAATAAGAAGAAGAATACGAGAGAGACAACAAGGGTGACGATGATGATGATGATGATGATGATGACATCCAAGAACAAGACCAGGGGGATGATCCATCCATATTATATGCCATCCACCAACCAAACACTTACTTAATATTCAACTCCGGAAACTCTGTAAAAAAAAAGTACTCGTAGTAAATTTAGTTCTCTCACTCAGTATTAACTATTAAGCACATACATACCTAAAGGAATGACCTAATATGCAAACAGACAAAAAAAAAGAACCCACCCTTCGCCCCGTTTCCGCTCTAGCCGATCGGATGCAAAGCAAGATACGGAGTATTATTACTCAGTATTCAAAGACTTTCCGTCCGCAGCAACACCACTACATTCTTATGATCCTGTCTTTGATTCCCTTGCTCGGTCGCGATAACTCCTTCATTGATTTTTACAGTTAAGTAAGTATCCTTCGTTCCCTTGGCCTTTCTTCCTGAATCCCAAAAAAAGTCTCTTGCCCGATCCGGGGCATGGCAAGATCCACTTCCCTTTCCAGTACCAAAAGTCAACGCCCTGTCATTTTAGTCATCTTGTCCTGTCCTGTCCTGTCCTGTCCTGTCCTGTCCTGTCCTGTCCTGTCCGCCCTGTTTTGTATGTACTCTTGCCTTGCCAGGTCACGTTGCTGGTTAACCTAATTTGCAAAACTTACTTAGTAACTCGCACCTCAGGGCAATTTCCAAATCAAGGCCATCGAACAGGAACACTCAGACGCAACATCATGGATGATGTAAGACAAGGTGATTGATAGGTCATGAGCATCCCTGCACTGCCTGTCCACGTGATGGAAATACACTCTAGGTATAGCAATTGCCAAGGTGCACACCACTTCAGTAGTCTGAATCACTCCACTAATCACTACGGAAGGTAAAGTAGACTTACTCGAACTGTCTGTCATACTAACTACTACATCTCTCCGAGTTGGCACATGCTATATACAACATTATTCACATCCCACACCTTCACCATCTCTATCGACCTTAACCCCAAAAAAAAACAAAAAAAAAATCTCATCAACATCAACATCATCAGTATCATGATCCTTGGCTGGCTACTCCCCTCAAACAACTCAAGCAACCAAAATCGTATCCTAAAATGGTTCTACTGTACAATTCACCCATCTCCAACAAATCTCTGTCCAAATTCAACAAGAAATGTCTAGATGCAGAGCTAAAAAAAAGCACAACGCTCTAGAATGCCAGAAATGCCAAAAATACCAAAAAGATAATCAAGAATAATCCACGCTCCACATGGACTAGATAGATCGGAGTCAATAAATCGCACCATATTTACTCGCCCGACCGTCGACGCTGCGTAAAACTACGGCGGATACTCTCGCCCCAGGCGGAGTCGCCCAGCGACTGCATCACGTCGTTGACGTTGGGCGGCCGCTCCGACGTCGCGCTCTGAATCTCCTCCAGCACGTCCGGCCCGCTGCCGTACGACGAGGTCGTGTTGGCCCGTTCCCGGCGCGGCGACAGGGACGGACTGATGCTCGACCACTCGGTCGGCGAGTTCGCCGCCGAGATACGCCCGCCCAGGCTGGTGTCGATCCGAGGCAGCCCGCCCAGTCGGGACGGTCCGCCACCGCCCTCCACGCGACGCGTGGGCGACGTCGGCGACAGCATCGGCTGGAAGGGCTCTTCACCGACGAACCGCTCCGAGGGAGAGGGAGGAGCAGCAGCAGCAGGAGCAGCATCAGCAACAGCCATGTCGACCGCCGCGGGCTCGTCCTGCGATCCGTCATCCACAAAGATCTCCGGGACCGAGAACTGTGGCACGCCGCTCATCCGGGCCGACTTCTTGTGCTCCACCTTGCGGCGGAATTGCCGCGACCAGTACATCGTGTCGAAGAACCCGATGACCGTGTGCCGGCGGATCGTCTCCTGCACACGCTGCAGACGGGCCCGGCGGCGCAGGAATTCCTCCAGTCGGAGACTCTTGCTGTCGCTGATCACGTTGTAGTGCGCTAGGATCATGAGACACGAATGGAACGAGATGCCGCGCACAGGGTCCGCAGACACCAACACCTCCTCATAGAATGAGTTGAGCTGCTGACGTCGCTTGCGGATCTGCTCCACTGGAATGCGCCGCAGGATCCGAGACATCTTGTCCAGATCAAGCCCCTCGACCACTCGCCGATGCGCCAGAAGCGAGTCGCGCTTGTCAACCCGACACTCTTCCAGAATCTGTGGGATCGTGAACTCGCCGTCGTAGATCCGCATGGAGAAGATCCCGGACAGCTCGCCCAGCAGCCGCGGGAACTGTTCCTTGGTGATATAGCCCGTTCCATCTGGATCATACGTCGCCCATGCATGCTTGAAGCGACGGACCTCCTCGCGGCTGATGGCGTAGAGCCCACTGCTCTTCTGGTACACGTACGAGAAACTCTCAAAGATCAGAGATGTGAACAACGAAACGAAGAGATACATGCTGATGATGTTCCACGCGATGAAGAGACAGCGAGCCCACGGTGCACTGCCACAGTCATCCTCGAAGTAGTTGCTGCTGTAGGTACATAGGGGCGGTACCATAGTAGCAAAGTCTTCCATGACCTCGTTCCACCCCTCACCGGCACTCATCCGGAAGAGAAGTATCAGCGAGCGGGGAATGTCGCGGAAGTTGATGTTGTTGCTTCCCTGCGACCCGAACTTGGTCAGACCAAAAGCCTGGTTCATTCCGATGGCAAACACCAGGAACAGCACAAACCAGGTGGCCAAAAGATTTCCAATGGCCGTCAGACTGGCTGCGGCCGTCTTGAAAAGTTGGTCGAGCTGATTGTTGCGAGGGATAATAAGTAGTGTGATCGACACGAGGAAGAGCTTGTTCAGCTCCGAGACTACATGGCCCGAATTCGCGAAGCTCAGGATTGTGGTGATCAAGGTTCCAGGCACCGAGATCAATGAGTAAATGTCCCAAGAGCTTCTGCTGAACCGGTGCCAGCCCAAGCCAACCATCCTGATCGCCACATTCGCAATGTAGACGAAGTTGAACGCAAAGAACAAACCTTCTCGAATGGTACTCCACAAATTGCCCTCGGGGTAGAATTCCAACACCAACAGCAGAAGATGGAGCGTGAGAATGCCGGTGACAAACCTCGCCCACCGGCCGTGCTTCTTGACGGCTACGCGGTAGCACCACATCTTCCATCGCTTACTCTTGTTGTCGAAAGATCGCTTAGATGGCGAAATCTGCCTCAACAGCTTCCTCAACTCCAGCCACGATCGCTGCTCCGCGGTGAGATAGGCAACTCCAGTCTGTTCCGTGTAGTTGCGCATGAACACAGACACGAACAGGGTCAAGACAAACACAGCCCCGAGCAAGTTGAAGACGATGAAGAACAGCCCGTTCTCAGGCGCGATGTAGTCCTGAGGCTGCTGTCCAACCCCAACAATGCTCATTGCACTCTGTTGAACGTCGATCCACCCTTCTTGGGAGACAATCTGGAACAGAATGAAGAGGGAGTCCCCGAAATTGTCAAAGTCGTAGTACGGGTTGGCTGCGGCGCGAGGTGCAAGCACATCCCAGTTGGAAGGAGAGCTCATATACTCGCCGATACATGCATCGAGGCTGCCAGATATGTCGCCATCGTTACACTGTACCATTCGTCCGGCAAAGAGAGTAACCCCGTAAATGGCGAAGGGGATCAGAAAACTCATCGAAACCGCAGCAGCCTAGAATCATGATCAGCTTCCGCAATCACCTTCGTCGGAAAAGAACTTACAGCAATAACCTTCCATCCTCCAACAATGATGACCGAATGGAAGGTATCCTTAGCACTGTCGCTAACATTCAACAACCGCAGAGCTCTGAGTGCCTTGAAAGCCCCAATCGCCCGAGTCAGACCCCAGTCCTGATACAATGAACCACCTACGCTGATCCAAAGAGTTATCAAGACGATGCCGTCAAGAAACCCCCAGGAGCTTCGAAAGTACGCATTAGGCGTCCAGAAGAATCCATCCGCAATGACCTTGATGAGAGCCTCGATCGTGAACAGAATCGCGAAGCCCATATCCGTGTATGTGAACCAGTCGCGGTTATTCTGGAAGTGAGTACTTTGGTAGATCGGCGTAGTGATACAGGCCAGCAGAACCATCGCCACAATGGCCGCATAGATGAAGGCAGAGAAGGTGAACCAGACCGGCTTATATGGGTCGACACCTTCCACTCGCTGGGTACCCCGTCCGGGACCAACCATCCGCTGGCAGAATTTGCGGACTGCGTTATCCGGCGCGAACATAAACAGCGACTTGTTGTAGTTCGGATGCCGCATCAGATATTCGCGTTGAGCCCGCTTCCTCTGTTCGGCGGCAGAGACGACCTCTCGAGCCATTGTCCTTGGGTCCAATTCATCGTAGGCTCGAGAAAATTTCAACTTGGAGTAGAACGGATTGGGTTCTCGCCGCATAACAGAGGTCGCGAACTTGTTCCAGATGCGCGAAAAGAAGCCGGGCTGCGATGTCTCCGCCGTAGTCGTCGTTTCCAAGGGCACACTTTCTCTCCGTTGAGATTCCGACGGCTCCTGCTCGTCCAGGAACTCCTGCACAACAGCATCCTTCAGCAGCATTTCCAGCGCCGCTGGCCCATGATCCAAGGGATCCTTGTAGCGCTCGGAGTTCCGGCCCATCATCAAAATTTTCGAGAGAGACAGGTTCCCTTGCGAAGACATGTTGATTTGCTTCTGCTCCAGAAATGACTTGACCTGCTGGAGCCGTTTCTCATCTTCCGACACATCAAAGCTTTCCTGAATCACAGCGATGAACATGTTCAAGACAATGAAGCAGGAGACAATAAACCAGATGGTCAAAAACGTGGCTGAAATCCAAGATGTCTTGTAGGCTTCCGTGTATGTCGTGGCATTGTACAAAATGTCTGTCCAATTCTCGCTGGACAGGATCTGATACATCCCGAGAAACGAATTGTAGATATCGGAAAACGATATGTAGATGAAATCCCCGCTATCATCCTCTTCGGGGATTTGGCCGCGGAAGAGCTGGGTCGCGAAGATAGATGCAAGGAACGTGATCAGGAATACAAAGACGATGAGGTTCAGCAAACCAGTAGCATTGCGGAAGACCACCATGATCAGGTTCCGGGTCACCGTGAATGCGAGCACTACTCGGTAAACTCGAAGAATTTGAAACATGGTCAGGACATCATAAGCACGCGTATTTCTGATGGAAGGTATTTGAATCACACTAGTGATAATGACCAGTCCCAGATCAACCCAATTCCGCGCTTTGGTATGAAAATTGCGCCAGTCCGAGGCGAATCGTAAGATGATCTCCACAAGGAAAACGATGGTAACGATAATCTCTGTGTTGTCGACAAGAGCCCGGCGGTCTTCGCCCATGGATGCGCTTCGCTGAGCTTGCACGACGAGGTCCAGGATAATGATGCAGACCCAGAGCCATTCTGTCTTGTCATAGATACGTTTGATGGTACTAATCTTGCGGGCGGACGGGTCCTCCTTGTCCGTCGAGTCGATCTTCTGAACGGCGAAAGCACTGCGCTTGCTCTCTTCTCGAATGACTTGGAAGGAGTGTGTGATGACCGCAACTAATAAATTGACCATCCACAAGCTCAGAATTACCAGGCCACACACGAAGAACAGAGAAGCTGCCAGGTAATCACTGTCGGTGGTGTAGTAGAGAAGATCCGTGAAAGTATTCGATGTCATGATCACAAACACGAGCTCTAGCGAGTTGAGGATATTGTCGAAGCTCACGGTCCCATTGTAAGGATTGTCGCCTTCAACACACAGAGACCCCTGAGGACAGATGTAACCCTTTGGACTGGAAGTGGTGGGGTTTCCATCAGCACGCAGCCACGGCATATTGTCACCTCCATTGAGGTAACCGCCGCAGAACTGTTCGTCCACCGTGTAGTTGTCTTGACCATTGACGCCAATCCAAACACAGGTCCTCCGGAAACTGGACTTGAAGCTCTGGATGCCGACAATGGCAAACAGAAGCCAGAAGAAGCCTATAAGGAACGCAACGTGCGCCAGTAGCGGCGCAGCCTTCTTCAAACTCCGAAGGATAACCTGCTCAAATTAGCTAGATATTCCCTGCTGCCCAGATATCGGAGTCATGCTTACCGAGGTACCGTTCGTCAGTGCCAGAAGACGAAGGATCCGGAGACAGCTGAGCATACTAAAGACATACAGCTGCTGGCGCGTCTCAACTCCATATACCGAGAGGAAGAAGGAAACCCAGTAGGCGACCAAGGCGACAAAATCGAGACGATTGAAAGAGTGACGCAGAAACGCTCGATGAGCCAGTCTCACCCGACTCTTCTGCAACGGATCATCCACCAATTGGTGTCGCAATTGATTTTCCAGCTGGTTCAATCCTCCTGTGAAGGTCCGTATAATCGAGGCCTGCGGTTGCTCCGGAGCAACTGATGACTTTCTCACCGAAAATTGGCGCTGTGGAATGATTAAATTTTTCCCCTTCTCGATCGCGGCTTTCCGGAGGCCCATCGACCGGTCGATTGTACTGTACTCAGCAGGGTTGATAATTAAACCAGACACCAAGATTTTGGCGCCGACTTCGAGTGTATAAATGATGAAGATCGCTAGATAAACATAGTCCGTGGGGTTATTGCCCCAATTTACATCGCGTGGGTGATCCCAGACAGAGCGGGACGACTCGATGGTCAGTAAGATTGTCTGAATGAAGATCACCACCAAAATAAAAGGCTCAGTGAAAGGATGAACCAAGATGTCGCACAGCCACATTCGGAGAGCGTTATCTGGACCCAGTATCCCCAGGGCCTTGCCTCTCAGCGGGTTGCTGATCCCGCGCCACGCCTTGCTATTCGAAGGTAGTTTCTCGTGATGAGCAGCAGCCGGGCTGCGTGGCGTATGGGGCGACGGTGTATCGTGCGCGTAGTCCGGCAAGGACGGCAGAGACGGCGGCTCCTCCATCCGCGCATTCTTATGCGACTCCTCCCTCAGGATCGACTGTTCCACGACCTCGGGTTCGTTACTGAGATTGACAATGCGCTGAGACATGGATTTCATCATCGAACTGGCGCGCTGCAACGCCGACCCGTGGCCCGAGGGAGACAGCGAGCGCGACCGCTCGCTGGGACTGCTCAACCCGCGCCGTCTGCCTTGGAAGCCACCCTCCAGATCATCGCCCAACCGTGCATCCGGATTGCTGGCGGCGGCGAATTGAGTCGTTGGCGCACCATGGCTGTCATCGCGGTGGATGTCTTCGGAGCTCGAGGCGCCACTCATGGGCTGGACATGTCGGATGTTTGTCAACGGGGTCGTATCGGTGTAGGTATCGGTGTGTGTAAGATAGTTCTCGGAGCCGTCCAAGGGCACCGTGTCGAGGTCTATGCTCGAGCCATCGCGGGTAGGTATTGGCGTGAGCGAGGCACGGTGTGAGGGGTCGAAGCTGAGCCCGACCGAGGACATGGCTTGGGCAAAGGCGCCCGGATCATCAATCGCCGCGTCCTCGACCTCATCGTGGTGGTGATGCGTGTGGTGCGGGGCCACCCCGGCCACCCTGTCAATCGGAGAATCATGCGCGATGCGCTCGTAGTTGTTTCCGGCGCGACCTCTGCCGGTCAAGGACCGACTCAGCCGGCTTGCAACCCCACCCGCAGTATTTCTCCGGCCGAGATCCGAGTCGAAGGGTTCGGAAAGGTCCTGCAGGGGAATTGATTGCTGGGAAGGAAGATGTTCGTCGTCGGTGCCGCGGTCATGGCTGTTCGAAGCCATGGGGGGCAGTTCTGATGCGCTAACCGAACGCAGACATCGCAGGCCGCTGCAGGTCAAGAGGGAGTCGGAGGGAAAGGGAGGCGCAGGGCTTCCAGACAGTGGTCAGAGGTGCGAAGGGGAGAACGCAGGGGAAAGCAGAAGCAGGAGAAGAATCACCGCTGAGTGCGGAGGGTGCCGGGAAAAGCTGAGAATTAGTAGTAGTTCGTCAAGTCGTACGTACGTAGGCGAAGCAAAGTACTAACTAGTCCACGGTCTAGGAGAAAGTGTCGAAAAAGGGCTGAAGGTGACCAGGACGGTGTGGGCTCCCCGGGCGGAAAACGTGGGCCAGGAACCAATCAGAGTCGGGGTTCAATCATGAATTCGATCATTAGAATGGAAGACTCAAGAAAGTCAGATGGGGAATGGAACCCAAGGACCAAAAGTGGTCGTGTCTTTTTCTTTTCGGGGGGGGGATGGGCAGATTGGCAGAAATGGCGACGTGATGGAGTTGTCTGGACTGCGCCAATGCGGCCCTCACTGGGGCGGATTGACCAACAACGACGTTTGTATGGCTGAAAGAAGGACCCCCAGTATTTGCTAAATATCCGAGCCTTATGAGAAAATGAGAAAATTGATAAATAATTAAAAATTACTTGTAACTATCTAGCAGTATTCTGGTTCGATGGATCAGTTCCTTTCTGCCTTCCTTACACTTTCTCCCTCCCCTCCCGTCCGTCCCTGACAGCTGTAGTCATAATGCTTTGCTTGTTTTCTGGTACAGAGAGAGTCTAGATTTCCCCTTCTTAATGGGCAGTTGTACTACCTACGTACAGTACGTACTTTCTTCCAAAATGTCCCGTCAGTCCAGAACAACATTCCACATGCAACCACCAACGGAGACTTCCAAAAGCAAAAGTAAAGATTATCCATCATAGCCACGCGCCACACCGAACAAGAATGGCTGCCTGCGACCAAAGCTGGTCTCCACTCCATCGCATCCAAAAATAGAGCACTACCGCCGACCATTTGAACTGGTCGAGTTTCACCCATGCAGAAACCCGCTAATTCGTGTGTCTCGGCGAGTCAAAACACCCAAATGATAATAAACAAACCCCCCAGGGTCAATCTAAATTTATATGACACGGTAGGGCTGGCTGAGAATTCGGAAACGTAGGCAACATAGGGGAAAAAAAAACGGTTGCGATATTGACAGGGCTAAAGCTAGACTTAATCAGTCTCCATCTGGTTGTTTCCTTCACCTGTCGTGTCTTTCACGTGGTTCCGGACGCCCTGAAGGAACGCTTCGACAGCATCACCACCCCCCAAGGGGACCCCTCCTCTACGCATAAACCCGCCATTCTCCACTGGGATCTTGAGGGCCTCGCTAATGCTCGGTAATCCACCATCCCTGATAGCCACGGTCAGACTCGCGAGACTCTGCGCAAATTGCGGCGAGTGCAGCACTTTCCGGAGGATGTCCTTCTTCTGGTCCTCGTCGAGGGATCCCATGACGGCTTCCGCGATCTCGGGATCCCGGTCGGCCACCGCCGCGTCGTCAATATCCTGGGCCAGCAGTAGGAGCGATGGGGGCAAGAAGCTCAGTAGGTGGTCGACAGTCTTGGCGTCGGCGGCCGCCAAGAAGGGAAGCGTAGTCGAAGGAGGGAGGAGATCTTGCAAAGTAGTGAAAGGTCGCTCGGGGTCTTGGGACTGGCGCGAACCCCCGCCCAGAGATTGCAAGAAGCTCTGCACGACAGATGAAGGATCCGAGTCAGCAGCTGCCCTACAGGCGAAGACTCCCAGTTAGCGCTCATACAGTAGCCAATGCATATATGAAACTATCAATTGCTTGAGGGTACAGCCAGTCCACCCATAGTGTAAAAACCTGAGGGTGAACGTGAGAAACTGTCGAGATATGTACCTACGCTCGTCCACCATCGGCACCACCTTCCCTCGATCCTTGACCCTCCTCCCGAACATCACCTCCCGTAGCATCAGGGCCGGCTCCTCCACTGTTGCCTCCGTGGTTATGGTTGGGGTCGTGATCCACGCCTTCTACATCCTCCATAGTCTCGTCGTCATCACCGCCGCTCGAGGGACCCCGAGGGAGGTTGGCAATCTCTTCTTCCATATCCAAATCCTCGCCCTGAAGCAACGAGTTGATGATCTCGCCCAATCGAAGATCTCTGGGGCTGAACCAGCTGGGGTTACCACCCTCATGTTGCGACTTGGACTGCAGCCAGAACAGATACCGTTGTGAGCTCGAGCAGAACTTCAGGACAAAGAGCCGACCGTTGGTAGGGGCCTCGTTTCCAGCAGGCTTGTAAGGAGTAAAAGTGCCGTCGGCAGGAACCATCACGAGATCCAAGTCGGGCTCGGTGTGAGGGGCAGTTCTCGGGCGCCAGCAGAGGTGTGGCAATTCATCTTCAATGTACAGGTAGAGATAACCGGGTGTGGGCTTGGGTTTGACAACATTGCCGGACTGATCAACCAGAAGAGATGAAGCAGTCAGCAATGAAAGGAAGATACCTTGGTGAAGGTATATGAATGGAAGTGTCGGAGCTCTGAGAGACAACTCACCTCGATGTCACAGATACCCGCTTTGAACGTAATGACTGGAGTTACAGACATGATGGCGGAGGTGGGATAGAGCAGGAAATAACAGATGAGGAGGATTGAGAAGCTAGAGTTGTTCCACCTAAAGGACGCAGTAACGAAAATGCCCACTCAGAAGGATGCGAGTAAAAGGTTGATAGGATAGAGGAGCGGACAAAAGCTCAGCAAAGCAATGTACGTCAGTTGGAGGTTACCCGCAGTATGTTTAGCTTGGACAGTAAGACACAAAGACTGCACGGTTGGCGTCTACAGATGACCCGAGCCCAAGGAAGTAGCAGCCTCAGGCAACGAGCGGCGCTATCGGCTCTATCGCTATCAGACCCCTCCGAATCGGCACTAGCGCCTTTCGGCTAGGGCTCGCGTTCACACAAACTCACACTTTCCCGTCCTGGGGCGCAAAGCAGCAAGTCACACATCAACTCCAGCAACCACCCGCCGTCGACAACCACCACCTCCCCCCTACATTCTTTTCAGACCATCTTCGTCCCGGTAGCCAAAATGTCGGACCAGACGAAGCAGTTTGGAAAGGGCCAGAGGACCGTGCCGGCCCAGAAGGCCCAGAAATGGTACCCCGTTGATGACGAGTCGCAGGTCAAGAAAGTCAGTACCAACACCCTGTGACAAGAGCCCAGATCATTCGAACGACCAGGGGAAGACAACGAAGATGCGATTTGGAAACCATGAACGAACGCGACAATTGCGCTGGTGCAAGAGAAGGAAGATCTCCGGGTTGGAGATCCGGGGATATGGGAACGGCAAGGAGAAATCAGGGCCAGTGTCGATCAGGGACCCATGAGTGTCTTTTTTGAAGATAGGGGACAAATCGCATCTTCAGCTCCTCCTGGATCGGGAACGTGTTCGGGGAACTGCACTGTGAATCGCAAATGGGATACAGGTCGTTCTAACATGGCCTCTTTTTCATGATTATAGGTCCGCAAGGCTATCCGTCCCGCCAAGCTCCGCGAGAGCCTTCAGCCCGGTACCGTCTTGATCCTCCTCGCCGGTCGCTTCCGTGGAAAGCGTGTCGTTCTCCTCAAGCACCTCGAGCAGGGTGTCCTCCTCGTCACCGGTCCCTTCAAGATCAACGGTGTTCCTCTCCGCCGTGTCAACGCCCGCTACGTGATCGCCACCAGCACCCGCATCGACATCAGCGGTGTTGACGCCCAGACCGTTGAGAAGGTCTCCGCTGCCGACTACTTCACCAAGGAGAAGAAGGCTGAGAAGAAGACCGAGGAGGCTTTCTTCAAGCAGGGAGAGAAGCCCCAGGTACGTTTTTCCTCTCAGTTGGACCCATTTCCGGATGGGCCCATGGGATCAATCCGACGCTTGTAAGACGAATACTGATTCGATATGTTTCCCCTCGCCACAGAAGAAGCAGGTTGCCAGCGCCCGTGCCAGCGACCAGAAGGCCATTGACCAGTCCATCCTGGCCTCCGTCAAGAAGGAGAACTTCCTTGGCAGCTACCTCGCCAGCACCTTCAGCCTCCGCAACGGTGACAAGCCCCACGAGATGAAGTGGTAGATGTGTGACGCGGCGGCCGCGGGTTCGGTAGTTTGTGTGGAGGAATCCTGTCAAAAGGCGGCTCAAGCAAAGTCGACGGTTCCCCTCTAATTGTCGGTGGGAAAAGCGACTTCTGCAGCGCCGGAAAGGGCAAAGATCAAAACAAAAGAAATTCAAAAACAAAACTCTCATGAAATAAATGTAACTCGATTCAGGCCTTATGTTTGCTTAGGATTGCGGTTTTTTTTTTAGACTTTTTTTTAATGCGGACGAAAAAAGGACAAAAGGAAGACCGGTCTGTTATCTCTTTATTTCACGGGGACTTTTGTGGTGTCTTTTGCTTTGCCCTTCTCCCAATCCCCTTTTCCAGCGTGGTCGATTTTGCAGTTTTGATATCACCCAGCCGAAATGAGAAAGAAAAAAAGCAGAATACCTTTCCAGCTTGTCTACTTAATTGTGTCCTCGGGAAATGAAACCGAAGAAGAAAAAATATGAGCCCACCCCCTCCCTATATTTTATGTTCTCTTATGATATCTCTTCCAATTTCAGGTTCGGGCAGACCATCTCCATTGAACTGCTGTTATGGTAGAATAATTCGTATTGTCAGTCAGTATAGATTCGGTCTTGTGGAAAGTCATCAATATGGGATCGGTTATCCCCCGAGCAGGCCGAGTATGTGCGTTTCTCGGATCCAGAAATATAAAGATAAGCGGATAATCAATCAACCCAAGGGACCCCAACTCCCGATAACATCTCCAACTCTCCCCCTTTCCCCATGACGCTTGCAAACCCCACACAAAGTGAAGATCACACAAATCAAATCAGCAGCCAAAAAAAAAAAAACAACAGACTCCAATTCAGATTTTACACATGATATCAAAATAAAGGAATAGAATAGGTACAATCTAATGGTCTATACAATATATAACAAGATGTCCAACCCTCCCTACCCCAAACCTGTACAGAGTATACAGAACAATCACGCCCTCTCGCATGACGTAACGACCAATTCACAACAACAAAAAAGCACCACCACCAACGCCAACAAGACAATAAACAGACATTGAGCAGCCCTTTTCCCCTAACACATCTACTTCTTATCCAAGTCATACACAGAAACTCAACCCTCAACCCTCACCTAGTCGTGCCTATTCCTCCTTGTCCTCCTCCTAACGGGAGGCCCAGTCCAATACCCCTCAACCCTCCGCGGCGACACCCTCCGAGCGTGCCTACCACCACCACCATTACCACCACCATCATCATCACCATCATCATCACCATTATCCGGCGGATCAAGCAGGAAGTCATCCAAATCCTCCTTGGCACTATTAGGCCTGATCCTGCGCAACCGGATCGGGGAGGAAGGGGGTTCTTCTTTCTCGCCGGTCTCAGTGTACTCCGCCTCGATGTGGGTGCCCAGCAGCCAGTCGACGACGCCCCAGGGGCCGAAGTTCCCGGTGCCGATGCTGTGGAGGTGATTCTCCATGTTGCGCGCCATGCCGCCGATGAAGAAGCCCGTCGGCATGGCCGAGTAGCCGCTGTAGGCGAAGGTCTCCTCGAGGGAGACGAAGGCCAGGTAGGCCAGGTAGGAGATCATGTGTAGCTGCCACAGCGCCACGGGGAGGATGGTCGGCAGCCAGCGGCCGATTAGGTAGGCGAGCGGGTGGTCGTAGTGCGCCGTCAGCGGGTAGGGGGCGCGCAGGTTGTGGTACCAGGTTCGGTGGTAGCGGGCGATGCGGTTGCGGCCGTGGAGGATCCAGCGGTGGATGACGTAGCTTAAGATCTATATATCAAGGGGTATAGGGGTTAGGTTGGGGCTTGAGACTTGGAAACAGACACGACAGTAAAAGATATTAGGCAGGGAGGAGTGTCAACGGAGGAGTGGAAGGGTCCACAAAGTTCGCCCAAAGAGCTCATCAAAGTCAACTCACCTCGCGCAGAACCAGTCCACAGAAGATCTGCCACACCAGATTCCACGGAAGAGGCAGCTTCAGCGTCACCTTGACGAGGCGCAGCTTGCGAAAGCGACTAATTAGTTTATCCTCGACGTACCCTTGGACGGCAATGCCGAGGGCAAGATTGAACAGCGCCCACGCGGCGACTTTGAGATCCTTTCCTCGAATCTTGCCCTTTTTATTCCCGGCGGGGAGGCCATATTCGCCCTGTGCCTTCAGAAGAACGGCCGCCGAAGGCGTCAGGATGTCAAACAGGTAGAACAGCAGGGAGGGGAGGGCATAGCACAGCGCCCGTACTGTGGCGGTGCCCACTATCTCGACGCGCAAAGCACTGTGCGACAGCACCAGGGTCGCCCAGGTCATGTAGAAGAAGATCACATTGACGCTGGTGCCGAACGAAGCCCACGCCGGGACGATGAGGAGCGAGATGAGTGGGATCGCGATTAAGACGTGCATCGTGGTGGTGGATGTGTTCTGGCGTTGAGCCGATCAATCGGCAATGTTTATTTAAACCAAGCAGATGTATATTTTCTGTGGAGCAACGACGTTGTGTGTTTGTTCTTTATCGTTAAAGCGCAGTCATGCAACTATAACCTAGCGCAGCACCCATGGAGACGACAATACTCGAGCGAAATCGAATCTATATAGTCTCAGATGTTGCGACTTGAAGAAGCTGTTCGTGACTGCGGTGGCTGGTTGCTGCGACAAAAAAAAAGCACCCCCACCGTCGATAAGCCGCCGGGCGCTTGGCCCTGATTTGACGCAGTCCCGCCCTTACGCATTGTCTGCTCAACCCTACTGAAAACCACCCTCTAATCCTCGTTGTCTTCAACAAAGCAATGAAACAAGCACATAAAGTACTGTTTGACTTCGAACCTTGGTTCCATCGCAGATTGTGTCTCAACCTCGATAAATCGTAGCTATTTTTACGAAGAAAAGCAAAAGCATGTTGGACAATGAAGCATGAATTAAGGCTACGGCTATATGTACATGTTCTTTAGGAATGAAGATAATAATGGTTGCAAGGATAAAGGAGGCAACCTTGGGTATCTAGGACATGGACCAGGCAACAAGAACTCGAAACATGACAGCACAAGATCATCAATTGCCATCCGGATTGGTTGGAAGACCGTGTTTCACACCCCACTTCCAGGCCTTCCTTCGGAGGTCAAAGATCACACCAGGGAAGACCAAGTTACTAAGCCAACTAGTCAAAGTGTCTTTGATGATGGAGTTTCGGGGACTAGGCCCCAGAGCGGATGCTTTCATCATGTCACCGACGAACATCGTAGTAATCAAGTATTCATCGCGCTCAAGGGCACTAATCGCAATGCTTGCAACCTCTTGAGGAGACTGCGGCTTGTCGGCTTCCTCTAGCTGCTTGGTCAACGCCGGTTTGAGTCTTTGCTCATTGTCGAAGCCCGGGCTCAGGATTCCCATTGGGAAGACTGTATGGATCTTGACATCTGCAGCCGGAGCCTCGCAGCGTGCCTTCGACGTACGAGAGCCATTGTAGACTTCAATCTCCTGGCTGAGAGTGTCGGACAAAGATCGAATAGCAGCCTTGGCTGGGGAATAGGGAGCGTAGCCCGCAATAGGCACGAAGGCGAGCGTGGAGCAGGTGAAGATGAGGTGTCGCGTGGGGATGGGTGCCTGCCGACTGGGGCTGATGGGCGTGAGCCATCGCTTCAGAATTGCATGGGCTGTGTTGGCAGCAGTCCAGTATACGGTATCCATCTGATCCCGCAGCGACTGGATGGATGTCTCGGTGAAGAACCCTGGATGGCAGTATCCTGCACAGCACCAGACGATATCAGGCTCTTGTCCATCGTTCCACTCAGTGACCTCAGTCATGATACGCTGACACTCAGCAGGATCGGTCAAGTCTGCACTGATGTAGTGGAACCGCTGCCGGTCAACATTGTCCGCCACCCGCTAAGACAACCATGAGCACAACCTCCCAAGATCAATGAGACAAAAGAATCACTCACCTTCATGGTCTCAATCGCAGCTTGAAGCTTGGATTCAGTTCGCGCCACAATCACAACATTGGCGCCCATTTCGGCAAGCTGACAAGCGACCGCCTTGCCCATGCCCTCGGAGCCGCCAGTGATCACTGCGGTCTACGACAAAGCCAACAGCTATCAGTGTACTGGTCGAGGATAAAAAGACCATAGGGGCGAAACATACCCTACCCTCCACAACGAAATGGTTACGAGATCCAAAGCCGAGCATCTTGCTGACAGTGTAGAGAAGTAGTCCGCAGAGGATGGTTGAGACTCCCAATATAGCTGGGGAAGAATCGTAATGAATGAAGGATAGAAGTGAATGCATTGGGAAAAGAGAGAAGAATTCAGATACGAGGGGAAATTGAGAAGTTATTAGATATGCACTGAGGGAAACTTCCCTATCGCTGCCAATACTAGGAAGTCGCGACTTGAACCTACCGTTTCGAAACCGATTTATTTGGGATTGTTGATCTTGTTGCGCTGCTGCTCGACGTGCACAACTGGAAGGAACAATTGCGCCTCGGTAGACTTTCCCGTCCCGCCCTGATATCAAACAGTGCAAACAGCCCTCCGCCCTGCCTCCTTCTCTGCCCGAGTAGGCTAGCGTCAGCCGGGCGGTGAGTGTCCCTCCCAAAATTTTATCGCAAAAGTTTATCGAAACCGGAGCGGAAAGTATAGGTGCACATCCAGAATCCCTATATCACACCTCCCTAATATCTGCCATGGGTAAGAAGAGAAAGGCTGGCGGTCGCCCTGCCGGCCCCAAGGAAGACAAGTTCGGACCCTCCAAGTTCCACATCGAGGAGAGATTCGATGATTCCGAGGATGAATTCCAGACCGGTCGCGATCAGATTCTGTTGGAGGAAGCACCAGAGGCAAAGCGGCGTCGCAAGCTAGCTGAAGATGGTTGGTTGATCCCAATGGCTCTTATCGTCTCAATCCCGTTTCTGACCGAAAGCGATCACAGAGGCAATTCTGCAGTCATCGGACGAGGAGATTATGGGCTACGATTCGGCGGACGATGACGACGACCTAGACGACGAGGATGACTACCAGGAGGATGGATACGAGGACGACGATATGGATGATCTCCCGTCGAAATCCAAGAAGCGTGCCGGCAGCCAGGGAGCTGGTTCCGAGGACGAGGAGGAAGGCCTTGCCGCCTGGGGCTCTTCGAAGAAGGACTTCTACAATGCGGATCAGATCGAAACCGAAGCCGATGCGCTGGAGGAAGAAGAGGAAGCCAAGCGGCTCCAACAGAAGCACCTGCAAGGCATGAACGAGGAAGATTTCGGCTTTGACGAGACGGAATGGGTCGAATCTGGGAAGGCGGACGATGCGGAGGAAGACGGCGGCGTGGTGACGGAAGTCCTACCGCAATTGGAAATCACGGAGGATATGAGCACGGAGGAGAAGATGAAGATCTTGAAGTCGAGGTACCCCGAGTTCGAACCGCTTTCGAAAGACTTCCTGAGTCTCCAACCTACGCTCCGGGAGCTTCAGAAGGCCGCCCAAACTTTCAAGGCCGATGATGATTCCGAGGACGCCCCCGATTATGCGCCCGTCTCCGTTACCAAGTTCCGCGCCCTGTCTGCCTACCTCGGTACCATCAGCTTATACTTTATGCTCCTGACTTCTGCCAGAGACGCGTCCGGCAAGCCCATTCCCCTATCCCCCACCGAGCTCCGTGCACACCCTGTCATGGGCACCCTTGTCAAATTCAGGAAAGTCTGGGAGTCCGCCAAGGACCTCAGCGAGCCTGAAGCAGACCCCTCCGACGTTTCCGAATCCGAAATTGACGAACAAGAAGAGCTCTCCGACGCCTCGGAGATCGAACCACAGCCCAAGAAGGCGTCCAAGGAGAAGAAGCAGAAGAAGACCAAGGCACAGCTCGCGGCCGAAGCACGACAAGCCGAAGCCGACGCCCGGAGAGCGAAGAGACTCGAGGAGACCGAAGCGAACCTGGCCGATCTCTCCAAGTTGGTCACCGCGCCCGGCAAGAAGCGCGCTGTTCAGAAGACGAAGACTTCGGCTAAGGATGCGGACGACTCCGACTTCGGTGATGAGGATGCCCTCACCGCCAAGGAAGCCGAGGAGAAGGCCAAGCAGAAGCGCTCCCTTCGCTTCTACACCTCTCAGCTTGCGCAGAAGGCGAACAAGCGTAGCGCAGCCGGCCGCGATGCTGGTGGTGACGCGGATCTGCCTTACCGCGAGCGCTTGAGGGACCGCCAGGCCCGCCTGAATGCCGAGGCCGAGAAGCGTGGTAAACAGAGACTCAAGGATTCCGAGCAGCTGGGTGGTGACAGTGACGAGGAGGATGAGCGGGTGGCCAAGCAACTCCGCGGCGGGGACGAGTCCGACAGCGACGACTACTATGACATGGTCGCAGCCCGCTCCAAGCAGCGCAAGGACGACAAGAAGGCGCGTGCAGAGGCTCACGCCGCCGCTGCCCGCGAAGGCGGCCACGTCCAGATCCAGGAGGCAATCGGACCCGACGGCAAGCGTGCAATCACTTATCAAATCGAGAAGAACAAGGGTCTTGCTCCCAAGCGCAGCAAGGACTCTCGCAACCCCCGTGTCAAGAAGAGGAAGAAGTTCGAAGAGAAAAAGAAGAAGCTGGGCAGCATACGCCAGGTGTACAAGGGTGGTGAGAGCCGTGGTGGATATGGCGGTGAACTTACTGGTATCAAGAAGAACTTGGTCAAGAGTGTCAAGCTCTAGTCTTGCTTCTCCATTCTACGGTTATACCACTGCTTCTCACCGGCGTTATATGTGTGCTAAAAAGGGGGTTTTCTTGATTGTATTGTACATATATAATCCATTTGATGATACAAACATTGTCGACCACATGTTTTCTTCAACGTAACTTACAGTAGGTAGTAATAATTTTCGACACAGGGGAAAGTAGGCGCAAGAGACGAACAGTGAAAAATGCTCGAAGTCAACTACAACCCCTCAAACAGCTTCTCAAGCACATCCTTGACATCAACCAACTCATTATACTCCGAAAGATCCAGCGTAAGGAACCTTCTCGCCAATGTATGCTATAATCCTATCAGCCCTATCCAGCCAGCCACAGCAGCAAAACCACACATACTGCTTGCTCCAACAACTGCATCTCCTCCGCCGAGAGCGTGGCGCACGCCGCAATCAAGTTCTCACCTCGCGCAGCGAGAGAAGCGATCTCGCTCGCCCGTTCGACCACAGTCTGACTAATGCCGTTCATCGCAGCGCACCTATATCAAATCAATATCCGCTCCGATTTCTCCTTGCGCGAAAGAACACATACACGGTTCCGAAGCTTTTGTCGCTTCGCCCTGGTCGGAAGCTGTGATTGTAAGGAAAATTAGCAAGTACTCACGCTCTTTCATCTAAGCTGATGTAGGTCTTACTTGTAGAGGTAAGTTATCTGGTCTTCGGTCTCGCGCGAGTCGTCGGACACGCGGACCTCCATGTGCCCTAGCTGCAGCTGGGGCCTGGGAGTCAGGAAGCCATTTTCGAGGATCTCGTGGAAGTGTGTTGCTGCAATGACTTTCGGTGGGTTCTCGAGGTCAAGTAGGTGGGTGAGAATGCCGCAGGCTAGGCCGATGCCATCTACGAATTGGCTCCAAGGTAAGCTTCTACTCAGGCTGGATATTAAAGGGTGGGAAGTAGACCGTTTTCGCTGGTGCCTTTGCCGAATTCGTCGATGATAAATAGGCTGCGGTCGGTGATTTGCTTCATGTCGAAGGAGATTTGTTGCAGGTCACGCATGAAGGTGCTTTGGATCTGCCATTGTGTCAAATTATCAATGATAATTGGTAGGTGGTGCTCGCTGGAAGACTTGTGGGTACCTGAGACACGCTGTCTTGGGTGCTCGACTTGACTATGATCTTGTCGGTTATTCCCAGCTCTGCGCTTGCGGCTGGCACGAAGCTAATACGAGACCTTAGCATTTTATCCAATTATTACAGAGATTGGGTCGGTTTCGTGTACCTTCCAATCTGTGCAAGATAGACAATCAGAGCAACCTAAAGACTTAGCACAAGCTTGTTGCTTCTGAACGGATAATCAACGCACCTGCTTCATATACACACTCTTTCCTGAGTAATTCGGCCCTGTGAGAAGAAGCATGCTTGGCCCATGTTCTTCATCCATGCCTTCGAGGTTGTCTTGGTATGCCTGACTTGATGCTAGATAATCTGCCGGAGTTCCACCCACCAAGTAAGTATCGTTAGGCACGTACGAGGATACCGTCAGCTCTTGCAAGATATGCCTTCTGTGATGTTAGCCGCGGGAGATGCTTCGTGGCTTGCTTCCTTACCGTCCGGCTCTAATCTTGATTACGTTCTCTGGCACCATTTTCGGGCAAACAAGCTTATAGAAGCTTGCCGATTGAGCCATTGCAAGTAGACTGTGAGCTTAGTGACACGTCAGGCTGAGGCAACGGGATAGAAGGCTACCTGTCAAGCTGACCACAAATGTCAGATGCCTCCAGGAGGTTCTTCTCATACTGAAGTAATCTTTGTGCGAGATCGTATACTATCTCAATCTCCTTTTCTGGAAGATTTGGGAAGAGTCAGTAAAGGTTGCGACATGCAGAGAAGGATGCCTTACCGCAGATCAGACCGTAAATATCACCCAGCTTCTCGTCCAGCTCTACCATTCTAAAGTCTTTGAAGTAAGCCCTGTTTTCTGTGAAGAACATAAGCTTCCATTCTTCGCCCCTGTAAGCGGCATCACCCGCCTGGTTCAGTGGAATGGCGATGTTGAAGCCGAGTTGAGGGAAGTAAATAACGTTCACATCAATGTCGTAGAACCCGGGAATCTCTCCTGCGATCTCGGTCGCAACCTTTTTCAGGAGGCTGTTGAGTCCGTCGTAGGTGTCTTTCATCCGATCGAGTTCCCGATCTATTCCCGGCTTTACGACTGTTCTTCCCTGCTCCTCGGAGCTATCTATGTCGACCTTGAGAAGATAAGTGAGGATCGCTAGAGAGGGCATGCCACTTACAATCTCTTGGATCATTTTGCCCATCCTGTAAAGCTGAGCCGCTTCAAAGACACGAAGAGCCTGAACCTCATCAGCAAAGAAGTAGAAGCTGACTTACCAGACACCAACCTTCTGATGTAGGGCTAATCTCTCCGCACCAGCGCTTTCTTTCAATGCATCGTATATATCAATACCATAAAAGGCAAACTATACAGAGTTAGCATTCAGGTCCGAATTGAGCACCTCATACCATGGTATACCGCCAATAACGTAGCCCACACTGAAGTCTTGAAACCCGTCACCTTCCCGCTCCCTGTATCGATGCCCTTGCGAAGATTGACCATCACATAGCGCAGGTTCTTGATATGCTTGAAGCTCTTGGTCAACTTCTCCAGAGGAATGAAATTATCCGGCCTCAAGTACACGCTGAGGAAAGCGTGCCGTTCCTGGATGACATCAACATCCACACTCGGACGAAGAAACATTTGCTTCAATCGAATTTTCCCCTGCGGCGTACGTGCAAAGCGCTGGAAAAGACCATAGACCGAGAGGCCTTCTTTCGTGGAATTGGACTTTCTGCCCTGATTCACAATGCTGGGGTGAGACTCCGATTCCATGATCTGCAGCGAGGAGAGAGTCCTTTTATTGACGAACCTTTGTACTGATTAGCCCTTCATCCTGAAGCCATATCCCCGAGCGATACTCACATAGTCCCTAACAAGCTAAACATCTCCACGAATGCCACCCGATAGAGCTCCGTGGCTTGATTGCTAGCTATAGAAGCAGAGGCTCTTCGTCTTTGGAGATGCATGAGGAGAGCGCCCGCGCAGCCGATCGTCACCATGTTTTCCATCTCGATCGAGCTCGATATGTGCAATAGCTTCCCTTCCTGCAGGGTGAAGTCCAGAGTCTCGGAGTCTATCTGTTCGCTGTCGACGAGTCCGTTGTGTGGCACGAGGAATCGGATGCGTTGCTCGTGCTTTGAAGAAATCCCCAGAGCCACTAGCTTGTTCTTTGCGTTCTCGTAGCCGAACTCTTGCGACGGACGGACATCAAGCTGGAATGGGAGCAAAGAACCAGTGTCTGCTTGGTGGAAAAGAACTGATCAGATCTATGTGGAGCATATGTAGACTTCACAGCATACCACTGTCTGGATCGAGCATTTGTCTGTCTTGGAGGGCGTTGTGGTCCACACGGGGTGAGAGTAAAAGCATCGTGGGACTGGTTTGGAGAATCACTATTGCCTGTTCAGCTTGTGTGGGTGATGGAGATGAGAGGAGACGAACGACTGTCGATAATCTCTGAGTCGGAGTAACGCAAGTCCCCCAGCAGGTAAAGCTTCTCTTCTCGGGCAGAGTAGTATGAGCATCCAACTGTTCCTGAGTCCCGCGTGTCGATGGCCACGATGACTTGGTCGAGCTCATCATCGGCAGCGTGCAGAAATAAGTCACTGTCAGATGCATCCTGCCGATCGTGTACAGGTCCTCCATACGTGAACTGTGAACCCGGATGCAGAATGCTAGGTTGCCGCACACGCTGTGAAGAGCCATAGGGCGCCGGCCTGGATTCAGTGGAGCCGTGGGGAAACTCGGAGTCATAGACTGTGCGCCTTCTTTTCGCAGAGGATATCATCATTGTGTCGAGGTTCAGATCCGGTGTTTGATGTGAGTGTACTGTAGGAGGTTTACAGTGAAGGGAATGCTGCGTAAGGTCACGCTCCTCGACAGCCTAAGACTTCCGGGACACAGCACCCATACAACCGACTATGGCATTACGATCAAACTTTGTATGCAGTGCATGTACATTTGATTCATGAAATATGGTACAGAATAATGCTATGATACATTAAAGAGGAGATATGCGAAATTACAAATCAACATATTCAAAGAGCCAGCCAATGCGCCAGGAACCATACATCATGATCAACATGAGTTAAGAGATAATCATTATTGCTCAAGCATCTTCAGCATTTGCTTCAGGCGTAGCCTCCGCGGTAATGGCTAGCCCAGTCTTGTCTTCATTGAAGGAGACGCGGGCGGTCTGACCTGCGGTGACCTCGCCCCGGATAATCTTATCGGCCAATTTGTTGCCAATCTGCTTGGCAATGAGGCGGTTGAGAGGACGAGCACCATACTTAGGGTCATAGCCCTTCTCACAAAGCCAGTCCTTAATCTCGTCATCGACATTGAGGATCATCCGTCGGTCATCAAGCCTCGACTGGAGCTCCTTGATTCTGATATCAACAATGTCTCTCAGAGCTTCGCGGGACAGTCTCTTGAAGATGATGAACTCGTCAATACGGTTGAGAAATTCTGGTGGATAGGCAGACTGCACGACGTCCATGACCGATTTCTTGACCTCGGGAGAAAGGTCTGAGCTTCCTGTATCCTTGGAAGAGTAGGACGGGTCCGCTCCCACAAGGATATTAGCACCAAGGTTGGAAGTAAGAACAATGAGGGTGTTTCTGAAGTCAACCTTGTGGCCTTGAGCATCCGTCAAGAAACCTTCATCAAGAACCTGCAACAAAAGAGCGGAAATGTCACGATGAGCCTTTTCGAACTCATCAAAGAGCAGCACCGCGTACGGCTTGCGTCGGACAGCCTCTGTCAGCTGACCAGCATCATCGTATCCCACATAACCAGCAGGAGAACCGATCAGCCGACTGATGGTGTGCTTCTCTTGGAACTCGCTCATATCGAACCGTACCACGGCGGTTTCGGTCGAAAACAAGAACTCGGCCATCTTCTTACAAAGTTCTGTCTTTCCAACACCGGTAGGGCCAAGGAACATGAACGAGGCTAGAGGGCGGTTCTCTCCACTAAGGCCGGCTCGTTGCATACGAACTGCATTAGCGACTGCAGAAAGCGCCTCGTCCTGCCCACGCACGGACTGACGTAGAGTGTCCTCCATGCGAATGAGTTTTTCAACTTCGCCAGCCATGAGCTTGTTGACGGGGATACCAGTTGTCCGCGATACAACATTTCCGATGTCATCAGCGGTCACCGAGTCGTGGATCAGGCTAGAGGACGTGCCCGCAGTCCGCTCATCGCCTTCTTTGGGTAGCTTGGCTTCAAGACTGGGGATAGTCGCGTATCTCAGTTCTCCAGCCTTTGCAAAGTTCCCTTCTCTCTGTGCCTGTTCCAACTCGAATCGAGCGCGCTCGAGCTCTTCCTTGGTGCGTTTGAGTTCCTCGATCTCAGCCTTCTCCTTTTCCCAGATCTTGGTCAGCCTTTCGGCTTCCTCCTGCTTTGCTTTTAGGTCTTCCTGTAACTTCTCGCGTCTTTCACGGCTGCTGACGTCGGTTTCTTTTCGAAGAGACTCCAGTTCAATCTGGATTGTTGTAATGTCGCGGTCCAGTTCTCTGATCACATCAGGCTTTGACTCCTGTTGCAATCGCAAGGCCGAAGCGGCTTCATCGACCAAGTCAATGGCTTTATCTGGCAGGAAACGATCGGTAATGTAGCGGTTGCTGTACGTGGCGGCTGCCACCAGTGCGCCGTCTGTGATCCGTACACCATGGTGGACTTCGTATTTATTCTTGATACCGCGGAGAATGGAGATTGTCGCAGCAACCGAGGGTTCGCCAACCTGGATCGGCTGGAAACGTCTGGCTAGGGCCACATCTTTCTCGATCAAGCGGTACTCGTTGAGGGTAGTGGCTCCGCAGCATTGCAGATCTCCTCTCGACAAGGCTGGTTTCAAGAGGTTGCTAGCATCGATGCTACCTTCAGCCTTACCCAGCCCGAGCAAAGTGTGCAATTCATCAATGAAGAGGATGACGCCGCCTTGCGCCTCCTCAACCTCCTTGAGGACCGACTTCAGACGTTCCTCGAAATCTCCTCTGAATTTGGCACCGGCGATGAGGGATCCCAGGTCCAGGGAGATGACACGCTTGTCCTTGATGCTTTCTGGGACATCTCCCTGAACAATGCGCTGGGCCAGACCCTCCAAGACAGCGGTTTTACCAGTTCCTGCAGCTCCGATAAGGACGGGGTTGTTCTTCGTGCGCCTGGAGAGGACCTGGATGGTGCGATGAATCTCAGCATCTCGCCCAATGACTGGGTCCAGTTTGCCGGCTTTAGCCTTAGCAGTGAGATCGACACCAAATTGTTCCAATGCAGACTTCTCGGGTTCGCCCCCCAGGTTCATCCGATGCGTGCCTCCGGGGGGATGAGGTCGGCCATTGGCGTAAGTGCGGAAGGGTGTTGTTGATCGAGGACTAGAGAGATTGCTTGATAAGGATGGTAGTAATCGGGTGCGACGTAATAAAGCTTGGGATGGTTGAAGGATCCGGTTCGATGACGATAAAGTGAAAGGTCGGAGCAACCGACCGCGGGATAGCTGTAGTCTTGCCGACATGGTCGCGATCAGACCGTGTAGGGGTTGTAAAGCTTGGAGCAAGCTTCAATTGTGGTTCAGCAACTGTAGATATATCAGGATTGCACGAATTCGAATATAATCAGAGCTGGCGCATTGTCATGGCTATATAGCCGGTTGTCTCCCCAGCGTCGCGAGGCTTCTCGAAGGCTCCACCTGGTTGAGGGCGCGAGGGACGGTGAGTGGCGGAAGCTCTCCGAATTGGGTCTCGCCGCGGTTCTTTCAAGCTCTCGAATCCGGCACCGTTCCCAGTCACGTGCAGCTCCAGAAGGAGGGGCGCTGTGGGCGTCGCCAAATTTTCGACCTCTCAGAGCCCGCTGGTGAAAAATTACTTCAGAACACCTTTTCCCCCCCTCCTTTCCTTCTCCTCTCCTCCCTCTTCCTATTTATTCCTTACTTTTCCTCCCCCTCCTTTTTTCTTCTTCTTCTTACACTCTTCTCTTCACATACACATACATACCTTCACAATGGGTTTCACTGACTTCGTTTCCGACGCCGGCCTCACCCGTATGTCTCTCCCTGTTTCTTTTTCTTTCCCTTTCTGTCTCTTTTTGTTTCTAGCAGTCACTAATGGTGCCCCTCAGTCGCCAACAACTACCTGGCTTCCCGGAGCTACATTGTTGGGTAAGGCACTCTTGATATGATGTTTACCCCTCCTTGCCCCTCCTGTTGAAAGGTCTTTTCCTCGTTTGTATGATGAAAACAAATTGGTCCGTGTTTATGAGGCGGCTTAAGACCCCGCTGCAAGATTACACAACAATGCGAGCAATCGCGCTTCTGATCACTTGGAAAACCTTTTCTTTTTCTGCGTTTGCTTGAATCTATTTTGCACTCGTCGCTAGTTGTTGAATCAGTTTTGATGAACTTTAGCTGACTTGGATTGAAGCGATGCTCCCTCCCAGGCCGATGTCGTGACCTTCAAGGCTTTCAGCGGCGCCCCTGACGCCGAGAAGTACCCCCACGTCGCTCGCTGGTACAAGAACATTGCTTCTTACGAGTCTGAGTTCGCCACTCTCCCTGGCGATGCCTCCCAGGCCTACACCACCTACGGCCCTGAGTCCACTGAGCTCCCCACCAACCCCAAGGACAAGCCCGCTGAGGATGACGACATGGACCTCTTCGGCTCCGATGAGGATGAGGAGGAGGACCCCGAGGTCGTCAAGGAGCGTGAGGCTCGTCTTGCTGAGTACAAGAAGAAGAAGGAGGCCAAGGGCCCCAAGCCCGCTGCTAAGTCCATCGTGACTCTCGAGGTCAAGCCTTGGGGTAAGTTCTACTTGCCGGTCTGAGACGAAGAAGCAGTCACTAATTCAATGATGCAGATGATGAGACCAACCTTGAGGAGATGGAGGCCAACGTCCGTGCCATTGAGAAGGACGGTCTCGTCTGGGGTGCTTCCAAGTTCGTTACCGTTGGTTTCGGTATCAAGAAGCTCCAGATCAACCTTGTCGTTGAGGACGAGAAGATCTCCCTGGACGAGCTCCAGCAGGAGATCGAGGAGGACGAGGACCACGTCCAGTCCACCGATATCGTAAGTTTCAATGCTTTACAGACTTCATGCAATTGATACTAACATTACTCTACAGGCTGCTATGCAGAAGCTGTAAATGATTGTTGATGAACTAAACCCTTTGGTGTGACGAAGTACTATTTATGTTATTCCACGGGAATTTACTGTCATGACCTCAATATAGCCGACTAAGTCGGCATGACGAATAATAAAAAAATCCAAAAATTATACCCATTCATTTTGATGATTGTAACATGTTCTTGTATTGCACGTAGTCTTACCCCTCAATCAGTACCCCTCATCAACAGAACTACGGTAGATAGCTGCAAGCTAGCTGCGACCCAGTGGCGAGCTAAACAGGAGAGGTAACTTCAAGGTTAGGCCAATGCTGCCCAATATCGTGGGGCCGCCAACCTTAGACGCTGCAAAGGGTGGGTGAGCACTGTGCACTGCAGTGACTGCATCTGCCGTCTCCCCGGTCTCCCGTAACAAACCACCACCGCCGATCCATACGACAGCTTCTACCAGCCCAGCACCGCATAACCTCCCACTAATCCACTCACCACCGCGCCCCCCACACTCAACAACTGAAGCACATACCAAAGGAAAATGGGATTCCTCTCCCGCCTCCTCACACTCATTGGCCTGGTGCTCCTCGCCCACGCGTACGTGAATCCCACCTCCCTCCCTCCCTCCCTCCCATCCGCCGCACAACCAGCTCTACCTACACGGAATCTACCCCATCCCCAACACTACGAATCAACCACTCACCCACACAATTAAACTCACTGACATAAATAAAGCGGCTACTCCGCCCACGAACAAACCCTGCTAACAAGCAGCACCCGCACGCACCTCATCACACCATCGAGCCCGTTGAGCCCGTCGTCATCGACAACAGCAAAAGCAACAGCAAACCCCCTCCTTCCCGCAGACATCATCATCGAAGCCCTCGTGTCCCTGGTCATCGTCTCCGCGGGCCTTGTCCTCGGTACCGAGCAGCTTAAGCCTATTAGTTGGAGTGAGTGGGCGGGGCAGATCGAGCGGGAGGGGAAGGCGCGCCATCCGTATCGGCGGTTGGAGGAACGGTATGGGTTCTGGGATGTTAGGGTATGTGATCTTTCTCTGTTTCTTGGGGCTTGGGGAGGGTATACTTGGGGGGCTCAGGGACGCTGGCTAATCTCTGTATACTGTTCACAGACGAAGAGGAAGGAGTTTGCGGATTGGATAAGAGGGGATGGGATGGGGAAGGTTGGGGAGTGAGTTTTGTCTGTCGGTTAAAATTATCTGGTTCTGAGAGGGTGGTGGTTTGGTATGGCCATTGGTATGGGGGTTTTTTTGGGTGGAATGAGACGGGAGTGGTTGTATATTATCATGATTGATTCTCTGGTAGTGTAATTGAGGATTGAGGGTTCATGTTTGGAGGTCTCTTCGGGGGTTGGAGTTGGGGTTACTAGCTAGTGGTAGGATGGTGTGTCGATGTTAGTCTGTCAGTCGTGCTGTATGTCTCTGGCAAGACTCAGCAAGGACCTTTCTACTGATTCGATTTCTACTGCTTCGAGGGTAGTAGAAGTAGGCAAGGCTGGATACGAGTATATATCCACCCGTTACTCCCGAGGTAGGAGTCTAACTACTACTACACCCCAAGCCAACGACACCCGTTTGCAAGATAATGAAACACTCATGATAAACTCAAACTTAAGCCAACAGCTACCTAAACACCCGTGGTTTCATCATGATGAACAGGGTTCATGTTTCATTCCGAGGGTAAAAACGTGTTGAACGTATCAACACCAGCTGAGAACCGGTGGTCTACGCGCGCTCTTTTCGTGAAGCTGCAACGCATCGAGGTTCCACTTGAGTCGAGCGACGATCAGGTCATGACGTGCAGCAGTGCTCGTGGCTGGTCATCTAGGGTTCGGTTGTTTGGAAGATTTTCGTGAGGGTCTATGTCTCGTACGATGAACAGTGCGAGGAATGATACTCGGTGATATGCAGCTTTATGGATTCGAGTAGCGGGTTTAGAATGGGGCTTGGATTTGAGTCTGATGTTCAATGGACCGGACATATAGCTTTGGGGGGGGATGCGGAAAGGCAGACGGAGGGTTGACGAGTGATGCATTTGCGGTCAATGGTTTGTAGGTTTGGATGTACTGAGATGGAGACATACTCCACAAACATGGTATAGTCACACCGAGAGTGTTGTCGATTAAGTTCCTACGCAGTAAACATACTTCATTCGCCCAGCTCTTGACTACGAGAAGATTATCTCCCTTTGCACCGTCTAATTGACTGATCAGTGGAAGGACCATTGTGGTATAGCAATCAAGCACGTCGAGAACTGAAGCGAACGTTCAAGTGCAACATCAAGGAATTGAATGCAATTCCATTCCTATACTTCCGTACATCCGCCGAGAGCTCAAGAAGCAAAGTTCACGGGGCAAGAGAGCTACCCTCTAGTGTCATGGCTTGAACCAAGCTGGGCTGCTAGCAGCCCATCCAGGGTGCAGTAGATGGAGATCTGGACCACTTTTATTCGTATCCTCAGACGGACAGAAGGAAACCTATCCAATTGAGTTTATGGTCAAGCCTTGTGATTTAGGCTGAGTGGGACAGTTCATTGCGGATGAGAAAATAAGCGCAGTCCGTCCAAGACGGCACGGCGGTCGAACAAGCGTGGTCGGGCGCTGCTCGCCTAAGACATATCACGATAATATGGGGTCGCTGTTACGGGGAGGTATGGGGAAAAGAGAACAAGCGAGCAGAAAGTTTAAAGGAGAGATCATACAGTAGTGGGTTATTGGAAGACCGAGACAGCAACGATGCCATAACTGTTCCGAAGGTGAAGTTGAGAGGGAGATGGGCAAATGAGTGCTGTCAATAGTAAGGGAAAGAAGTACGGATCGTAGTTTTCTCGGACAGCTTCGAGCAGAGGCCTCCAGGTCGCTTTCCACAGTCTAAGCTCGAACCCAAGGTCGATTGGGCAAAATGACCTCTTGCCCATTCGCGCGATTGAGTTGCCCACATCGATTGGCTGTCGGCCGCCCAAGCGCAAATTAGTCCAATCTAGCGACTTCCAGCGGAAAAGGCGCTCCACCGCAGTCCTGGGGTATCACAGGGCAGTCACCATCCGCATCCACCGAAATGAGCGGGATGAGACAAGGGTGGATGGGATGGAGAAGCACTTGTCGGCAATCCCAATACTAAGTAAGATATGAAGTACTAAAGCAGAATTGCAACCGTCCTTGCCATGGCGTATCGTCTATTGTGTCCTGTCCCTTAGCCACTCCCATTACAAGGCCGAGAATTAGACACTGGGAGCATGCTTACTCCTGTAAGGGCTTCCTTGCATCGAGCGGGCAATGTGATTTGCCTTGCCGGAGATTTTGTCACCCCTGATACGACCGTACCTTACGGTAGACTGTTCTGGCCCTAGTGGTCTCGAAATGGCGGATCGACGACAAGTTCTTGGGCAATGGGCAGACGACAGGCCACACTAGCTGTTTCAGTCGGTTGAGAGTTGAGAAGGAGCTGCTGTTCTGCCCTTGGCACCCCGGTTTGGGGGTCAGACTCATTTCCTTTCTGCTCCTTGGCCTTCTCCATGCTCTGGGCTGGAATCCTTAGATTCCTCTATCGATGTCAAAGGCTGAGACAGTTGAGTTGCAGCAATCTGCCTTGTGCGCCCTTTCTCAAGGGATCGTAATGATCTTACGTCAGGGTTGAGCGCGCGGATTGAGGGGATGATGCGTCTTTTCAATGGTCGTTACGTGGACCGCGTCAGTGGCAGCCACCCTTGGGAGGGTAAGTTTGGTAAATTCGGATCAGGCTCATGGCTTGTGATGCTGAAGAGATTCCAACTTAGTCACCGGACGCCGTGTTAATTAACTAGTAAGTTACGGAGCGTGGTGTGCCGGCTGAAGCACAAGGTATGAATGGACTTTACTCCCTGCGATCTCACCACACCCACCCGAAGGAGAGGAGAGAATCAAAGAGGGGCGGACAACCCATCGTCGGCTAGACCCGTGTTGTGGTCCACGGATACAAGTGGCCGTTGGTGGATTAATCGAGAGGTTGGTTGTTGAATCGTGAGGTACAGTGACTGGATTTCGGATAAAACCGTTCACAATGCATGCAGATGAGGTGTACAGTAGTTAGAGAGATGGCTGGGTAGGTGGTTCCCATCCATATCGGCCCATGCGGCCACCTTGAGTGCATGTTGTGGGTAAGATGCTTGTTGTTGTCCTCGTAAGGATTCAGCATGTGCTTTGTCGAGGGTGGAAAGTTTGATCGAGGGTCTTTCAAATAGGAAGCTTAATATTCGGGGGCTATGCACCGCGGCACCGCCAGTAACCATGAAAAGGAAACGAAGAGATTACTATTCTTATAAAAGTACTTTTTGAATTGATTTGTTTGATTGAATATTTATGTTTTTATTTTTGTTTGTGAGGTCGCATCTTAGATCGGCAGGCCAAGCCTTCAATTGGCGGGGCGAGACGGGCGATGGAAAAGGCGGCGTCCTGCAGTGACCGCCAAAAATAGCAGAGGCATACGCAAACCTCCTTCCTGCCGTGGTTCGTATATGAATTTTCCCATGCAAATTGGCCCAGACAGCGTGACCCTTTCTGGCTTTCTGGCCTTCTGGCCTTTGGTCCTTCTGTCCCGTGTTGGCAGTCGTTTTAGTCAACTTACCCCCACCCTAATCTGCTGATGGTGTGTTTAATGTGTGAGGGCAACTAGACTTGGCATTGGTTGCCCGAGACAGTAGTACGTACTCTGTTTCGCCCGCCTCCCCTGCCATGACCACTAGATGGACCACAACAATAATTCAACCATGAGGCTATGAGATGAGTTGAGCAGTAAAGTAAAAAGAACGATCCAGTTGGGGCCTCTGTCGTCCTTGGCCCGAGTGGATCCCACCACTTTCCCTTGCCACTAGTAGGAGGTGCAGACACCGGCCGGGGCAGGGCTGATGCGAGAAAAGTAAGAAAGAAAGAAATATGAATTATTCATTCATTGTCTTACTGGGATGGCACTTGGCCTGCCTGCGTTCTCCCCTGCCTCAAGTCTATTTAAGGGATGCCCCTGCGCCTGTCATCCTCTCTGTCCCTTTTTCTTTCCCAAGTGATATAAAGTAACCCCCACGGTCGTTTCCTTCCCAAGGCCTCATCCATTCGCTTCGATCGCTGCCTGCTTCTCAAGACATTCGCTTGTGACCTCAAATCGATCCTCCGACTTTGCGATCGCCTCCACACAACTCCACCAAATCAACCCACCTCTCAGTATCACAATGCGTTCCTCCATCCTCTTGATTGCTTTCGGCGCTCTCGCCGCTGCCCAGTCCTCCGCTGCTGTGGTAAGTACCATCGATAACAGCCAACAGTCAACAACCAACATGGTCTAACATGACCCTAGGCTCCCTCTCAGCCCGCTATGACCTCCCAGCCTGTCATCCCCACCTCCCAAGGCTCTCTCCCCGCCGGTGCTTCGAGCGCTGTCATCGGCTCCAGCGCTGTTGCTTCCTCCTTCTCGAGTGTCAAGACCAAGACTGCCACCGCTAAGACCGAGTCTTCCACCTCCACCAAGACCTCCTCGTCCTCCGAGGCCAGTGGCTCCAAGAGCACTAGCACCTCTGAGGGTGCCGGTGTCCCTCTCGCCACCATGGCTCCTATGGGCCTGTCTATGGTCGCCGGTGCTGCCATCGCTGCCCTTCTGTAAATGGACCCTCGCGACTACCTTCCTCATCGATGGTCAAAGACCTCTCGCCTCGAACCGACCCAGCTGTCGAGTCTCAACCTCTGTCTGCGGTCGTCAACTTAGACGAACTGAGATCGAAAGGAAATCCGAATATGCAACGGTTCCTGGTCGGAGGAACTTGCATTGTTGGAAAGGAAGGCTGTTTTTTTGATCACTTTTCATTCCCCCTTTTGTTTGCTGTCAAGGCCGATGTTTGTTCACCAAAGTTGCATGACTGCGGCGTACATAAGAGCTTTTGATTCTTTTGTAGTAATTTTTAATTGCTTAACGAGGACATGGTAAATACACAAGACGATTCTCACCGAGCAGGCTTTGGCCAATTGTACACTCTCGCACTTGTATCTATATCGTGTCTTCATTGGGATGGATCAGAAGGAAAGAAAAGTTGAAGTTATCCAGTGGTGCTACTACTGTAGGCTTGAGCGACTCTAACAGGATGAGCTTGTTGGACCACCTCGATGACTAGCCCAAATATACAGAACCTGGGGCAGTGGTGTTGTGGTGGTATAGTTACTTGAAGTCGTCAAAATAGTCAATGCCGCTTGGATCGGTAGTTCAATTGATAGTTAATTTGATTATGGAGAGCCTCCACTTGTAAAGTGGTCCGTCCTCTGCCCCTAATCCACCGAGTCACTCAATTACACTTCCTAAAACGCGCTGAGCACGCGAGAACCACGTGACTCATCGATATGCGCGTTGTTTGGATCCCCCATTAGGATTAGTGCCCGGCCGTCAGCTTCACATCATCAAAACAAACCGGGACGTCGCTGGAGTGACTGTTAGCTTCTATCTATGCAAGGTAACAAAATACGAGTATCCGGTGTCACGAATCCCCAAATCCCCAAATCCTCAGACAATTCCCCGAACGAGAGACTGGAGAACTCCACTCCCAAAGTTCCAGACACCAGCGACACCTTGCGCTTCGACACCTGACTCTCACTTTCAGCTCGCTCTCTTCTTTTCCCCTTCGTCGGATCAGCTTCCCTACCTTGACTAATCGAATTGTGATCGTCCTTGAGCAAGCCACACACCGAGCAGGCAGGATGGTGAGTTTGCACTGCATTGCCAACCGAGCCAATTGAATGTCTACTGTGAGAACTGTCCATGAACTAATTCTGACAACAGGTATCAGCGAGCATCCGCCGCCTCGCAGCGGATCATGCCGCACTGCACGAGGAACTGCCACCAAACTACCTCTTCCCTCCAGACGATGCCACCGCCGACGATTTGACACAATTCACAGCTCTGCTGGCTGGTCCACAGGGCACACCTTACTCGCAAGGACTATGGCGACTTCATCTGAAGATGCCTGAGGACTACCCCAAGAGTCCTCCGAAGGCGACGTTCAAGACTCGCATCTGGCACCCCAATGTGGAAGAGTTGACGGGCGCCGTCTGCGTGGATACTCTGAAGCGAGATTGGAAACCTTCGCTGACGTTAAAGGATGTGCTGATAGTAAGCTACTTCTCCCTTCCCTTTGATACAGTACCGGAGTCCGGATTGCTGACCAACCCTCTCCACAAATGCATAGACGATATCCTGCCTTCTCATCTACCCGAATCCCGACTCCGCACTGAACTCCGCATCCGGCTCCCTCCTCCAGGAGAATTACGAAGCCTTCGCCCGTCAAGCCAAGCTGATGACATCGATCCATGCCCCCGTTCCCGACGATCTCAAGAACGCTGTCGCCGAAGCGAGGCTACGGGGTGAAGACGCCGGCACAACCATCCCTGTCGAGCAGGAGGAATCCCGCACGCTGAGACCGCGCAAAGGCACCAGAGTCACGTCAGTGACGATGAAGAAGCGGACGACTCGCAAGACCAGCGCGAGGACCACGCCGGAATCAGAACCCAATACAACCACCCCAACAATCCCAGCCGCTGTACCACCACCGCTGTCAAACCACCCCGAACCCCTCAAGCCATCGATATCCCTCACAACCGGCCACCCTCTTGCCCGCCATGAAAAGGACCAACACCAGCAACCGCAACCAGCCGCCAACAACATCAACGAAGAAGAAGAGGGGGATGAGTCCCTCTCTGACTCCGAGTCCTCCACCAACGCCAGCAAAGAGAACGATCCCTCTCTATCCCCCTCCCCAGTGCGCCTCGCCCCACCCTCTACCTTCCGCAAGAACATCCACGGGAAACGTCCTCTCTCGGTCCTAACACTACCCCTGGAAATGGACGACGACCCAAGCACACCATCACCAGCAGACCTCGAAGATGATAACAATAACAATACACCATCCACCTCAGACCAAAACATCGCCGCCAACCACCAACCAAGAGCAACAACCTCTCCCCCATCTTCCCCCTCCTCATCCTCATCCTCCTCCCCAACCTCCTACTACTATACCACCAAGACAAGAACCACCCCTCTCCCAACCACCACAAGAAACCACCAAGAAACAGACCAATCACTATCCCCCCAACAACCGCGCAGCAAATCCCCCAAACTCTCCATCCCGAAACGAGGCGGCTCGCCCATAAAAGGCATCAACGCCTCCGGCCGCATCCGCGATGATTTCACCACAACAACGGCAACAGCAGCAGGATCCGACCTCCAAATCTTCGAAGACCCATCCTCATCCGACAAGGAAGAAGCGGAAGAAGCCCGCCGCCGTCGCAGCGGCGAGGGTAAGGAGAACCCTCTAGCCAAGAATCTCGCTTCCTCCTCAGCAATAACATCCCTACAACGCGCATCCCCTCCCCCTCCGCTCTCCTCCGCCGCCCTGGGTCCTCCAAGCGCGACGACATCCCGACGAGCCGTCTCGGCGTGTCTCCCGTCCGGCTCGAAACCCCTTCGATCATCCATGCCGCTGGGCGCGAGGAAGGTCTCGGCGTCGGCAGGTGGGACGGCGAAGAAGGCGAAGCCGCGGATTGGGATTCGGAGGTTGTGAAAGTTGGCGTTACGTGTCGTGTCGTGTCGTGTTATGTCCTTGGACGTCAGTTGGTGTCATGAGGATGGCTTATATCTCCTCAACCCTTCGACTTGCTTTAGTTACTCTGTTCTGTGATCAGCAAGCAAGCAAGCAGCAAGCAAGCATCATGTGTATCGCGTAAAATCGGGTGTTGTGTTGTGTGTGTATCCCTCCATTGCTTAGATCTTACTGTGTGGACTCATGGAATCCTTCGGATTTGCTATTCTTTTGTTTGGGTCTGGGTCTGGGATGGATTTGGTCTTGATTGGGTTTCTTTTTAACCTGGTTCTCATGTTAAGAGTTTAGGGATTTCACAAATCCTCAGTTCGGACGGGCGGCATCTACAAGACTGCCGTAGAAGGTGATCGGCTTGTAAGATGCATTATTAGACTTCTTAGCTTTTACTGTCCATGGTTATCTGAGCGTTACGTTTACACTTCTTACTCGCGTTGAACCAATTTCTTGGCTACGTTTTTTACCATTTGATCCCAGGGTAATGCAGTCCGAAACGTGCTGATAGAAACTATGCAAGATCTAATAATGAATTCACAAATTTTGCCGAGACAATCGCGCTTGACTGGCTTTCGATCTGGCCAAAATAATCCCCCCTTTTGTCACGTCACATCGGATCAGACATCTAGCCCTTTGGATCGTCATGATCGGTAACCTTTAAAATAAAATTCCATCATATCGGCTGTTCACACTTCAGCTTCCTCCAGTCGGTCACCAAGCTCCAGTCAAACTTACCCCTATCATCCAGGGGTAGCTTTCAACATTATAAGAGAGAACAAAGAAAGACGCTAGGCTGATTAAAGCTATACTACCACGAGCAAGAGGTGGTGTCCGGTGCAACTCGTGACTGGATCAATCAAACCGCACGGTCACCATCAGACAACCACCCTAACGCTAAGCAAAGGCCAAATCTGTACTGTAAACATGTAGAACACATCCAGAGAAGACATATCATATACCGGCCCCCATTTACAGTGCGTAGGGATTAACGGAGCGAATAGTGAGGCATCTGTATATATATTAGCTTGAAGGACTCGACTAGAACTGTTCATGAGGGAGGACTTACGGTGGGCTCTTGCTCAAGTCAGTCTTCAAGATGATGGGTATACGAGACATCTCGGTGACATCCTGGATGTACTCTCCATCCTCCTCTCGGAGCTTGAATAACTGCATATACTTCTCCTTGTTGGTCAACTTAGCCTCAGGAGCATCGCCGCTGATGGTCGCAATCTTGGGATCAGAACGTGTCCGGTGAGGTGCCTGAGGAAGGTGGCCATTGCGAGTGGGTGAAGGTGGCATGCTCTGGGTGGAGCGGTCGACGGCGGAGTTCAAGGAGACACCGGCAGCCATCTCGGTGACTTCGGAAACGTCGTCATCATCGTCAAACAAAGCGTCGACATCATCATGCGACATGGTGCCGGTCTCAGTCTGTCGCCGGATAGCCTCTTCACGTTCGCGAGCACGCTCCCGTGCAGCCTCCGCTTCGCGCGCAGCAGCAGCAGCTTGAGCCGCGCGAGAGTTGGCAGGCTTCGGCCGCTCGTCCTCAGGAACATAAGCCGAGGATGGCACTCCTTTCTCCCAGTATAGCTCCAACACACGCGATTCCTTGCGGTACTCAGCCTTCTTCAAGGGCAGCTGGTCACAGTGAACACGCTTCTCAAATCCATATTCTGGAATAAGAACATCGAAGGCAGACTCATAGACGCAGAGGACAATACCCTCGCTGATGAGATCGCCACCATGCTCTTGACGGATCTTGTCCATACTTCTGCAGGCTTCGATATGGACGCTCTGCTCCTGAGCGTTGTGTGCCGAATCCTTCTTGTTGTTGCAGAGATCGGCAGTCTTGTTCAAGGACTCGAGGTCCTCCGACAGCTCAATAGTACCGTTGGACAGAACAGCCTCCAGCTGGCGATGGACGAGCATATCCGCATAACGGCGAGACGGGTTGGTAAAGTGTGTATATACAGGCAGGTTGAGTGTATAGTGCTGGCGCTGGTCGTCGAGTACACTACCAGCGACGTAGTACTTGGCACGTTGCATTGACTTCATGAGAAGCGTTTCCATACCCTGTTCTTGTCAGTATTGAGGGTTTTTCTTTATGACAAATAGGGACGGGGAATGTCCTGACCTTGCGCAAATCGTCATCTTGAACCTTGCAGAGACTACTCTGCAGGGTTCCGCTGCTGGTTGGATCCAAACCGAACCCGAGTCTGTTCATGCGTTCCACGAAAAGTTGAAGGCGGCGAGCATTGGGCGGGGTCTGGCGACGGAGGAAGGCCCTGTCAGGCAAAGCAGTGGCCAAACGACGAGCGACCAAGGAATCGGCTTTGAAGCTGAGTTCTTCGACCATCTCGCGGACAGGAGAGGAATCGAAAATGTTACCCTCAACCGGCACGTTCTCGTCGTCAAGCTGGTACAGAAGACGAAGAGGAGGGATTTGAGAAACCCGGTTACCGAGCCTGGCCTCCTTGAATCTGGAAGTGACAGCCTATCCGCACGGAAACACCGTTAGCTTAACCAGGACTGGAATGTATGTTGTGGATCAGTATCACGCAATCACTTACATAGAGGGCTCTAACTGTGTCGGCGGTGATGCCCGGAGCGGCAACGTTTGATTCTCCTTGAAGGAGAGAGTTTGCTTCCTCATAGCTGAGGCGGCCGGAGCTCTTGATGATCGCCTTACCGATCCACACATCATCATCGATAGCACCTGTTTCCGGGTTGGCTTTGAGAACAACACTGACAGTCAACCGATCTTCGCCTGGCAGCAAGGCGCACAGCTCAGTGGACACCCGAGTAGGAAGCATGTTCACAATTCGGTTCATGAGATAAACAGCCGTGCCTCGCTTCTTGGCCTCCCGATCAACCAGGGAGTTGGCTTTGACGAAATGAGCAATATCCGTGACGTGAATACCAATCTCCACCTTTCCATCCGCAAGGGGCTTGATGTGGTACGCATTGTCCATCTGCTTGGCACCACTGGGATTCATGGTGAAGGTCGTCTCCTGACGGAAGTCCCGACGGGAGGCGAGCAGAGCATCGCCCTCGCTGGCAACCGACCAGTCTTCCCAGCCGATGCTCTTGAGAACAGCGTCGGAGAATTCATCCCCACCGAAGTTGTTGTCCCGCAGCAGAGCTTCCGTCTCCACCTTCAAGTCGCCCATTTCGCCAAGTTGTTCGACAAGAGTTCCGAAGGGGTGCAGCGAAGTGATGGGCCACCGCTTGATGCAAGCAACAAAGATTCGGTTTGCGTAATCCTGGTGTTTCTCAACAAAGTCTCGAGGAGCTTGTTCAGTTGGGATAGCAATCAGAGGAACCCGTTTATCCGTGGGCTTGAACCAAACAATCTTGGGCTTATCCTGCTGGCGGTCTTGCTGTTGACGGCCGTGACCACCATCTCTGGCTAGCCGCTCGGCCTCCTGCTTCTCCTTCGTCGCCTGGCTACTGGGACGAAGAAGGCCCAATGTTCCCGAGAACATTTGCCCCGCAATACGCTCAATAACGGCGACGATGTGTCCCGCATAGAGGGGCTTCTGTTCGTCACTGATCTCATCTTCCTCAACCAAGAGAAGACTCTGACCCTCAACCTCAACATCATCATTCTTCTTTTGGGTGGGTCGCTGACGGAGACTGCCACGGCGACGGATACTGCCGTCGGGACCAACTTCCTGGCGATCACCGTTGGCGCCGGAATCAGAACGAGACAGCTTGTCGTTTCCAGCATTGCTGCCGGAACGGGCGTCTGTGATGTCCTTGCGCTTCTTCTTTTCCTCCTTTTCTTTTTTCTGAGCCCACACCTCATCGACATCCAAAAGCTCGACTGCGACATAATCACCCTCGAGGGCACGGTTGCGGTCCTTGCTTCCACAGATGAAGATATCGGCATCCAAGTCTGGAGTGGTGACGTATGCGTCAGAACGATTCTTCTTGTTCACACGAAGGATACCAGCCACCAGCTGGCCATTGCTCAGCAGGGCAGGTAGGTTTGCCTGAGGCAAGTAGGGAGTGAACAGAGTCTTCCGCTGTTGCTGTTGCTGCTGCTGCTGCTGCTGCTGAGCAGAAAGCTGCGGCGGAGCATGCTGACTGGCTTGAAGACCGAGCCCCTGGCCGCTGAGCTGTCCATTCTGCTGCATAGCCTGGAGCTGCGCCAATTGCAGCGGGTTCAATTGTTGTTGGTTGGCGAACATCTGCGGAGCCATCATCACCTGACCCTGGGGCAGTTGGATGAGCTGGGGCTGCGCAGGGTATTGGAACTGTCCGATGGAGCCGATCGACTGATTCATAGACGCACGAGCACGGTGCCCGGGCTGGAAGCCACTGCCCTGTTGTCCGAAGGTCTTCTGTTGATCCTGGCCCTGAGCTTGATTGTTAGGCTGGCGCCAGTTACTATCGAAATTCCTCGATCCAGACCGAGCGTGACCGGGCTGACTGCCACGACGTTGATTATCAGAGCTGCTGTCATTGGAAGCAGGGAACTGAAAGCCACCAGCGCCGCGACCCGACAGAGAGCCTCGATTGCCACCGACGGCCATCGACTGACTGCGACCATGACCACCAGCACGAATGTTACCAGCCCGATGCATACCCAAGCCCTGGGGAGCCTGGGTGGCGGGAGGGGTGGACTTGCCGTCCGAGCCCTGCGCACCATCGGAGGGATCGCCAGAGGGGCCAGGGAACTGGAAACCGGATGCTGTCCTCTTCTGCTGGGCAAGCTCGGCGGCCTTTTTAGCTTCAGGGAGTGCAAGCGAATGACGTCTCTGATGACCACCACCACCACCACCAGGAGGGCCTCTCTGGCTACGTCCGTGACCTCCATTCTCATTCTTTGGCTGGTGGCTCTGTTGTTGGTTATATTCCGAGTACCCCGAAGCTCCCGAGGATGGCGCCGGGGGAGGTCCCATTCCTAAGCCAGGAAGGGCCGACTGGTTGCGTCGGTGCGAATGCTGGGTAGGGGGGTTCAATCCGACACCGAGTTGTTGCTGGGCTAGTTGCGGAAATTGGAAGGCATTGATCTGCGGGGAAACTCCTCCCATGGAAGCCCCGCCTTGGAGAGAGGGAGAGAATGCCGAAACCTGGCCCAGCTGTTGTGGTTGTAAAAGACCCATGTTGACGTATTGCTGATGTGTAGCTGCGATCTGTTGTTGCTGCTGTTGGAGCAGCTCAATCTGTTGCTGAATTGCCAATTGTTCCACTATGGTGACGGGAAACGTGAGTCAGGTTCTACCACCGACGGAATGATGACAGTTGATGAAGAATGGAACCGAAGAAAGAAATGCAGAGAGAACTTACTCATGAGAGGGGTCAGCTCTGAGGGGCTTCTTCTGTGGGCAATGTGAAGCTTGCGCCCCGCGGGGCCGGGGACACCGGATTGTCCCTGTTGGTCCATCTTTTCAGATGAATGGATCACCGGTTATATTGTCTGTAGAGAAAAGCGTCTGTAAAGAATCGGCCCGCTGTGGCGATGAGAGAGTGTTCAAAGCGATGGACTGACGCTTGTTGTGAGCGAATAGGGGTGGGGAGGAAAGCCGATCGGAAGCAGTCTAGAACAACGACTAGGAGGATGTTGCAGTAAACTAGAGAGGAGAACGATAGGTCAGTAGAGCTGAGAGAAAGAGCATTACGAGGAGAGAATCCCCAGATGGGACGGCGGTGCAGACAAAGGAAAAGGGTTAGGTGGTGAGAAAAGAGGCGGAAGGAGGGGGGAGGGGGCGGAGGGGGGAAGCTTCTGTGGGCAAACGGGAAGCTGCGATTACCCCATACCAAAAGTGACATCAACCAAGGTACAGCTAGAAGGGAAGCGAGGCGAACCGGGGAGAGAATGTGGAGGCAACAGAACCCAATCCGACCAGAGGAAGATTGAGGAATGAAGAAGCAGTTCTGACTAGCTCAAGAGCTGAAGGCTTACCTGTTTTAAAGATTGTCCAACTTCTGTGGGGAAGGTTTTCAGATGGATGCGAATGATCCTGGGGGGAGAATTTGCTTTCGCACTTCTCCTTAATTTTTTTTTTGCACGGGAGCGGGAGACAGCCGGTGAACTTCAAGCACGAGAAGCGGTGACCCGGCGGAACTGATGAAAGGAGCAGGAAGGACCAAGAAACCAAAGAAGCAAAACCAATATATTCAGAGAGAAAGCAAGGTTGCGATGGGGGAAAGGACACCGTGCGGGGCCCGATGAGGGACAGGGCCTCGATTGACGGCAGGAACCGAAAGAGAGAGAGAGAGAAGCTCGATTAGTCGAGCGGGAGGGAAAGGGTGAATTGTATTTTTAGAGGGGGTTTGTTGGAGTTTAAGTAGAAGAAAGAGAGAGAAAGAGAGAAAACTGGAGAAGGGGAAGCAGAAGAAGAAGAAGAGAAAGAAGAGGAAGAGGGAGGGGGGAAGAGAAAGGGAAAGGGAAAGGGAAGAGACCGAGTTCAAGCGGACGTTTGGGAGCTATCGTCGGTCAACCCCAAACTGCCATTCAGAGCAGCCAAAGGAGAGAGTGGAGTTGATCCCCTTCTGCCAGATATCTGACTTGCATATATTATTTTTCCCTCTGCAATTGGTAAGAGCTCGGTTGTCTTCTTGCTTCTCCAGTGAACAGTAGTTCCTCTCGACAAGTGGAATTGATGTGGTCCGTTGAGATGATGGCACGGAAGAGAACGGAGTCTCTTCTCTATTTAGTGGCAGAAAAAGGGGGGGGGGGGGGGGGACAGTCAGTCAAG